AGTTTACGTATCTCATTAAAAGGTATTTTCTCATTTGAGCACGTTTAGTGCACGAAGTCCTTCTTGTTCATCTCTGTGATACCGTTCTGCTTCCATTTCAGTATTCATCAGATGTTTCGTTCACTTTCCGTTGACTATTCCATGTGAATTCGTAGTTTCTTATGTAATCTTCTGTGAAGAGATGACCTATCACATATAATTTCATTTTTCTTTCTTATTTTTTCAATAAAACATTATTTGTAAGCATCTTGACTAGTTGTAATCACACGAATTTCAATATCACTTAACCGAGCATCCATATTGATGAGCAAGAACCCGTTTAAATCAATTGAGACTTAGAGATCAAACGAGGATAAAACGATGAATAAGACAAGTTAATAAGGTCACAGTTAACTGGAGCATGTTGAATGAGGTAGAGGAAGTTGATGATGAGGATGACGACGATGATAGAAATCCTGCTAACAGAGATCCCTCACAGTGTTCTTAAAAATCGTTTTTGAACTATCAAAATCTACCTTCAGCTCACCTGATTTAGAAATATTCATAAAAACACTAGGTGGTTCACCTTCGATAGCTTCTGCTGTGCACGCACGAAAATCGAATATTCGTACCAGATTGATGGGCTTCAACATATGAGCCTGAAAAAAGGAAGTTGAGATTGTTGTTGTCTTGCTTGGAGATCATGCCAAGCTAAGCGGTACTCACCATACACATAAGTTGGTCTGTTTCTTCACTGCGAATTATCGTCAGCTTCTGAGAATGATCGTCAAAGTGACCTACACATTCAAAGTTTTCTAAATGAGTATGGTTGAAAAGATATTGGAGCTTGATTGAGCACCTGTCTGAAGACTAGAGCATGATCTCAAAATTTGAAGATTTCCTGGATGGCATCCAACCGAAATGGCTGGAACATCAGGGCAAGATGGAGTGTACAAGCGATGTCTTGGTGAGCAGGCCTCCTAGATAATCTGCTTACGACGAGTAATGTAAGACTTTAATACCTTATGTCCTGGCATCACTAGCGTATCCCTGTGTGTGACTTCCATATCTGAACAGTCGTCGAAGAACTCTTCTTGGCTCAAATGTCCATAATGAACTTCAATAATATGCTTGCGTAACCTTTTAACCTGAATACATTTCAAATGATCAAGAGCTCTTGCATTTCTCTTACTTTCAAGCATTGATACCCTGTCTGACATCCTTTGTGAACATAAACTCGGAAATAGTGCTCTGAATGCTTGTCTTTACGATCCAAACATGTCCACACAGTATCATTTCGATTTCGATAATGTGAATGCCATGAGCCTAAGTTGTTTACTGATGAAGCGATCTGAATAATCAAATACCGCGATGAACATGATGATTCTTGCTATTGGACATGCTGGTCCAGTCATGCTTCCATTTTCGATGATCATGCTTCCACATATAACCAGGGAATTCGCAAAAGCTCTCTACTTCAGCTTCTAGAGGAGATTCAGTTGAAAATGAATATGACTGGGAAAAGAACCTTGTTTGAAGTTCAAAGTCACTGTTGCTTCACTCAAATGAGTTAGTTCTTGACAACCAGCGTCAGCGGAGATTCCTACTCGTCCAACCGTTGACGCGGATCTTTCATAAATCTAAAAGAAGTAGAACAGAATGATAATATGATGAAGGAATGAAACATACAAAGCAGCGATGTTCTTCACCTCGCAAGGTTCCTAGCCGTGAAGCGAAAAAGTGTTGTCCATGAGATTGCCAAGTTCCAATACATTCCATTTCAGAGACTACAAAAAGGTTTTTAGTACTCTTTGCGGGTATCGGATTTCCCCCAGTCCATGCTTCAACTGAGCTTTACTTTCCAGTTGTCAGAAGAAGCATAAGTTTGAAGAAGAAAGTTTGTAATAATTGAATGAACTGAAAATGGTTCAATCCATTTCTCTTTCTCTTCATTCTCATCCTTCACCTCTATCTAGCTATGCTCTGTTATGCCCTCTCATCAATTACTATATGTTGTCCTATGTCTCTCTCTCCCTCTCCCTCTCTCCCTCTCTAATTACAATGATGACATGCAAGATCTATACAGAATTTCTTGAGTTGTGACAGACGTTTCTCTAATTCCGGTGGACATTTTCATTTAATCTTCCTCAATAATCTCATCTTCTTACTGACTTATGTTGTATTCATCATAAAAGGACATATTTTTATTGAATATTTTGTAATAAAGAGCATGATGAGAGATTAATTTCTCAAGTTTACCCTCTCTCTCTCTCTCTTCCTCTCTCTCTCTCTCTCTCTCTCTCTCTCTCTCTCTCTCTCTCTCTCTCTTTCTCTCTTACTGTACACTGAGTCTCTTGATATGCTCATCTAAGAGAGTCTCATCATTGTCTAGCCTCTTAAGTATCGTTTTGATAGATGAGTAAGAGATTTTTCCCATTAAATCATTTAGTTTTAAGAACGTTTAAGTACTTACCGCTTGATTCCCTTTTTGGATTTTCTGGACAAGCTTGGAAATTGAGTGAAAGACGATTCCATTTGGAGCATCTTCAAGTTTATTATTAACATATCTATCCATTTATGGGTAATTACCGAGTGATTGAAGATGTTCGACTATTACAGACTCCTTTATTATCCGTATAAGTAAATGATAATGGCATTTGTAATGGACAACCAATGGCATGTGCATCTTCTGCAATTCATTTTTTAATTATATTCATATAATATAAAAGGAGAATTAAGCTCTTAAACATTCCCTCTCTCTCTCTCTCTCCCTCCCTTCCTCTCTCTCTCTCTTTCCCTCTTAGCAACATCAACTTGTAGAGATGTAAGCCCTATAATTAGGAGAGTTGTATTAACTAATCCATTTTATTATAACTTCATCTCTTCCCTAACTATACGTTACGTTAACTATATGTATTCTACCACCCGTTCATCCTTTCTCTCATTCGATTACTCTACCATGAAAACACCAATACACACAAAAAAATATTTTTCTTTTTATCCTAACAAATAGTAAAACTGACTCTTAAACATGGTGTGCAGTGGATAGTCGCCGTTGAAGTGATTTCGACATTCTCCGACAGTCAGCTTCTCGTCGAAGATACATCGAGCTGAATGAAAATTATAAGGAAAAGCTCATATTATTGTTTTCAATGTTTAAAACTCTAAGGGGAATACGATTGTCGGCATATCTCTTTAATTTGCGCAAACGAGAGATTACAACCACCCGAACATTAGAAGGGGAGAGAGATAGAGAGACAAAGAGACAATGACCATATTTGGTGTTTATGGTCCCAAACGGAATTAAATATTAAGTGCTTAATATACTTTTTGTTCTAATAAAATACAAAAACCGCCGCCGCCGTCTGTCGTGTGAATGAAGACCATAGATGGGCATTTGGGCAAAACGATAGCGAAATTTCAAACAAAAAACGAATTCAACTAACTTATTTTGTATTGAAGAACATTCTCATGGACGGGGAAGGCGATCAAACATCGATTACAGTCTCCTCGATTACTGAAAATCAAAAAAAATTATTTGAAAGCTCAATGAATGCTCCCCCACGTTTCACTCTTCAGAAGATATTCATCATGCAGCCTTTCATAGCATTCGCCATATATCCCAAATGTGTTGTGGGTTATGTTAACTATGCGTTCATTTTCTAACCATGTGTCGATCCATCCAAAGTTACATGTGTTCACTCCTGAAACATGATAGAACATTGCATGTTACAATAGAATAATCCATATTTGGACAAAGATTCACATTCTTTTAATAATTTTTTTGGAAGACGGAGGGGGGGGGGGTTGTCTCCCAATGGAATGTTCATAATTGAGTTGTGATTGATTGTCACTCAAAATGCTCCTTTGTAATGGCTAATCTTTACTTTATATCTCCTAACTATGCACATATAAGTTAACTTCAATACTCACATAGACACCACATGCATATACTAAACCCACTTGCCAGAGGCTAGAAAATGAAAAAAGAAAGTTTGAATTGAAAAAAAAGTGGCCGATTTGTCACCATTTTGAGCCCTGAAGCAATGAATGTCAATTGTCTAAACAGATGGTCCCGAAGCGATTTCAACACAAATCTTTCCTCTTTTTTTTTCGTCTTCTCTTCAATTTCTTCCAAAAAGGATACATTCAGCTATAAAAGGATGAAAAGCATGCTGCGCACATGAGCTTTGTCTTCTTCCCTTTGGCGTTACAATTGAATCTTCGTTAAAGGACAAAGAAATTGACATAGAAGTTACTAAAGCTTTTTCTCTCGTTTTTGATACTTCTCTCTCTCACTTCCCCTTCACTCTGTTCTCATCACCCCTCAGACAGTCAGTTATCATCGCTGCCGATGTTATCACTTGGAAGTTCTCCTTTCAAATACACTTTCTCTTCTTCTTCCTTTCTAGTCATTTATATGGCAGTATTTCATAATCTGATCAATACTATTGTCTTCTTTACCCCCTTTTTTGGGGGAAGACATGAACAAATGTGAAAATTCGATTGTAAATCTGATAAAAATGACCAAAAAAGGAAATAAAAATAAATCAAATTGCCTCAGGCTATGACGATCACAACATGCAAACAAATGATATTTAACGATGATTTTATAAATAATTAATAAACTAACTATCAATTTACTTTCTCTTTGTTTGAACGTGAGACACAGAGTGAGAGAGAGAAGAGAGAACAGAGAGAGAGGGAGAGAATTCCTTTCTTGTAGTGTGGTAAAACAAGTTTTTTAAACCATTTTCTCTCGTTGCCTTAACGAACAAACCCAGACATACACACTTCCTCTCCCTCTCTCTCTCTCTCTCTCACTCTCTCTCTCTCTCTCTCATTACATCTTCCACCAACACAACAGTTCAATTTCAATGAAAAAACAACAAAAACTGCAACCATTGATCTCTAATTATGTTTAATTAGATATTCAGACCTAGAATTGTGAGTTAAAACCGGTTTTTTCCGGTCAATCATTCTTAGACATTTGAAAACAATCCTCCCTCCTTCAATCTCTCTCTCTCTGTCTCTCTCTCTATAGAGGATTCTTAGCATTACATTAGAAGAACATCACAGTCTATCGATATTCCCACAAGATATTTGCCTTTTTTCAATATAAAAAGGGCTTCAAATTGCCCCAGGGAACGAAAGTGTTTGGTTGGCGTTTTTTGAGGAAACTCATCGTTCGCATCTCATCAAGAGCATATGATGTATGAAGAAAGGAGTTATGAAAGGACTTACCTATTATAAAATAGAATAAAGAGAATATGGAAATAGAGTCTCCCGCAATCATCTGGTATTCATGTCATACGAATGCCAATCCGTGGGCACAGTCAAAGAGAATTTTTGCAGATAAGACGATCGTCGTCGTTACGAAGCACAGACCGGCCTATCTATTGCCCTTCCGGCTATTTAGGAAGGCGGGTAGTAGTAGGGGGGGGGGGCGAGAGATCTTTTCTCTCTCTTTTTCTTTCTCTTCCTATCTTCTTGTCTCAAGCATTTCTAACCAATCTCTCTATTCACCATGATATTTTCATTTGTTGTCTCTCCCACGTTTGACTGACCATTTATGGAAAAAGGGGGTGGGGTTTGAAAAAGAGTTACGAACTCTCTCTCTCCTCCCATCTAAATAAGAAAGCTCAATCGCAGGATTTTGAAAGTTTCCATACTACGTCTATTCAATTGGAAATTAAAAGAAAGAATTCTAATTAGAATGAGCCGAGTCGTTTTCATTTTCGGTCATGCGGACGAGCAGAGCGGTTGTTCATGAAAAATAGCAATTGAAGTCATTCATATAATATATATATATAGTTTATACATTTATACATCAGTGAACAGGATCCTTACAAGGAATTCTTTTTTGACGAACTTTTCGGATGAAAACCAAAAATGCCTTTCAATCTTCCCAGTGGATTCTCTTTTTCTGAGTCTGACGCGTCTTCTGATTCGGGGGCTTCTTCTTCTTCTTCTGCTTCTCCTTTTTCTTCTTCTTCTTGTTCTTCTGCTTGTTCTTCTTCAACTTCTTTTCCTTGTTCTTCGTCCCCATCAGAACGTGCCACCTCACTTTTTGGTTCAGGCTCTTCTGCAACCTCTTCCTCGGGATCTTCTGAATTTGTGTTTTCGTTTGCACTTCCTTTGTCTTCTTCCTCTTGATCCTCTAGCAGTTGCAGTAAACCAAACTTAAACTTTGTCGCGATGGCTGAAAACAGTTGTTCAACCTGAACATGATTTTTCAGAAGAAACTGCATAAGCTCACCAACCTGAGGAGCATTTGAAGCAACTTGAGTATCAATGCTACTGATATACTCTTTAAGCTCTTCCACATTCTCTGGAGTGGAACGACGTACACGTTTAGTTTGTGTTAACTAAAAGCAAATAACATATAAAGAATGAAATGATGTCTGCGTCCTGACCTGTTTTCTTTCGCGCATGGGACTGCGGTCTGTAAATACAATAGAGTAAACGTTTAATCATCGTTGTATTTTAATATTATTTTTATTAAGTAAGTAGGTAGAGATATTAATATTTGAATAAATGACTTATGAATAACGTGCCAACGGATCCGAACATCAAATTTCCGAAGTTGTTGAACAAGTCGCTCAGACCACCTGTGAACTTCTCAACTGAAGCTGTAACAGAATGAAGAAAGATGCTTTAGATGGGAGAGTAACATCTTACTTCCAAGCACTTTGGTAACTTGCTCCGCTAGTTCACCACCAATAGGAATATTGGATAATGTTTTGCCCAAATGCTGACTTCCTTCATTAGTTAAAGAACCAATGTTGGATATTGTCCCTTGGAGAGATTCCAAGGCTTTATTGGCCACTTCTAGAGATAACTTCAATTAGTAAACTAATTCTTTAAAAGTAACTTTTCAAGTTTTCTGGATCTGCTTTGAAACTTGTAATTCCAAGTTGGAGGGGTCCTGATGACTTGGCATTCCCTCCTATACCACCCATGAAGCTGCCAATTATTTGTGAAAGCTGAGAAATATAAATATAAATAATAATATATTATCATACTTGACGAGCTGGATCCTCATTCTGATCACAGAATTTAATCATTTTGCAAACATCTCTCTCTTCTATAACATTCACAGCAGATACGAATAGCTTTACGTATTTATCACAAGTGTCAGTGTTTGGCATGATCATACAAGGAAGCTGAGACATCTGAGGACAACAAATAATTTGATAAACAGAAATAGTTGATGATTATACTTGTTCAACAGGCTTTGAATGTCTTTTGACAAAGCCGGCAACATTCTCACAAACTGTGCAAACTGTTTCTTTGACAGAATCTTCTGTAATGTCTAAAAATGATATTGAGATGACTGATATTCAGAATACCTGTACCATATTCTGTAAGTACATAGATGACATGATGATAGAGAAGTAGAACAACTAATAATTTCATAATTACCAAAATGTATTATTGTTTGTTACATCTTCCATTTATGGCTTTATATACGAAGAAGCTTGTAATGACATGTACTTGACAGGTAATAACATGTAGAGCTATCCAGCTGCCTTTATTTGGAATTTTTCTAATAAAAAATATTAAAAATGTTAAAAAATAACAGTTGTATCAACAGTAAGCTCTCATAACATGATGTACAAACAGCTTTACAGAACAAAGAATACTGTTATGACCTCTGAAACATTCTGTAATTCGTTTGAAAACACCACCGCTCAACACATTTATTTTTGTCGAACATGAAAATCAGCTGCACTAATTTCATTTGTTATCATCATTTTTCAACTAAGCCGTCGTGCATAAGTTTAAAACGTTTATTTCTATTAAGTCAATAATGAAGCTTATGGCTGAACCAATCCAGCATAGACCATGTAGGTTGAATATGCTCCATTGACCGACTGAAAAGATTGTTCAAATTGCTCAACTAGTGCTAAAGAGACTTACCTTGCTAATAGACTTTACACACATGTTATCATCTTGCAAGATATTAACGGAGGCTCCAAGTGATGGTGGGGGTCCCATCTGTATGATTGCAATATATTTTAAACTTCTTATCCAATTGTCAGACCTCATAGATTAAGTAAGCCCATCCTGGTTTGTTGATGTAGAAGTTCAAAGCTTCAGACATATCATCGATGTTGGTGTACTTATCAACAATAGCATCAACAGTGGCGGCGACAGTTGCGTCAGTGCAGAAAACTGAATAAAGACATGAGTTAATGTACCCACATAGTAAGATTACAGTTATCGGATTCGACATCGTATTTTCCAGGATACCCTTTTACAAGCTTGTCTTCATACTTGCGTTTTCCTCCTTCAAGGAAGGTTACACGACGATTGAAAACAGCTGAAATTGTTTCCTACTTTTTGAAATCATCTAATGTTCTTACCGGCCTGAGGATTGGCAGGTTGGACAAGCATCTCAGCCTTCACAGATTTGCGATCTTTGCAATGAGTGATACACCAGTGAGGGCTACAAGCATGAGTTTAATACCATAAATGAGTTGTTCAGACGTACCGGACTAAGTCCAAACCTGAAGTTCTGAAGGTGTTGATGGGAACAGCGTTGGAGAAAGATTCATCTCCAGTCAAGGTATAATTACAATCTAAAGATGATGCGATTTAAACAATATAAAATTGAAATTACAATATTCAGTATCTAGAGCTGAAGCACATGCAGCTAGAGCCAAGAAAGCCAGAAGCTTCATCATAATCTATAACATGAACGATTGAATTGACAAATGAACAGAATGAAGAGTAAGTGTCATGAAAGTATCAGAAGATGAATTGTTATTAGAATGAACTTGTTCTCAACTACTGTGATAACACTAAGAGGATTACTTAACTAATCCATGAAGATAACCAGATGAAGGTAAAACCTTATCGATGAAACTGACTTCAATGTAACCGTCGAGCATTCAGGCAGTAAGAAACGTCAGTGTGTTTATCTGTTTCTTTCATTTTTCTTTGATTTTCAACCTCTTATAGCGACTTCAGTTAGAGGCATTGCATCTGATATCATCGTTTGCCACATATCTTTAAGAGAGAGAGAAAGTATTTTAAAATAGCTTTATCTCTTGATTAGTTATGACATCATGTGTTAACTAGGTTAAAGCCGATTACTTTTATCATGCAAAGCATCCAACCAATCAAGCAATCCTTTACAGATTGTCAGTATTATTATGAAGTTGTAGTTGCTTCTTTAGATAGCTCTTTCATTAATTATACTATTTTAAGAATGTTCCGAGTTCTCTTAGCTACAGCCTTATTTGGAGCTGCTTTATGCAACAGTTAGTTATCCCTTCTTCTTCTCTTCTTCTTCAACTTCTCTTCTTTGTTGTCAGTTTGCACCGATGAAACTGGCAAATGGTCATTCGGAATTGCTGACGGCCTCAAGGATTTCTATCACGGTGGTGCTCCATTGAACAGAAGCAACAACTGCTTCGAAGGATGCCTGTACACTGCAACTGTTGTTCAGAACTTCAAGGTATGATCATCCTCTCAATCAACCCCAGATTTCCACGATTTGAGGTTAAACTCGCCGGTAACACAACTTCCAACTCTGAACAACGTTACATCACACTTGAAGAACGTTTGAACCGCTTACAAGGTAACTTGTTCACATAATGACGGATCTAATCATAATACTCCTAGCTGATGATCAGGATCCAAATAAAGATTCCTGTGTCAGTGATTCTCTTCGTGCCAGCATTGCCAAAGCCATCAGCTCAGTATCAGATAATAGTTGCAAGGTTTGTTTGAACATGAGGTTTCCTAGTTCAATGTAATTGTTAAAGGGAGTTATCCGTGCTATCCAATACAATGTCAACCGTCCAGGATGGGTTTTCAACTGCGTAGCTCTTACCGGAGGCTCTATCGACTCCATCTTCCAAGATGATAACTTCTGTGATTACGACGCTGTTGTAGGCAAAGTTCTTTACACCTTGAGATTAGCTCTCATTGATACTAACTAACTTTGAATTAGAAGACTTGTGTTCATTCACATCTAAGTATAAACGTTTTAAAATTGAGATGCTAATGGTTGGTATGAGGTTCTTCCCATTCTAGTTCTGTACTACCAGTTGCATCCTCATTAGAAATAGAAAAGACGGAGTGGATGTTTCATTCTTCATCAACGTCATCAAACTGTACATCAGATAAGTTAATGTTCTTAGTGTTTGGAAGAAATAAGATTGATATGACTAATGAAATGACGCTGATTCCAACAACCAATGCATAGGGCAATGCAGCAGCCAAATTGGAAAAGTACGCCATCTGAAGACAACTGATTAGTCAGCAGAAGGTTGTGAACATTACCTGGGGAGCGAGAAGAGCACCTATCCGAGCTAATAGCGAGCAGGTACCCACTCCAATCGTTCTTATTTGCGTTGGGAAGCATTCAACAGCAACGAGATAGCAAGCATCCCAGGTGATTTCAATTAGTGAAACTCCTATTATATTGATGACTATGACTGAAAGAGAGAATAGTTGAGAAGTATGTGAGTCAGACGCTTACTCGTCCAGTCTTTCCACGTGTTTCCATTACAGTCGGATTCTGGAGCGAATATCATGATCATCATGATAGCCGTATAACATAAGATCATCATTATCTGAGGATACTGATGAAGACGACGACGATCAAAGCTTGGCCAGTAGTAATCGAGAACAAAAACAAACTGATTTACAATGCTTCCATTTTCGATTTGTATTGACATACTATTTTGGCGAATGCAGTTACGAAGCCAGAGATAAACTGTGTCACATAGAAGCTTCCAGCCAAGTTTCCAGAGTTCAAATCAGACCCGAAGGCGGATAAGCTATAACGCATCTTGATCTTCATTCATATGGATGAGCTACCTGGTGCTGAACCATAAAGCTCCAAGTACTAAAGTGGTTTTCGTCAACTTTTTTGTTGAGAACAAATTCTTTATTGTGTACACTTTGGTGGAAGGAGCGAAGCATGATGACATGTTCTCTGAGCTCAGTTCTTTCCCAGAGAGAACGCTGATACGGTTTTCAGCTTTCTTGCCATCTTCCATACGCTTCTTCTCATAGAACCTCCAAGTTGTTGTATGTACTCGGTTATATCCCGTGATACTTACCATTTTGGAGATTCCGGTAGAAGGAGTAGTAGTATAGGCAGAATAGGAAGAGGTAAGAGGGCAGTTGCTATAGCTGCTGATCTCCAATGTCCGCACAGCCAACAGACGAAAGTGAAAACAATGCGGGCATATCCCTTGATAGGTATATTGCTTGAACATCATATTTGCATATATCATACCCAATTAAAGAAAGAACGAAGGAACACCCTTTGATTTGGTAGAATGAGCTCCACTATGTAGGAGTAGAAGACTATCAGTATACATGCAATGCTCGTTCCAACTATGAACCGGAATGCCGCGAATACCTCCCAAGATGGAGCGAACCCTGAAGATTTCAAATAGATAGATGATAAGCTTCTGATATTTATGTACCACTTGCTATTCCAAAAATAATTCCAATAGATATTCCACAGAAGGAAACTGATCTGCGTCCAAATTGATCACCCAACTGACCATAGATAAGAGTTCCACAGAGAACTCCCACAAACTGTATTGTCGCTACCTGAAGCCATAAATTATGATAAAATGGGTGAAAAGAGAGAATTCTCAACTAAAGTAGCATCATAAGCTCTCTCTCCACAAAATAAATCAAAATCTTCAATAATTGAATGGAAGATAGGCTTCTCAACAACAATCCTTGAGCAATTCATCAGTTCATCACATTGCTCCTTGTTCGTTAACAGACATTGAGCTTTACTCCAATGAAAGCTCCTATCAAGACATTCTCGTTTTGGCATAAAATTATAAAAAATCTATAAATAGTGAGTGATAGGATGTATAAGATAGATATTGATTGATTGTTTACCGGAAATAATTGTTGACAACAGAAGAACAGAGCGAATTGCCATAAAAGGAAACATAACACATGAAAACGATTTATATTCAAATCTTCCATTCGTCTCAATTGAAATTGATAACATTTTAATAATTCTTATCACATTATGCTGTTTTTCTTTTAATTAATTGTTCTTTGCTTTCATTACGAGGGAAAAGGTTTATCCTTACAAGAGATTTCCCTCTCTCTCTTGCATACTCTCACTCTCTATGATGTCTTGATGATGATGATCATCAAGAATGTTTCGTCGTCTTTCATTTAGCTCGCCGAAATCATCCTCTTAGTCACTTACCAAACTCATCCATTTTCGGCTTTTTTTCTCACACAAGCTGTCCCCCTCTGAACCATTTTTTTCGTCTTCAGCTTATCTCTCATATCAGAAAAATGTTTCTTTAAAGTATTTTTTTTAATCTGAAATGTAGAATATGCATGTGCCACTGTTTGAAAGGTCATTCCCTTCACTATCTTATACGGTATCTCTCTCCTTCTTTCTCTCTCTCTATCTGTTATTATCATTTGACATTCTGTTTCTCTCATCCTCTCTCTCTCTCAAGGTTTTCTTCTAAAAAACAATTCAAGTTTATTGAAATTTACATTCAGATATCATCAATTTCATCGTCGACACTTGTTTATACGCAAATGATAAATGAATTTTCTATCTGACGGTCAACGCCCTTTTCCACTTATGGAAATTCCAGGGCTTCAACTACTCACAACCCCCATCCCCATATGATCATTTCAAGAAACAGAGACTTCTCTTCTCAGCCAACCTTTTAAGAGAATGCAACAAGACAATTTCTTTTTTTCTTCTTCTTCTTTTAATACTTTTTTCCACCTTTTTCTTTTCAAATAAAACATCTAAAAGTTGCTGATGGTATGTATGCTTAGCTATCGTCATGCTCGTCTCTCAGCTTCTTCACCGTCGTAATCATCTTCAGCTTCTTCTTTTTCTCTTCATTTTCAACAAACTGCCACCGAAGCTTCAGATTATTTGAGGTGTTTGCCCTCTCGTTCAAGCCAATAGCGTTACGATGAAAAGACACAAAGCTTTTCATCAGATTCTTCCTCTCACTTCTAATAACAGAAATTTTCAATTTCTACTTGCTTCCTTCCTTCTTCTCCTCTCTCTCTCTCTTTCTCTGTCTACTTCTTAGAGTGCGCATTCCCTCTTAATCAATGTTCCTCAATGTTTTCTTGTGTATCTGTGACTCCCATTCTATGTAACTACCTATTCGTCAATCTATGTTCCTTATAAAGAACTTTCTGACCACAATGTTCTTTCATAACTTGGTCTTTCCAAACGAAAATTGAAAACTAGCTGACTCAATTTGATTTCTTTATTTTGTCAATTGAATGGGAAAAAAATAAGAAAAAGTTAAAGGACACATTGAATGACTAAGACTAGAGAAGGTGGGTGTGGAGAATGTCCGTATATAGGTAACGCCTTCTATTAACTATTCAAATGCCCTGAGGCAATAAATTCCTTACCATATATAGAATGTTCTCTCTGTCCCTCTCTCTCTATCTCTCTCTCTGTCTCCATTTCATTGTATGTGTTTGTATACAAAAAATATTTTTTCGTTATAAGACCTCTTTCTATAAGAAACAAGGAATTCAGAAGGACAAGTCAACGACAGTCTAAGATCTTGTTGTCTTATTTGTTCATAGACTTATGAAGAAAATTCTGAAAAACAAATAAAATTTCAAAAAAGAATCCGAAAATTTGAATAATTTCTGATTTCTGGGCATCACAGCTTCTCCTCTCTCTCTCTCTACCTTCTCGGCATTTCCTACATGTGGTAAAACCATATGTTGCCTCAGGTCCTTTTTCCAATTACATTCCTTTCGTCCTTAATACATTCATTTGCATATTTGAAACTCGTTTTCTCTCATCCAACCGCCTTTTTACCTTATATGGGAAATGATATGCAGGCTTCTTCAAACTTCTCATCCAGCTTTCTCTAATCACATTTCTGTAAACCTTCACTCTCTATCACTTATTCTATCTCATCCTCTCTCTCTCTCTCTCTCTCTGCTTGCGTGTATCGCAGCTAATATCTCTCGATCAATCCCTCTCTTTACTTCTGTACATCACTTATCAATCTCTCGGGCTTCTTCTGCTTCTTATGAACTTTTAAATTTTTTAAATAAACATGTCCATTTGAATAATAAAATCAGGTCATTCATGTAAAATCGCTGTTCGCCCTATGTTTACATGAGAGTTGCCTGAGGGCATTAGTGGTCTTTAGAGCTTCTTAACCTCTCAGCAATTTTACTTTTCCTCCGTTCAATCTCTTTGATTTCTAAGTTTTTCCATTATTTTTCCACAATTTCAATTGTCATTTTCTCTCAAACGACGTCGTTGTTCATCAGATGAATCGGACACACCCACGTCAACCATTTTGTGACCAAATAACTGCCATCTCCCCTATCTCATCCATCTACAGTTCTACACCCCACCCATCTACCCATTTTACCCACACCCCATGATTGTTGATGTTTCAATACTTTTCAATTCTCTCTCTCTCTCTCTATCTATCCCTATCTCTGTTAAGAAATTCTCTCATTCTCCATTTTTTTCATTGGATATCACTGACCACACATACATATCTCATTTTCTTACATAAACCTGTCTTATTTCAGACACGAACCACACCATTCAGACTTTCTCTCTCTCTATCTCTCTCTCTCTTTTATGACTTTCAACTTTGACAAAAGTAATCTTCCATTCTCATCCATCTCTATCATTCTTCCCCTCTCAACAGCCTATACCATCTCCTCCTTCATCCAATTTACCTCTTAACTCCTCCCCATCATTCCTATCTCCCCCCCCTCTCAACCACCATCTCCTAATTTCCAAAAAACTTTCCAATGCAATATGTCATTCTATTCCTTTTTTACTATTTTTTATTTTCTTTATTGTTATAAAAACTGCAAGAAAAACTTGCAAATGATTCATTCTTCAAATCTTTCATCTTTCAAAGCTTTTTCATCAAAAAACTTTCGAAAAAGTATTCAAATTTTTATAAATTGATAGGGAAATGTGCTAGTGATGGCCATCTCTCCTTTCCCTCCCTCCTTTCCCTCCTTTCCCTCCCTCCCTCTCTCTCTCTTTCTCCTTTGATTGTTTCATTTAGGCAAACAACAAAGAAGATAGTTAAATGAAAGACGTTGAAGAGAAAAGGAGCAAAAGCTCCTGTTAAGCAACATTTCACTTTCCATGTTCAACATGTGTTTTCTCCTTTCATTTTGGTGCCAAAAAACGTTTGTGTGTTCGTCGTGACGAATCCATTTATATGAAAACTGTTAGTTCAGATGTGAAGTATTTGATTTTTCTTTTTGAGACTCTTTTTTTGCCGTTCATGGATATTAACTATGCGATATAGTAAGCAAGACGATGTTGCATCGTCTGTACCTGATCATCCATTCTATTCCCTCTTGCCCACACCTCTTCTCTTGCTAATTATTATCAATTATTCATAAATAGATAATATAAGAGCTTTAGCCATAGTTAAAGCTGCAACAGCAGCAAAAGCAGCAGCCGCTTCGTCGTCTTCGTGATAAGCCAAAAAACCGGTCTGTTCGCCTTGTTTCTACCTCTAGTTATACAAATATTTGATCTTATATGCATTCTTACTCAGGAGAAAGAGGTCTATGCCGCAAAGGACCTTCCACCCTCTCTCTCATTCTTTCTCTCTCCCTCACTCACTCCATTCTACCTCTCTCTCTCTATACTTTTCTCTCGTAATTTCTTGTTTCTTTTTTTCTTGTATTTCCCTCTCAATACGTCTTCTCTCTCCTCATAATCTCTGTTCTTCTTGCACATGAAATGCTAGAAGAGCTTGATCGGAAGGCTAAGAAATCATGAAACAGCCGGAATCGTGTCCTCAGAATGACCGTCTCCTTAACTCTTTTGAGGAATAATGAGAGAAAAAGAGGCCGAAAAAACTCTCTTAATGGAACAAATCTCTCGAAACATCAATCAAAGAACAAGCTCAGATGAAGCTTAGGTTTTCAAAGTTATAACTGATAGTTTGTTTGTTTGAAGCTATGTATCGTTCATCATAACCTCTTCTTTTCATTACTTGCTCTCTCTTCCTCTCTCTCTATACTCTCTGTATACTCCTATACATACATAACTCCATCTTTAGCATCCCCCCCTCTCTATCACTTGTAAACCTCATTCATATGGTTATGACCATTGAATGTTTAGTTAAAGCAAGTGTCTGACACCTATCTGCAATGCCCTTTACTTCTTCAATCCCATAATCATAAACCATATCATCTTCTTCAAATATATTTATAATTAGCATATTTTATAAAATATTCTCCTTATAAGGCCGTTTTTAATCAATTAAAAAGCTTATTAGTCATATCGATGAATTGATAAAATTCCAATCGAATCTTCTCTATTGTCATCTAACTATTACATAATAATAATAATAATAAAGCTTTACTATACGTTTACTACGAATGTACCTCTCTCTCTCTCTCTCTCTCTCTCTCTCTCTCTCTCTCTTAGTAATGGAAATCTCTTTATCATCCAATGTCTTCATAATCTCTTTCTCTTCATATTCCTTTCATCAAATAATCAAAGTAATGAATCGCTTTTGCCATCAACCCGTTAAAGGAATTTGATAAAAACATTTACGAATTGATTGTGTGACGATTCACTATTCACAAACTCTCTTTACTTCTATTCAATGCCTCAGGCGATATGTTCTTGTTCTCTCTCTCTCTCTCTCACTCATCATCTTTCTTTCTCTCTGTACTCACACATTGTTTATCGATCTTTATCACTGTCAGCTTCATCTCAAGACGTATGGACCGGAAAATCCGAAATTTCATTAGCTTCGCAACATTCTCACAAGCTTCTCCTTCACACTTCTCTCTCTCTATCTCTCTCTCTCTCTACGATGATGATATACTTTCGAATGTTTTACCTTGTTTACCCGCAAACTCCTGTTTCATTCATGTGTACTTCATTCAGCTTTTCGCCATTGAAATATGATTTTCGACAGAAATTAGCATATTCACACATTTCACTTTAATATTTGATGACGTCATTTACGTGACCTGACGTGACAGCAATCATTTCTATTCCTTTTCACATATCAGAGCGGTTGTGCATGTTGCAATGTGTTAACATGCTAATTTCGTTATCTTTATTATTTATTTGATTTTAACACTTATTCATACATATTCATATACATATACTTTCATTCATTACTATAACTATATAAAAGTATAGTTAATATAGTTAGTTGAAGAAGATTATGTGATTAGATTATTAGAGAAGAGGAAAGGAGTTGTATGACCCTGTAGTAGTAGCAAATGAGTCAGGTGAACGAATTCTTCATACACACACAACCTACGTAGATAGGTAGACGGCAATGAAGAGAATACCATCATCATCATCTCTTTAATGTCTTCATCATTGCCTTATATCTCTTTTTCACTCAATCTTCTAGTACCACTTTCATTTTTTGTTTCTCTCTCATACAACCTCAGTGTCACCTTCTATCTCCCTCATTCACTTCCTCACTCTCTCTCTCTCTCTATCTCTCTTTCTCTTTTTATTTCCGAGGTTATTAATTTTTGTACTTCAAAATCATCTTCCTGTTACATCAAATGAAGATAAAATAATCATCTGAGGTCTTATGGCTGGTTGGCCAAAATCTGGTTAACCCGTGCCCTCTTAGAAGATAGTGATCGGCCTTCAGATGCCTGACCGCACCCGCAATCACTTATTACGATTTCTATAGAATCTTCAGTTGTTTAACGTCATCATTTCAATACATAAAATGCCCTGTGGGCATATATCGTATTATCCTCATTCACTAACTATACGTATAATCATAATATATTTTAATGAACAATTGATATGATGAATGAAATGTCATCGTTTTTATCAACCTATTGCCATTTCTCTCCAGAATGCATTTCGGCAAAATGTTTGAAAACTGAACCACGCCCTTGCAGCATTGCTTAGTCGAATCATCTTTTCAAACTAGCAATTTCTTTTTATTTTCATCATTTTTTGTTGTATCTATGTATACCTGTGTGTGTGTGTGTGTATGCTGTATGTCATAGCTTACATGTTATCCCTCATTTACCTTATAAGTCCAGTCAGTTAGTCAGTTAGTCAGACAGAGATAGTCAGTCAGTCCAGCTGTCGCTTTCTGCTGTGGGTGAGAAATTCATTGTGAACTATGCGTTGTTTATCATTTTCTTATCAATTAATTAGCTTTTACCACACATTTAAGTAAAAGCAGTCAGAAGACGTTAAAATGACTGATGAAATGAACCGTTAGTCTTCCTATTGTTGATAATCTCCATTTTGGGTCATTCATCATCTGCATAGTTCTCTGACTTCGTTTTCTCGCCCATTAAATTTGCTTTTTGCATCTTTTCCATTTCTTAACACCAAACGAACGTTTCTCACTCTCTCTATGTGTCTCTCTCTCCCTCTCTATAACCATCGAATGGCCTCCATTTGATTTCCTTTTTCGTCTACTACCTTGTACTTTTAATTTCTCTTTTTAAGCTTCTTCTTTTTTTTCAAGCTTCTGCCAGATATATTCGACCTTCGCCCACTCATTCGTGCTCTGTTTGTCTCTTGGACTGTTCAACTTCTGACTGTTTGATAACATCGCCAACTATCCAACTTTTTTTTTGTGAAAAAAAAGAATTTCTTAAACTTAATCTTTCTCTCTCTATCTCTAAGACCTCTCACACATACATCTAGTCTTCTCATACAATTCCTTCTCCCTCTCTGCTTCTTCTATAATTCTTTTTTCATTTTCTATTTATTTACTATACGCTCGACACTCGTAAGCTTCTGGACAACAGTAAGTCTTCGGGAGTACGCATGTACCTCCAAGTATTTGACATTTTTCATGACAAAACCCTCCGATAAACCTGAGAATTTCGTAAACTTGATGAATTTCATTATGTTTTAATTGTGATTGATTGAAGATTTTTCCATAAATAGTCATTAACGTCTTTCATTCCTTTCTCTTCTCTCTCACGACGGAAATTGATAGTTTAAAAGAATCGAATCTTGCTTCTCTCTCTCTTTCTCTCTCTTTCAAGACTTTCTATTCTGATCTATATCATTGTCTCCTCTTTCTCTCTTAAAACCATATCACCCTCTCTTTCTTCATCTCTCTCTCTCACTCTCTGTAAATTCTTGAAAACTGTCATTTCTCTCGTTACATCGTAAACCACATTCTCTCTCTCTGTCTCTCTCTCTCTCTCAAACCTTTTCTTAGCGAGTTAATGAAAATTGTCAATAAATTTAACAAATCATCATTTGGAATTCCTTTTAAAGTATATGTTAATTAGGTGAAAATGTTATTTATATCTCATTTTGTAATCTCTGAGGTCTCTTCTACTCTCTTCTTATAACCTGAAGGATATTGTATTGAATTGAATACGCTATAAGGTATTCCTTCGTTTTTCCTATTTTCTATTCAAAAACGGAATCGTCATGGGATTAGAATGACGACGTCTTCAGATGACTTTTGACGTCCATTAACTATACAGAACATAATATTCCCTTTTTTTAACGTATAATCTCTCGTTCCATCACAATCGTTTCGTTTTCAATTCATTCAAATGACCATTTCAATGAGCCGTTCAAACCTTTCCTTCATTCCATATGTCTCTCTGTCTCTCTCTCTCTCAATTAACAATAATCTTTTCATTTCTTTTTTTATAGAATGGGTCAGACCTCGAGGGGTACAGGGCTCCTCCTCTGGTTTGTAGCCTCATTGGCTCTTGCAGGTTAGCTTTTTTTCGTGTTCATTAGAAACTTTGAAAGAATGTGTTGGTAAAATATTTCTTCTTCTATTTCTTCTTCTTGATCATCTCTTCCAAGCTTTTCCTTCTTCTTCTGTTTGGTCGAGGTTTAAACAGTGCCTGAGTGGCACTCTTCAACAAGCAAAAGCCATCACGAATCATTTGCCTCTCTCAATGCATTTCTTTTATACAAAGCAATTATAAAGAGAGAGAGAACAAAAAAAAAGAAAAAAAAAGAATAACAAGAAGGGATTTATGCTAATTTCATTTATCACATCGAACATAGATGATTGGATGAAGCAGATATTCATCGCATAACCTCACTCTCTCTATCTCCATCCACCAACCATCATCATCACCACTCACCCATTGATTGATTGTACGAGAAAAACGTAAAAAAGACAAAAAACTGTTTACGGGTCATTTCATATCAACTTTTATCAGTTTAAAAAAGATTTTTCTAATGGGAATATGCAGTTATCTTTAGAGGAAGTGCTCCACTTTTCCATTCTCTTTTTCTTCCTTTAAGTTTACAACACGAAAAGCCCTATCAACACATGATTAATAGATAGATATCAGATGTTTCCATTTTAGGAGCTTTAAGAGCAAAACGTGAAACACGTGGAACGGAGAGCCTTTTAACAGTTGAATGGGAAGGAATTCAAACTGGTATGAATACAACAATCATCTTGCAATCTATAAGCATATGACTTTCTAGGAGATCATGCAGATTCAGATGTTAAAGGTTTTCTCGTTGAATATCGAGCAGAAAAAGAAAAGCATTGGATGGTACACTCCAGTATCATACCATACAAGGGACCAAATCATCAATATAGAGTTCAAGTATGAGCTTCAATCGTCAATCGGAGGGAATATGAATGTTTTAGATTCCAAAGTTGCCAACAGGCATGGCTTATTTCGTTCGCATCAAAGTGTTGGGCGAGAATAACGATGTCCTTGTTGAAACTCCCGAAATACGAGCCCGTAATGAAATCGTCAGCATCAAGTGTGAAAATGGTGAGTAAACATATAAAAACTCCTTTATCATATGCTAATTTGAAGACGAGCTTTCCGCTCCACGTAATTTGGAAGTTACGCACTCTGGTCAGTATTCCATCGCCATCAAGTGGGATGCTCCAGAATGCGGATCTATTGGAGAGTATCAGGTTGAAATAACTGGTTTGACAGCTCCATTTGATGTTCACCGTCAAATGGTTACTCAACCTCATTTATCAGCAACCAATCTCCTGCCAGGAACTATCTATACTGTTAGGTAATATCCTAGTAGAGAATATACATATAGCCAACATCATAGAATTCGCGCGAACGATCGTTCGAGACGTACAGGACCATGGAGCAATCAAGTACTGGAAGCTAAGACCAAGGGAGAACGTAAGAAATTCTCTTTCGAATGATATACATATTGCCTATATTCCTCGAAATTTGAAAAAAATCATTTTTTCCTTTACCCACTGAAGCTGAGCTCTGCATGGACTCCACGTGAATCCCACGTAAAACTCAGCTTCAATGGGTAAAGCTTATTTTGATTTTCTCATAAAATCTCTCAAACTAGATCATTTTTGACGCGCTTTTCGAGTTTACGGTTGGATTTTTCAGCTCTTCCATTATCTCCACATGCCCATGTCCTCTACAGAACCGATTCTGAGCTTAGAGTTCAATGGCAACCTGTTGATGGCGAAACAATCCAACACTACGAAGTATGACTGTCATATTACAATTGTGTGCAAATGAGATGATTTTAGGTAGTGGCTGTTGAAGAAGGAAAAGACTCACGAGGAGTTGAAAGAGCTCGCGTGTCTCCAATTCATAACAGTTATTCTTTGAGTGGACTTCGACCAAACACCAAATATCTTATTGGTGTTATTGCCTTTGTTGATCATGAACCTCGCCGGGTTTACCGTCTTGAGACTTCTACTTCTTCCCAGGCTCCAGAAAAATGGGAGGATAAGCCTCAAGTTGTTGATCAAGGTGGTAAAAACTATGCCATTCATTGGAGATCTCCTTCAACATCTCGTCCAGTACATAAGTTTGTTCTGGAGTACAGATTACCCAATGAAACCCACTGGAGAGCTGCTGATGAGAAGGTTTGGCTGTTTTCAGCTGAAAATCAATCAACGTCCATATTGCAGCATGCTAGTGATGAGATTGGTGATTACAGCATTTCCATCTTCGGAATTGAAGGAACTCCATTCTACTCTGTCCGTCTTGCTTCTATCGATTCTCACAACAAAGTTATCAGCCGAACTGATGAAACAACTGTAGGAGAAGCTGCTGAGCACACTTGTGTCGGTGCAGCCGGAATCCCTTCAGATGTAAGTGAAAGTATAAAAGCTATCGTTGACAAGGGTCTTTAAAGGTTCGCCCAGTCCTCGTTGACTCCACAAAGATCAGAATTGAATGGAATAAACCAGTTTGTGATGAATCAGTTGCTCCAATTGACGGTTACGAATACTTGGTATTTGAGAAAAGATTAAAGATACAGTGATTAATTAAATGTTATTCAAGTTCCATGAATCTTCTGATCAACCAGCTCATGACGGAGCTTCTTATGTCGGTGGTAGTGGAGTGACAATCAGTGATTTATCTCCAAACGCTAGATACACTTTCCGCGTAAGGTAGGAAGACAATGACCCTGAAGTATTAAATAAACATCAATGACTCTATAGATCACGTTCCGGAAACGGACATTCCGCTTGGAGTGCTCCTTTACAGGTTTCCACCCATATCGACGGATTAGAATGTAAGTCGCTTAACTTGATAATTCGATGTTACCCTTATCTAACAGATAAATTAACAGCAACTAATACAATTAATATAACCTCTAAACAACGACGTCAAACTAAATACGAAATAGCTGGTGTGTTTCATGATACTAATGAACGAGATTAATCGACGTCTATAGATCCGGAAAACTATTATAAACTACGTTTGGTCTTATGGCCACCTGAAGCGTATCTAGTTTGGACTCCGTTACCGGAGCATCGATCACAACTTTCTTTGTTTCAGTCTGTTACTAACTCTTACAATATGATTTAAAACACTAACAATCTTATAGACTAGCATATAAAGAAAAACGTAGTGAGAGGTGGCATGAGATAGGTGGACCACCGGCGGCATTCCGTTGTCCAACAGCCGTCGGAGGAATAGACGCTGAAGACTTCTGTTTTTGCTTGCGAAATCTATTTTTTGGAATACGTTATCTCAGCACTGTACTTTAGTTGATTCCATCATGTTTAACTTTCTTTTACTAATCATTTGCAGATATCATATAAATTAACAAATGGACACAGTGTTCCTAAAACCTACTTGGATTTTGCACTCGTTCAACTGGGTTGGCATTTCCTTACTAACATTCTCCACTTACAACATTTCTCAATATCTTGTTATGTATACTTATACTGATCTTTTCTTTTCTAGCCGGATCCTCTCAACCATTGAACTCCCAGTTCTCTATCTCACAACCTCGTATTGAGCAACAAGGAACACGAACTGTTGCCTACTGGACTGCTGAAGGAGATGCTTCTAAAGTTTATGGATATCAGGTTTGTTCGGGTATCATATACTTGCTCATAACTTTTTATCATATTAGCTTGATATCCGTACTGATCAAGACAGAGAATGGAAGGAGACTGGTGGAATTCTCAGAAACGAACCATCTCAAACCCATTATCGCCATGCTCTTGGAGCACTTCCAGTTGTCTCTCAGTACTTCCTCAGAGTCAGAGCTGTTGATAACTCCATGACCACTATTTCCTCTTCTACACCTACATCATTCTCAGTCAAGTGTCAAAGTAATTATTATATTTCACATTTTCAAAGAATTCAACATTTGCTCTTTAAGCTCCACTTTCTCCTGATAATGTTCGTCTCGACCGAGTTTCGGACAATACTGTTCGAGTCTCTTGGAATGCTCCACAAGAGGATTCTGCATGTCAGACTTACTTCTTCATCACTGGTTCTCAAAATGGACAACCAATCAACCAACGAGTCCCTGGAAGTGAAAGAAGTGTTGAAGTTGAAGGACCAGCTCAAGGAGATTGGAAGGTTGAGGTAAATCGAGCTTAACAATTTCGAAGAGCAAGATGAAATGAATTCAGGTCAAGGCAATCAACTCCGCCGGATCCGGACCTTCTTCCAGACAAGCAGTTCTCTCTGTTGCTCAACAATGTAAGTTGATGTTCTGTCACTAACAATTTCTTAGCTCTAATAAGCAACATAGTTCATCAAGATTCTCATATCTAGCTTGAATCATTGTTGTTCATGACATTCAATAGCGTACCCTCTCTTCTCGATCTTCTCTCAATTCATCATAATTTAAAATATTGTTTTGTTTGTTCAGCTCATAAACATCGGATTCGAGTTCATATCACTCGCTCCAAGAGATCTGTTTGTGATCCGCGCATCGACTTTTGGTGTCGCGGTTCCAATGATGTCAACCGTCCTTATTTGGACATGGAACCAGGAGGTAGAAGCTTAAAGAATACTGGAAGTGTACTGATGCCTTCATCAATACACTGCGTGCAACTTCTATACCTTCTCCCCTATCCTACCTCTCTTCTATCACTCCTCTTATCCTTCTCCACTATCCTTTTAAGTCATCTCGGTTTTAATATGTCTATTCTGTTTTAATACCTTACTTCAAGTTCTTCTTTAAGTTTAACTCTTAACATCTCAATATCATCCGAACTTGTTTCACGAGACGGATGTGTTTCCACTAACTCATAAGAATCATGTTCACATCGAATCTTCCTCTTTAAGCTTTGGTCTCAACTCCCCGAGTAACTACTCGAGGAAACGATCTTCACGTTGAATGGAAGAGTGAAGGAGATGGACGTGGAGTCTTCGGTTACCGCGTTCAATTCAGAAATGAAAACTCTGGATGGAACCCATATGGGTTAGTTGGAAGTCTCGAGAAATTTCCCACCATCTACACTTATAGGCAAATCGTCCCATATGTCGGTGATAACATGGATTACTCCCAAACTTTGAATGGATTGCAATCTGGACATACTTACTTCGTTCACATCCAAGTCTTGGATAGAAACTCTTACGTAATGTACGTCAGTCCAGAAGCTTCTGCTAAAAGCAGTTGCACCGCTCCTTCTCATCCACCATCACACCTGAACGTTCAAGCCCCAGACCCATCTCACATCAAGGTCTCTTGGGTTCTTCCTCCACAGAGTACTTGGGGTTGTGCTGATCTTCAATTCGAAATCCAAGTGAGTGAATTCCATGAGTCGTTCTGACCAAATTCAATTTTTAGATTGATGAGCCTAGAGGCCACGCTCCTATTTCGGTTAGCGGAGGTCAAACTTCCCATATTCTCAACAGCTTGCCAAACCAAAGCTGGTCTCTGAAAATCCGTGCTAGAAACTCAGCTGGACACTCTCCATGGACTCCAGCTGTCCAAGCTAGAACATCTCCTGGAGGTGAACTAATCATTGGACCCAACGTCGCCTACAGGTGTGTTATCTGAATATACTGAGAATTAATCAATGTGTTCAGACAAGGAAACCCAATCATCTCCTGGAAATCTAAAGAGAATGTTGAGGATTTGATTGAGAGCTTTGTTCTTGAATGGAAGACCGTTAATGAACAACAATGGAGACAACACAGCAACCCTGTAAGTTCGTAAAGTTCTTTCCTTCTCAAGAATCACTTATTCAGATTCCATTCAGTGGATGGCAGAGACCATACTCTATTGATTTAGGAGAACTGCCTAAGGGTCAACACTACCAAGTTAGAGTTGTCGCTAAGGACCCCAATAGAGGAACAGCTTACACCTCTCCCGTTGTTACCATCCAAACTCAGTCCACATGCTCAAAGCCAAGAAGAGCTCCATCTAATCTTGAAGTTGCTCCAATCGGTCCTACTCAAATCCGTTTGACCTGGGCTCCTTTGCATGAAACTGAATGGAATTGTGATCGATTATGGTATATTGTCAAGTACAGTACTCCTCGTAACCAGGGTTTCAAAAATCTGACCAACGGAGAAAACTCTGTAGTTTTTGAGTCTGATCCTTACACCAAGTGGACTTTCGAAGTTCAAGCAGCCAATCCTTCGGGAGAAACTGAATGGTCTCGTACTCAGAGCGCTCAAACACAAGACTCTGCTCCTGGACCTGTATCTGACTTACGTGTTCAACCTATGGGAGGTGATTCATTGCAAGTCACTTGGAGACCACCTACTAACCCCAACGGGCACATTACTTTGTACGAAGTTACTTATCAATTATTATCCCGTGGAATGTGTGAAGATGCTAATGAAGCCCCAAGAACCATCACTACTTTGGGACCTCACCATGTTCTTTCCGGACTCCATCCTCATTCGAGATACAGGTTTGTAGTTAATGATCTTATACTTTAAACATGGTCATTATAGAGTCGGAGTTGCTGCTAAGTCGACACTCGTTGGAGAACGCGTGTCTCAAGAAATCCAAACTGATCAAGCTGCTCCTACTGCTGCTCCTATCTACGTAAGAGTGGAAGAGCCAAGACAGACTGATGCTACTATCAGCTGGCAAAATCCACCATGCATTCAAGTACACCTCTTCCTAATGTTATAGACTAATGAGTTACCTTCAGACTAATGGTGAAATTACTGAGTACGAATACGAAGTATCTGCAACCGATCGTCGTTCCAACATCCAGAAGGTTAAGAACAACGTTCGTGGTTCCCGAGCCCAAATTACCAACCTCCAACCTTTCACTAACTATAACGTGAAGGTCCGTGCATACACAGCTCGTGGACCAGGACCCTGGTCAACTGAAACTCCATTCAGAACAGCATCTGCTGAAACTGTCCAGGTAGGAAACTCAACACAGTTTCATTTTAAGTATAATGCTTCAGGCTCCTTCTTTCGTTCGTGTTGTTAACACTGGTGCTGATAATGCTCATCTCGTATGGCAATCCCCTCATCCAAACAATGGATATGTTGATAAGTACAAGTGCAAGTACGGAGTTGTCGGATCACAAAAATTCGAGGTATACATATCTCTACATACTTTGCAACTGCTTCTCCTTTAGGAACGACAATTCCCTGCTGTTTCTCCTTGTCAACAACGTATGATTGAACGTCAACAGCTCCCAGCTTCTCCTCCAGGAACAAAACTTCATTGTGGACGCATAGACAACTTGCAACCTGAGAAGACTTATGATTTCCAAGTAAAAAAACCATACAGGATTGAATAAACCACAAATTTACTTTAGGTCGCTGCCCACGTCAAGGACGCTGGATGGTCTACTTGGTCTGAGCCTGAGCGTACTTTAGTTACTGACTCTCCTGTTCACATCTTAACAGTCGATAAGGTTGGAGGAAGTGAAAACTCACTTCATATTGTATGGACTGTTCGTCCCGACGATAGATCTCGTGTGACGTCCTTCAGACTCCACGTTCAACCTGTTGATGGATCAGCTCGTCCTCAAACATTCAATGTCGACAGAGCAACATATCAATACAGAATTGAGAACCTAAGACCACGTACTCAATACAATGTTACTGTACAAGCAGCAACATCCAAAGAAATGTGCGGAGGAACCACCACAACCATGTGGACTGACGCTGCTCCTCTCACTGCTCTTGCTGTTGCCCCACGAATTTTGGCTGAAGAAGCAACATCTATCACAATTGAATGGGATAGCCGTAACCGTGAAGCCGGTGGATTTATTGTAGAATACCGATTGGAAGGACGTGCTTGGCAACAATACCCACGCAGAGTTTCTGCTCATCCATCAGTTACCACTTACACTGCTACAGTTGATAATCTGCCAACCAACAGTGTTGTTGACTTGCGTGTTCGTGTTGTCAGTCAACAGAACGAGCAATCTAACCCATCTCCAGAAGTTCGTGGAAGAACAAAATGTTCTCCACCACCAAGTCCTCCTCAAGGAGTTCGAGTTGACGCACCCTCAACTAACGAGGTTAGAGTTTCATGGACCCGCCCAGCTAAAAACACATGGATGTGCGATGAAATGAACACAGAAATCAGCTACAGAGTTGGAAACCAACCTGAAAAGACTCTTAAGGTTCCAGGAGATCAAACCGAATACACTTTCCCTGCTGAGCCAAATCAAAGATGGATTATCAAGCTTCGAGCTACCAACCAAGTTGGAAACAGCCCATGGAGCCCTGAACAGACTATTACAACTCGTCAAGGAGCACCAGGATCAGTTAGAGATCTCAGAGTTAAAGCTTTGTCACCTAATGAGGTTCATGTTCAATGGTTGGCTCCACTTGTACAGAGAGGAACAATTGTCGGTTATGACATCAGTTATCGTCTCAAGCATCGTTTGGCTTGTCCAGAGGAAGAACCCAGAGACGTTAGCAGAGATTTCGTTACTGTTTATAATCACAAAGATCTGGATTACACTATCACTGGATTGTTACCATACTCTTTGTATGAAGTACGCGTCCGTGCTAGAACCACCGAACTAGGACCAGAGGAATCTAAGGAAGTATCTACAGAGCAACAACCACCATCCTCCCCACCATTGAACCTTGAACTTACCTATGCTCTTGAAAGATCATTGAGCTTCCAATGGGAACCCGTTGACTGTTCTCAACGCCACGGACATATTGTCAACTACGAATATGAAATTCTAGGACAAGATGATTGGGCCAAGCTTGAACGCCAAATAGCTAACACCTCAGATACCAAGATCACGATTGAAGGTCTTACTCCTTACACCAAGTACATCATCCGAGTTAAAGCTTACAACTCTATCGGAGGAGGTCCAAATACAGAAAATCTTGATGCAATGACCGCTAAGGCTAACGCTCCACTACCACCACAAGATCTTGTAGTAGCTCAAGAAGGTACTGATTTCTTCATGGTTTCATGGCTTCCACCATACCCACCATATGGTCCTCATGATGCTTACAAAGTTCGTCATCAACTTTTGGGTGCTGATAAGAATTGGCATACTGTTGAAAAAGGAATTCATGATGCCGCTCTCAAGTGTCCAGCTGAATCTCCAAGATTCTGCTTCAATGCCACTGGTCTTGAATCGGGTCAACAATACCGTGTTCAAGTTTCATGCCGAATTGAAGGAGGAAACTATGGACCATGGTCTTCTATTGTCATCGCTAACACTTTACAAGTTTTACCCGATGCACCAAGAGCCATTCATTTGATTGAAAAAACCGATCACTCTCTCCATATCAGATGGATTCCACCAGTTGATCCAAAGGGACACGTTACTCAATACAAAGTTTCTATCGTCTCTCTTGATGATGTTAACGACCAGAGAAAGAGCTACACCGTTGATCACCCAACTCTAACCCACATATTCGATGGACTCAACCCTGAAACATCCTACAACATTTCCATTTCCGCTGGAACCAAACAAGGATTTGGAAGAGAAATCTGGACTAGATACTCTACTGATCCATTCGTTATCCCTGTTGTCGGAACTGTTCCAACTGTTACACCAGATGGAGCTTCTGCTTTGGACGTTCAATGGCAAGGCGTAGTTGATCCACAGAACCGTATCAAGGGATATATCATCGAAATCCGTAATGCTGATACCCCTGTCTGGCAAGAAATTGGCGGTGTAATCCCACACGATGCTGTCAAACGTACATATTTGAAGAAACTCACCGGTTTAGACCCTGACACACTTTACTTCGTTAGAATCAAGGTTGTCGACAACAAGCAACGTGTTGGAGTTCCATCACCAGAAGCCCAAGGCCGTACTGGTTGCGCTGCTCCAACAGCTCCTCCAAGCAATGTCAACTTGGCTTCTCCTTCTAATGTTCAAGTCCGTGTAAGCTGGCAATCACCAGTCAAGGCCTCTTGGCTTTGCTCCAACATCAGATACCGATTGGAATACATCAACGGAACCAGTGGACGTAAACAATTGGAAGTTCCTAGCTCTAGCATTGAACATCTTTTCGATTCTCCATCAAACACTAAATGGACTGTTCGTATCAGAACAGAAAACGATGCTGGATCTTCGGAATGGAGCAAGGAGCTCGAACTTACAACAGCTGAAGGAGCTCCTAATGCTGTTGATGATTTAACTGCAACTCCTCGTGGACCAACTAGCGTTGTCGTTTCTTGGAAACCACCAACTCAACCAAATGGAGTAATCACTGGATACACACTTGTCTACAATCTCCGATCTATTGGACAATGTGGACCAAGAAGCTCAACACCAATCGAGAAGCATGTGAGAAGTGAAACTCAAACTTTGGATGGGCTTCTCCCAGATTCAACATATGACATTCATGTTATCGCTCATACTTCTCATGCTGGTCCTCAATCTAGCGTAGTTTCTGTTACAACTGAAGAAGCCGCTCCAAATGGACCACCAACGAATCTACGTGTTGGCTCGGTTACATCTAACCGTGCTGATGTGATGTGGTCTCAACCTGATTGTGAACAACGTAATGGCAAGATTACTGATTACTACTACGAATTGGAAAGTTTCGACTCATGGGCCCAGAACACTTCTGATCACCATGTTCAAGAACGTTTGACTCTCAATGATCTTATTCCATACACAGAGTACCGCGTTAGAGTAAGAGCTATTAACGCTGTTGGAGATGGACCTTTCACTGAGTGGGTCACTTTCAACACCCAACCAGCTGCTCCACCAGCTCCAACCGATCTTCAAGAGGAAGGCTCTTTCCCACACGCAATTGAAATCAGTTTCTTACCACCAAGCCCACCCCACGGAAATGTCGATTACTACCGCATTCGTCATACACCTTCGGGAGAAGCTAACTACAAGGAAGTCCGAGTTGAAGTTGATAGACTTGAGTGCTCTGATTCTAACAAGCGTGATCGCTTATGCTATCGCGTTTCTGAATTGGATCCAGAACAAGAATATGATATTCAAGTTGCTGCTCATACAGAAGGAGGAGCTTGGTCCGAATGGTCAGATACTCTCAACGCCAGAACTCAACAACAAAACATTCCTGTATTGGAGAGAGAACTAGAAGTTATCGACACCAAGCCAAACTCCATCACATTGAAGTTCGAGGGACTACCTCAAGATCAAGCCACTCATGTTCTTGGATATGTTCTGGAATACAAACCAGAAGACGATGGTTCTGAATGGCAAGAATACAATGGAATGATCAAGCACAGGAAGGGACTCACCGATTATAAGGTAGTTGTGAAGGAGCTGGAAACAGCTACTCTTTACTTCTTCCGTCTTCGTGTTGTCGGTAAGGGAGATAAGAGAGGTGCTCCAGGACCAGAAACAAAAGCCATGACTAGCTGCGGAAAACCAGAAGACCCACCAAGCAACATCAAATTGGATAGCGTTGACTTCCAGACAATGAAAATTACATGGCAGCCACCATCAGAAGATTCTTGGCGTTGTGATGACGTTGAGTTTGTTATTGATTACGTCAATACAACCTCTCGAGGACAGTGGACTGTTTCTGTTGATGCTCCAAATGAGCTTACTGTTCCAACTCTACCAGGAACAAAATGGGAGATCAAGATGAGAACTCAGACTAAAGAAGACAATGCTAAGCCTCAAACCAGTAAATGGAGTGATAAGGTTACTTTAACAACTCAGTCACTTCCTGGAGAGTTGTTCGTCAATGTTGAACCTAAAGGACCTCGCGAAGCTGTAGTTACATGGGATCTTCCTGATAAGGATCAAAAATGGAACTATGGAGTGGACATTACATACCGTCTTAAACAACTCGGTGGATGCTCTGAAACTGCTAGTGGATCTCATGAACCTATTACTAAGCTCAATGTACAAGAGAAGCAAATTCCTCTCGAAGACCTTGCACCAGGAAGTTTGTATGAAGTCATTGTTACCCCACGTCGTCCACCTTCCCTCCACTCTTCTATTGTTGCTCCCAAGACAGTTAGAACTTTCCGTACTGACAATGATGTCCCTGTTGGTCCACCAACAAACCTCCAATCTACAACTCGTAAGGACACCGAGCTTGGCTTCAAATGGGATGCTCCAGACTGTATCAACCAGAATGGAAACATTACTCAATACGAGTTTGAGCTTGTTGGTCTTGACGAGTGGAATGAGGGAGTTCGTGAGGGCGTCAGCTCTCGTTTGAACACAGTTGTTGACCAGCTCCAACCTGGATCATTATACGGAATGAGAGTGCGAGCTTACACTTCTGAAGGTCCAGGACCATGGTCTGATCAACTCAGTGTCCGAACAACTGGATCAGAATTAGGACCACCAAGAGAGCTCACCGCTGTTCAAACCAAAGCAACTCAAATTCAATTGACTTGGTTACCACCATACCCAGAGAAGGCTGTTGTTACAGCATACAGAATCCGTTACAGTCCACGAGCTGATGATTCAAACCCAACGGAAGTTGAAATTTCTGGTGATGAATTGACCTGTACTGGCTATAAGAGTCCAATTATCACATCTGCTAACTTATGTGCCACCATCAAGGGATTGCAACCCTCTACAACTTATCGATTTGCTGTACAAGGTCAATCATCATCTGGAACATGGGGTGAATGGTCAAGTGATTACTTCTCTACTACTCGTAAAGATGATAACGATCTTTTGGGTGGAAGTCTTCGACTTCTATCAGCTGGCCATGATAACTTCAAAGTTAAATGGACTCCACCAGCTGTTATTGGAGAAAAAATTGATAAGTATGAGCTTTTCATCTCCGTGGCTTCTGTTCTCGACCAGAATCCCAAGAAGTATGAAACTCCAGGACGAGTATATGAATACCATTTCCGTGGATTGGAACCTGTCACCCAATACAACGTCACCGTTCACGGCTTGGATGAGAATAGCAAATTGTGGTTCATTTCAGCCGTTTTCGCAACAACAGATTTCGGTGAGTCTCATTACTGCCCTCAACTTTAACTAATTTCTATTTTTTTCAGCTGAAGGACTTCTCAATTGGCTTCCAGCCCCAACTGATCTTCACTTGATCGAAAAGAGTGATACTATGCTTCATGTTGACTGGGTCCCACCAGAGATCTTCGATCCAGAACAACGAGAGCTTATTACTCACTACCGTGTTACTATCGCTCCATTTGACCATCACACCGGAATCACCGGAACACCAAAGAACTACACTGTCCCTGTTCCTGGAAACTCTATCAAATTCGAAGGACTCAATCCTGAAACTGTTTACAACATCACTGTTCAAGCCGGAACCAACTCTGGATACGGCCACATTCTTTGGGGAACCTACAGCACTTTGGCTCCAGGACAACGTCACATTCTTCGTCTTCTCAACAGAACACCAACAACTCTGACTGTAGAATGGGAACCTGTTTGGGGAAGAAGTCACAGTGGATACACCGTAAGTGTTAGAGTTCCTTATTACTGTACTTATTGAATCTACCGTAGAATTTAAAATTTGATGTTTTTTCTTTCAGCTCACTGCTCGTTCACTTCACTCCGTATTCCCACATGTAAGAATTCATCAATTGAAAACTTTCGATGTTGATGCATCCGAGACTGAGTATGTCATTCGTGGACTTCATCCTTCTACTGTTTACAACGTGACGTTAACACCAAAAGATCATAATGAGGTTGCTTGGGGAGCTTATGCTACTCTGCCTCCTGGCTGGTTCATGGTCAAGAACTTGAAACAATGCGACCGTACAGACTTCGCTGTCTCCTTGAGCTGGGAACCTGTAGAGCTTAACATGGCTTCAGACTATCAAGTTCGATACCTCCATATCAACGACAACTATGCCAGCTGGATGGAAGAGCCTTCTCGACCAGCTAAGGAACTTCTATGTCCAAAGGATGGATGTGGACGATTGTGCTATTTGGTGTTCAACCTTCCATCTAAGTCTTCTGAATACGTTTACCAAGTAAGCTAGATATAATACTATTGTGATGATCTCAATCCCTTGTTTAGGTTCGCGCTAAGGTAGATGGAGAATGGAATCATTGGAAGTCAGCACCAAAGAAGATCATCAGTACTGAACCACCAGAGGTCCGCCGAAGCTGTTGTATCGTTCCTCCACCTTATATGGTTGAAAATATTGGATCTCCCGGAACTTTCTGGGAAGTTGATGTCAACCCTGCTGCCACCGAAAAGAACATTACGTAAGAATATAATTTTGAATGACTGATTTATTGAGTTGATCATTGTTCAGAAGATACTATGTTGTTGTTGATGAGAGAGATCCTCCTGGTGATACTAACTGGACTGAACTGACAGATAAGGTTACAGCCAACCGTTTGAAGATTCCATACTATGTGGCAGCTTCATTCAATCTGGAGACATTGCCTGAGCCAAGAAAAGTTTGTTTTCACACATTTGAAGTTTGAAGTTTGCTTACACGGAGAGACTGTAAGAGTATATAGATGAAAGAGAGAGTGAGAGAGATGAAAAAAGTACTTAAAAGGAGTCTATCCCGTCCTTAATGGAAGTTCTCAAGTCTTTTATATTATTTGCGTCATGTCAGGAAATGTTTACATTGCATGTCTTTATATAGTATATGTCAATATATATTAACTATATGGAATAATTAAGGTACGATTGGGTGACGGACAAGTTATTGGAGGATATTTGAATTATCCATTGACTAAAGGAAAGAAGTACAACTATGAAATCTATACCATCTGGGATGTGAACGGTGATCCACTTGTTGGTCGCTTACGAGGTATTCTACTCCCTCTTATTCTCTTTTCTTTATTTATTTCAACAATTTGAAACAAAATGTGATAGTGAGAGATAGAGAGAAGAAAAGAAAACGAGTAAGTTGTGTTGGTTGTAGAGACCATACATTGATAGTCATTTGAGGAGAAAGAAGCGCCTGTTTAGATGATTTCTCTCTTTCACCCTACGGTTCAAGCCATACACACCCTTTTACACCCAAATACATTTATTTCACTCTCATTTCATTATTATCTTTCATTCTTTGAGAAGAGAATTACGAATGAGACAGAGAGACTACAAGAGAGTCACACAGATAGAAAGGCATAGTGTTGTCAATGGAATTGCTTATGAGCGGAAGAGAAACATGAAAAAGAAAAGAGTGAGAGAAAGATATGATAGTAAAGACCCTTCGGTAAGCAACAAAGAATTCGCGAAAGACCATATGAAGAAGAGAGTTTAGAGATGTGAAAGAAGAAAATGTATGAGATAGTATAACTGTAGGGAGTATGCGGTAGGGTGAGCATACAGACATACAAATGAATAAAATGATAGATAAAATGGAAGAGAGAGAAATATAGAAAGATAGAGAAAGAGACAGTCATCTTTGTGTTCACCCAACGGTTTGTCGTCGTCATCTGCGCTCACCGTAAATGGCTTGGCTGCCCGACGGTAGGTTTAACTTCTGAAATCTGAAGCTTCATCTAAAATGAGAGAGAGAGAAGTACAATAAGAGAGTAATAGAGAGAAAGAGATAGAGTTGATACGTTATCAGTAATGAAAATCATAAAATCTTCTAGATGTTCGTAGCTTCTGGCAACGAGTAGCTTGGTGGTGGATAATTCCACTAGTTGTTAGTTTATGTCTTCTTCTACCATGTGTAGCATGGCTATGTTGTTATGCTCGGTAAGGAAAAACGTGATTGAAGCATGTTTTTCCCTTGATTAACATAAGAAACCTTATTTACGATAATGTGTTCAAAACCTCTCATACTCATTATATAACTATGACAGATCTAACATGTCTATATTCCAGCTTCACCCTATACCGCAGCCGGATGGCCGTGGTGGTGGTTACTTCTACTCCTCCTTTTACTTCTTCTATTAATCCTCCTTACCTGTTGCCTCTTATGGTGCATCCAACGGTATGATTCTAATCCCTTCACCCTCTTCTTTTAACATCTTCTATTTATATCTCTCTTCTAATTACTTTTTTTGCAGTCGTTATCGTTCACGTAAAGAACATCGACGACTTGTGACAAACGGCCAACATGTGCCATTACTTAAAGATGTAAGATTTTATTTATTTTTTAAATTTATTTTTATTATTCCTCCGTTTAAGGACAAGGCAATGGAAGCTAATTTACGATCATTGGAGTCTCGATTGGATAAGATGAGAGATGGACGAGGTAAATTGACTCTTTCTTCATCATTTGCCTTCGCCTCCGGCAATTTGTTCAACATAAAAGCTGGTTTTTAATCGATTTGATAACTTTTTGTTGTGAAAAAGGAAGAATGTGATGATTGGAGGTGTGTTTGTGATATCGACTCGACCTCGACACCATTGCTTTGCTGATACAAATGAAAAGAAGAAATTTTCTTTTTTGTCTTTTTCACAAGCCAGTCATAGAGAGAAGACGAAGAGAGAGATTCTATACAAAATAATAAGTATAGAAAGAAGTGAAGAGAGACAGACAGAGAGAGAGATAGAGAGAGAGTTGTTGAAGTTGACAGTTTGCTTGTTGATGATCATGAAAAGCGACTGTAGCAAAAAAATTATTATATTTAACTATATGATATAATTATAAGAGAAAATTATCTTCAATTCCTGAATTTCCTTTGGCGAGGGCTATTTATCAATCAATGCCTTAAGAAGGCCTTGAATATATTGGGTGTGGTCGGTAGGGTTGTTCATACGCTTCATCCCCTCTTCCACCCAATTCGCTTCATACTTCAAAGAGAGGAACAATCGAATCAATATGTTTCGTTTTTAGGCGATTTCGAAGATGGTTACATGAAGGGATATCGGGATGCCAATAAGCTGGGATCAGCAACAGCCGTCCGAAGACGTCTGGATGATGATTTCGGAGAGCGTGATGATCGTTTCCGTGAAGGATACACCAAGGGTCTTAAGTAAAACAACTTTTTCGTTGCAGAAATTAAATTTATCTTTTGAAGGGATGCTGGTATGACTGGAATGACAACTTCCATGCATAACTTGGCTAACAAGGGAGCTACCGCCGGAGGTTATTCCGCTGGTTTCATGCAAGGATACAAGGTTAGATGAATGGGACTTTGCTTAACCTCATAAACTTTTGTAGGATGGAGGCTCAGGAATTTTCGGAGACCGCGTTACTCCATCATTAATTTCTCGATTAGATGAACAATATCCAGGTCAAGATGATTTCAAGCAAGGATATGTTGATGGATTCAAGGAGGGAGCATCTTCTCGTACAGGAGAAAAGAGGGTAATATACTAATAGCAGTTAGCATAAGTAGCATAATCGTATTTGTAGACGTTCGAAGATTCACGTCGCTTACAACAATCTCTAACTGAATTAACTGAAAGATTGACATCACTTGAGAAGACCAAGGGAGATGAGATCCATTCAACCAAGATCTATCACGTCTGTAAGTTATAACTGTTCTAGATGAAGCATCAATGCAAATCACATAATATAGATAACCAACAACCTGAATTGGCTTTCTCATCTACTGGACAACAGTTAGCTCATGAATTAGAACAGATTGAGAATACTTCATCAAGACGTAGTACTCTTAGAAGACACTATACGGTAATCATTATAACATCTTGAATGGAGTTAACATGTCTGCTCTGTTTAGCCAGGAGATTACTTGAAGTATGAGTCCGAGGGAGAAGGATATAGCAGCCTGTCACGTAACCGACGTTCATTATCGGCTTCAGCTTTAGCTAGAGGTAAGCATACGTTCTCATTACTCTTTACCAAACATATGAACTAACATGGAATGTGTATTGAAGTGTGCATGATAATATGGTGTGTTTCTTCTTACAGACTCATCTGAACGACGAGATGAACAACGCTCACGTCATGCCAGTGGTAACCTTAATGGAAGCTCATACATAACCAGAGCTGCTGCTGATCGTCAAGGAACTGATACATACTCTAAGCGTTATAACTATCGCTCAAGATCTGATGTAGGCAGTCCAAGACGATATGCCAGTCAGACACTCTTGGATGGAAGTCGTCCAGGACCAAGCACTCCACATGCTCGTCGTGATGCTCTGCATACCTTACAAAAGGAGTTAGATAACATCAGTCGCTCTCCCGATAGAGCAACTCCCAGAGGATACTTATCCGATAACAACCAGTACGATACTGTACGCAGTAAAGCTCGTGGACAAGGATACTCTAACTATGATTACGGTAATTAACATTAACATATTTACTTAATTACGCATGATTTCATTTGATTTTGTGTGTTCGTGTGCATTACAGTATGAAGCAGTACCGTAATCCAATAGAATAAGAATAATTAATTATTTTTCTCATATTATTATTTCTTTTTGTTTGTTTGGCATGAATGTTTTCCCTTCTAGACTCATACTCATCATCCCGTCAGCATGAAGTAAGGCAGACATCATCTGCAGTAACAGGTGGAAGTGGAGCAGCAACTCAAGCTGTTCGATACCCACCATCCTCAAAGGCTAAAGGTTTGATTATTAAATAAATAACAAATATATTCATATCTAATTTGTAAACGTTAATAAATATGATTTGAAATTCTTTAGAATCAGCTGGAGATGATTCTGGTCGATGGGCAGATGATTTGATTGAGATTGTCTCAGAACCAATGAACAAAACCTTAGATCGTATGAAGAAGTTTAGTAGCTCAACAGCTAATGTTGGTATGGATTAAGCTTCATCTATCACATTATCTTATCTCTTATCATTCTTCAGAAGGTGGTGCAGGAAGCAGTGGTACACAGCATGAAGTTGTAGTTAAGAATGAAGAAAGGTCATCAACCGTTCAATATAGTTAAAGATTTATATATATATATATATATAATTAAACATACCCTCCCCCCACCCCACCATACACATACAAAATAGAAATTTATATAAATATATATGTATATCATACTTATATGATATAGTTAGTCTCGTATAGCCTAACCAGAGACACATTTTCTTTCTTTCTATATGATATTCTCTCCCTACTTATGTCTTTTCTTTGCTTCAAAACGATGAAAGCTAATGAATTACTCGGTGTAGTTATTATTAATCCAAATACAGCTATCATTCATTGGTGCTCTTCTTTTTCATTTTTTATTTCTTTTAAAGAAAGTATTTTGTATAATGTTTTCTATCATTACCTTTCTTACCTTTAATAAATCCGTTATGGCTCATTTGCATATGACGTCTTTGTCACGTCAACACATCAACGTGAAATACATAATGATGATTGGAGAGTAGTAATAGCCTGACACCGACACCCATCCAGTCTCTATCACTCAAGCTCTCTCTCTCACACATACATACTGCCTTCACATACACACGTCACAACACACTCAACGGTTGCATTCATAAATTAAATACTAATTTTTTGATCACAACAAAAATCCATGCGGAATTTCTTTTTTGTAAAACGCTTAAACCTTATTATATGTCGTTATAGGCAGGATCATCTTTCTAAGGAGCTTTGAAAAAACGTTAAAATTTCAAGTTAAGCTTTTCCCCCATAATTTGGATAAAACAGGCCGGCACGGAATATCGCCTAAGGCAATATCGATAATGAATGTTTATTTATATCTTTAGATGATAATGATAGAAAGGTCATTGCATTGTTTATCAGACAGACACTTTTTCTCATCAACAACCACATGCATACACATATGGCAATCTCCAGACAGAGAAGTTATCGTTTGACCCTGGCAAGGTTGAAGATAAGCTTTAAGTTTAAGCTAATATCATGTTTGATTCATTAAACTACAACTCTTCATCATCATCTTTCTCACATAGCAGACAGACTAGGCATGACAAAAAAGCAAAATGGGCTAGAAAGACGAACATCTAGATAAATTCCAAGTTCCTTTTTTTTCTGTCTGTTTCCAATTGGTACAAAGGTTTGAGCTGCCGACATATCGATGCATCTGAATCCATCAAGGAGCGAATGAAAGTTGAAAAGAAAGGTCAACCATCCTTGGAATCTGAAATGCCCTTTGCATTGTCTCTCTTCATTCCTATTCAACTCTCTTGCAATACTTTTCCATCTCAGTCTGTTCATCTCTCTCTCCCTCTGTAGTTAGTCCCTTAAATGTGTTTTTTCCGTATATGAACCTACATCTTTGATAATATTCTTGACCTTGTTCTTCAACTTGTCTGACCCAAAGATAGTTTAATAAACTTTTATTAAAATAAAATAAATTTGCATAAACCATATAAGAGATAAGCTGTTGCACCCAATATGTACCCATTCATTCAGTTTTTGTTACAGAAAATTCCCTTCTTCTTATAAAACTTCTTTTATTCGTCTTTCTTTCATTGAAGGAGGAAGGAAGAGAAAAAAAAATATTTTTTCGTTCGTTTAGAAATGAATGTCAGAAGAGAACCTTTCAAGTCTTTCCCATACTGACTCATTCACTTCAAATTATAAACATTTTAATTTATAACTCTCTTTCTCTCTCTCTCTCTCTTTGAATGACTCTTTATCTTCAAAAAGAGCTATGAAAAGCTTTGAGAGAGAATGGAATGAGAGGGATGAGGAATGGCCAAAGCCAATCGAGTTACCTGGACGGAAAACGATTCGAACCAAAGACGTGGATGGTGGAGCAATCGGACAGATTTAAGGATGAGAAGACAATGCGAGATTTTACTGCAAAGCTGCTCTAACTGACAAACAAATGAGTTTTTACAATAAGACAGAGAAATCCTTTCCAAATATAAGAATCTTATTGTCTTTCATCTCAAAAGATTTCCATCACCTCTGATTACTCCATTGGCCCACATTTAGCATCATATGACTACCCCCATCCATCAGTTATCCGGTAAAAAAACTTTTTTTTTACCTTCACAACCTCTCTCTCTCTATTCTTCTCTCTCTCTCTATTTCTTCATATATTTGTATGTTGGGTTATCTCTTTCTCTCTCTTCACAGGTGTTGTCTCTTCAATTTGTTCGCTAAGCAAGCTCTCTCTCTTTCCCTCTTTCTTTCTATCTCATCGTCTCTCTTCATTCAACTGCTAACCTCTCTATCTCTCGAGGTCAAGAATACAAAAAACTCAATGATTATCAGAGCTTTCACTTTGTTCCTATTCAAATCCAACAAAAAAACAATTAAAATGCCCTACGGCTATCTAGGACTCACGAGGATGAAAAAACGAGAAAAGACAAAAGGAATTTCCCCAAATATGGAACATTGAATCCCCTGACTGAACCGTTTTCGATCATCTTTATGCGAAACTTCTTTCTCAAAATCTTCTTTGAGAAAAAGGAGAATGAAAAAGTTTTTTGTTCATTCACCGTTTTGCCACAAAAAGTAATTTTTTCGCCGCCAAATTTGAACAGAGAACATATGCGTTTCTCATGTATACATGTTAACGATGGCAGGTACTCTTACATAGATAGATAAATATAAGATTTGATTAAAATTTGAACGATATGATCCGAACACAACCGATCTGAACGTCTTATTCTTCATAAATGACACGACACGATACGCCACGTAGTTCTCACGTGAACTATGCTAATGTATGAGCTCAAGAATGTGAACTATCGATAATGATAGTACTTCCCGCCAATTTGTTTTCAGAGATTTTCAGCTTTTACGTAGTACTGATCTTTTCCAAGACATAAATTCATTGTGATCATACCATGACTGATTACTCCGATAAGCAAATCTTTTCATTTGATTTTAATAAAATGACCTTTTCAGGAGATCTCTTAACATCGCTTTCTCCTATCTCTCTCTTCCTCTCTCTCTCTCTCTCTTTCTCTCATTTTTTTTCTTTTTGTCTCATTTGAATCTTGCGATTTGCGGGTGTATGTCTATCTGCTGAGCTGTTGCAAGTTTGCAATGTGGTCGACAAGTATCTGGTCGTTGCCAAGAACAACGAAGAAATGAACGACGTCAATCCGCAGAGTTGGGTCGAATGTCAACATTGTTGAACATGAATTTCAATAACCTTGATCAAAACATTTTGGCATGAAAAGACACCTGAAAATCGGAAAGCAATGGAAAAGCCAAATCACTTTCATATCTCTCTCTCTCGTTCTCTCAGTCATTTTCACATTCTTGACGGATTCTTCAATTGTGTATATGAGATTGCGTGTTAACAATATCAAAAAACAATTTTGTGTCTTCTGTTGTACAGAATTATTATCCTTCCTCCAGAGCACATGTATTCATTCTTTTAATCTTATCATTCAGTAACAAGCCAACTGTGGTATAAGAGATAGAGACCGGTAAGAAGGTTTCAGACAAAACATTTGAGTAGGCGAAATGCTGATGAAAAAAAAAATTTTTTTTTAATTTTTTTACCTCTCGTCTGATGTTTAAGGATAGGATGCCACATCAATTATCATATTGAGCTTGAAGATAATCCATATGTCAGAGATCAATATGCTCAGACAAAAGCAAATTATAGTTAATCTCTTCCTCTTCCACTACATACTCTCTCAATCATCTCATCCATCCCTCTTTATACTCTTTTGATCTGTGTCTAGCTAATACTAAAAGAAGGTGAAGGAAGCTATGAAATACAAAAACATCTGAACAAGGGTGGAGGGAGCAATCGGTTTCGGGGGAAAGAGAAGGAAGTTTCGTTAAAGACGTTTTCAATAGAAAGTAATATCATAAGATTGGAGTACTATAAGTGATAAGAATTCTTCAAAAGTCTTACCAATGTCCGAACATTGCCGAGCCCTGCCTTTCATGTTTCTAGTGCTGCTTACCATTTCATTAAAAAAGCTTTTTTTATCATAATCATCTTAACTATGCGTATAGTGTAGTCAACTTATCTCATATAGTCTAGCCATGAACTGTGTTTTTCATTCAACATACACACGTTTCAATTCAAACGTCTGCAGCTGGCTATCTAATGGATGAGCATTGACTGTCTTCTTCATTCAACATTATTCAAAAGTTTCATTTTCCAAATGCGGTCAATTGCGTGCAAAAATATTTTTCATTTCAAAGTTTCTTAGATTTTCTTCTGCTTATCAAGGCAATCGTCTTTTCTCCCTCTTTCTCTCTCTCTCTTTCTCTTTTACCCTCTCATACTCATACTATGGTTCCATCTCACTATTTCTCTTTCTCACTCTCTCTGTCCTTTTTTTTCTTTCATAATTGGCTCATAAGAGAATTCTTTTAATTTCAGGAAATGGCAAATGACCTGCTTGTCTGATAAAGTGATTTCTCATCCAAAAATTGAGGTCAATTTTGTGGGCGAAGCTTTGAAAGATACAACTCTTTCTGTTTTTTGAAATCTCCCTTCTGACCAATTTCAAAACCAGCAGATACGCGGCTGCCATTTACGGTAAGAGATGATGTTCATTAGATGAGAACGTACATGCGAGAGAGTATAAGAAAAAAGATTAAGAGAATAAGATAGTTGAGTGCATGTTATGCTTGCATCCAGATAGAAAAGGCTGATGATGATGACGCTACCTTAGATGGTGTCTCTTGCCCTGGTTACCCAAGTACCAGCCCCTTTCCTTTTCTTCAATCGCCTATAAATACCATTTTTCTCTCTTTTTCTCGACAAATCGCCAATCCAGATCTCATTCAGTCTATCTTATATTCTTTATAGTTAGAGCTTTCAATAATAAATTACTACAACTTTGTGTGTTAAAGATAATTTCAGACTGAATAAATCATTTTTTTTCTTTATTTAACCCCACTTCCTCTCTCTCTCTATCTCTCTTTCCCTCTCCCTCTTAGTATATTCTCTTTTCACCTTACAACCATTCTCACTCTCTCTATCCTATTGTCTGATTTGTCCATGTGATGTCTATCCATGTAACTCTTCCAATAACTTTTCTACAAAAAGCATCTTAATGAGGTGATACGATGCAATTTGACTTGGACAAAAAAAATCTTCAAATCATCTTCTTTCTATGTTTTCCCATCACTTCAATCTAATTATTTTCAGAACTCATCAAATCCGCCCATCTGACGACATTTTCCAGCCATTTTTTCATTTCCCTCCCACCCTTTATCTACGAAAACAACTTTGAACCTTCATCCTCTGAAATTTTTCTTTCTTATCTCTCCACCAGTCAGCATCAGTCTTACAATTTTTTCTCGTTCTCCTTAATCACAATATTTTCTTATAAACGTCATAATTTGTATATTCTAATTATTTCTTATTTAGACAGTCACTTCAGATTCCCCTCCCCTTTCCAAAAACTCCCCCCACCCCTCCTTTCTCTCCCTTTCCTAAATCGGCTCCGCCCCCCCTGTCTTTCGCACTTCGGGTAGTGGCGCGGGATGCGGCTGTTGCCACTTTTGCCAATCGTCATACTTGCCGCTCCCCTACCTAAGTCGGCAGAATTCGACAGAACTGTGGTAAGTGAAATATTTAAATTATATAATTTCCTTTAACAAAGACTCCAAACTCAAAAGTAATAGAGGTAGAAACGTGATTACTTAATCAATTTCTATAGTGGCCATTTGAAGCTCATGGTCGAAGTGTTCATGACGACCAACCGTTCATTCATTCCTTCCTTCAGCCGCCCTTGAGTTTTTTTGTCCAAATTTCACTTTTTGTTCTCCTTTTATTAATTTTTATTCTTCCTCTCCTCTTTCCATTGTAAAAAGGTTCTTACCGTACATGGCTAATTTCTTCCCAATCTCTTCGTCTTTCAAAAACGAGGGGAAGGTTCTTTCTTTAATTATTTCCCACAGACCAAGAGATCGAGGAGCAAAATGAAGAACAAGAGATCAAATGGGGCGAATCTCAAATATTACTTACAATCTGATTAGCTAAGCCGAGATGAGCTCGAAAGCCTTTAACTGGCAAAAAACAAGGAGAGAAGATACTGTGAGATGTGCAATCTTTAGCATCCCCCAGAGACCTCTTACCTCATTCTTACTTTCTACGTCATCAACTTCCTCTTCCTCGTCATCATCTTAATATTCATCTCCACCTCTTGAAAAAAATCTTGAAAAAACGTCTGCTAGCGAGATAGAGAGAGTAATAGAGAGTAAGGAATGTAGAAAGAGGTAAGGAGAATAAGAGTGAAAGAGAAGACGAAATGAAATGACTTGTTGAATGAGAGGATATCTCTGCTTGATCTTCATTATGTTGTCCTTCTGAACTTTCTTTGAATTTCTTTTTGGACATGACAGTCTATAATCTGAACCAATTGCCTTGACCTTACAAAAAGTTTAATTCACGTGATCTTTTTCATCTTTTTTTACAGTATCCATCCTCTTTCGCCTCAATGTGCGAGTATGATATTTGAAGCTTCACAGTAATTTTTGATCATGAAAGAGACCCGAAATACTTCATAAATCATGTAATCATTCTCATCATTTCAGAAAACCCCATATCATATACGTAACATCTCGTAACAGTTGTGTTTGAGAAAAAAACTTTTAATCATCATCTTTTTCGAGACAAATTCTTAATCCTGTCTGTTTTGAGTGTCTGGTTACAGAGCGACTCTGTCTGAATAATAGTTCTATCAAAGATTAAAAATTGAAATTACTATATGAGCTTCAAAAATAATTTAGTTAAAAGAGAATACAAATAGAGAGAGTGGAAGAGAGAGAGAGAGAGAGAGAGAGAGGGGGATTGATAAAGATAGAGAGAGAGAGATCAAGAGAGAGAGAAAGGGATAGACTGAGAAAGGGGTGGGAAAATGGAAGATAGAGACGAGGTGATTGAGGAGATGCAGAGCAGGAGCATTCGTCAAAGACATGACAAACCAATTTAAAATATTTGTTGACGTATTAGGATATGGATTTGACCTAATATTGTCAACAAAAAAAAACTAATTATTACATTTTGGCGAAATGTGTCTGATAGAAGAGAAGACCAGAGATCAAATAGGCTTTATATCAGGTCGTTTTATAAAAATCTTGAAGATTAAAACTGAAGACGAAGATCTAAATGTCAATTAGATTGAAACTCAGCTCAAAAGGCATGACCTTCACATCACCTATCTTCTTTTTTTCTTTTTTTCTCTCTCTTCTTTCTTGTCGACTTCAATCATCCGGATCATCTTTTCTTCCCCCCCCTACCTCTTTCCTCTCTCCCATTCCCCTTCTTTGGCTTTGAATGGTGAACTCATTTTGTATTGCCCAAATAACACCATTAACACAGATAATTCCTTAAAACGCTGATGAATCAGTTCCGAATATCGACGTCAAAACTTAAGACGACTCAGCTTTTCCTTTACATTTCACCATCTCAAACAAACAAGGCTTTAGTCATGCGGTGCATTGTTCCTGGATACCACGAGTTATACCTGAAATGACTCTGAATGATTGCTTTCTGATCCCCTCTAGGAATGTCCTTGCCCATCCTGCAAAGACTGTCCCACTAATTTTTCCATTCCAGTTCACATTTTTTTGACTGCCCTGATCTCTCTTTGATGATACCTTTCAACGAGTGTTGGCGAGCATTCAATTGTTGAGTCCAATTTCACTTCCTCCATCCATTTTCCTACTTTTTTGTTGTCTTCTTCTCCTACAAAAGTCATTTTCCGATTACCCGAAAAGCCGACGATAAGCAGGTCAGACATAACCCCCTTATTGACAAGCAAATTAAGCAAAAAACTTATTATTAAGTAATCGACAAAATTATAAAATGAGGTCGATTTTGCGCTTTATTTCTCATTTCATCGGGCTTTTCATAGTTTTCTCGACTACGAGACCCTATAAGCTCATAGGAACACATAATGAACGGAAGTCGAAAAAAGCTTTCTGATCAGCCACATTCCTTTGTAACAACTTTCCGTTGTTGGAAGGAAAGTGATCTGATGGCATCCGTCACCACGACGACAACATTTTGACGAAAAACGTGTCGCCGAGTTCGAAGGACGGAATGACATCGAATGGCCTCATTTTCCAGTGACGAACTTACAATCTCTTTTAGTACAAAAAAAATACGTAGAAGGGGAGATGAGCATGAGCTTAAGTTGTAAGCTGAGAGAAGAAACAAACAAAATCACATTGATAAACAAAGCCGAACATATTTCATAGAACATTTCTTTTTTTTCAGCAATATCTTTATCAATACGGGTATTTGGGGACACCGCAACCTAGTCTTCATGAGTTACGTACAGCTCTTGTCGTATTCCAGGTATGTTCTACTACGAAAGATCGTTTAAGAAATGTCCTTTAAAATACTGGTTCACGTTATTTCTTCACTTGAATGATCACAATGACACTTTCCTGACAGGCACACAATTCTTTTTAACCAAAAAATGTATTTGTCATTTGCTGTTTCATTTTGTCATCCCGAAGCCCTCTAGTCACTTAGTTAATGAATATTAGAATGTTCAATTAAAAGCTTCCTGACGTCATTACCTTGAATGCAAAAACTTGTAAAAAAAACTATTTGTTAAGGAAGTCGCGGGTGTTCCGATGACGGGAGAGTTGGATGACGAAACCCTTCTGGCAACCAGACGACCACGTTGTGGACAAGGGGATACTCAAAGAGCTAAAAATAGACAAAAACGTTTTGGTAAATGATCATGTATTAATAGCTGACTACTTCTTTCTTTCTCTCACAGCTATCTCGCAGCAGTCAAAATGGCCGAAACGTCATTTCACGGGTGATAATGAAATTCATCTTAAATGGTTTATCTCTAAGTATACAAAAGATTTAAAAGAAAAAGTTATTAGGTATGATGTGGGTTGATAACTTTCATACTTTCATTTCTATTACAGATCAACTGTTCATAAAGCTTTTCAACTTTGGGCAACTCAGTCTAATGTTAAGTCTGTTCCGAAGGTAGTGTTGACTAGTTGGTTCGAGTAATCCAATTGAAGTCTTTCAGGTTACCTTGCATTTCGAAGAAGTTCATGCAAAAGATGATGCGGACATCAACATTCTTTGGGATGAAGGAGAACATGGAGATTCTCATAAGGTTTGTGTCCACATGTGTTGTTGTTCTAATCTCTTGTTGTTCATAGTTTGATGGTTCGAGAGGAAATCGGGATAACATCCTGGCTCATACTTTCTTCCCTGGACATTCTCAACCCTTAAACGGCGACATTCATTTCGATGATGCCGAAGATTGGGAAGTGGATCTGGAGAAAGTTAAAACTCAGTAAGCGACTTAAATCTCTCTCTCTGCAAAACATCTTAAGAAGAATATGAAAAGCACTTTCGATTTTGAATAGTCTTCTCTTAGAACTATTACGCCATGAAAATGAAATTTAAAAGTTTCTATGACCTATACATTCATTAATGATATAATTTGAAGTGATCGTCGATTCTTCCCGTATGTCTTGGCTCATGAAATCGGTCATGCGTTGGGTCTGCAACATTCTCGAAAACCAGAAGCTCTTATGAATCCTTATTATTCGGATACTCCATTAGATGAACTTCAGTTGGATATTGATGATAAATGTGGAATCAATTGGAATTACGGTAAGAACAAGAAAATATTAGGTTAAAGACATCCGTTTACAATCAAGTTAGTATTTGTTTCTTCCAAGCAATCATATGATATGTGTATTGTAAATGGAATATAACAAACACACATAAGCAAGAGGGATTTATGATTTACATGAAGTTCATTGGTTTCAGCTGGTCCATCTGACTTTTGCTTGTTTGTCTGGCTTATGTCCGATGTAATACATATGCGGAAAAACAATTCTGATTATCACCATGTCTATTCGTCAGATCACATTTTGCCTTCGAATGAAAGAATTCGTAAGAAGTTGAATAGTAAGTTGCCAATCTTTCATCAGACATCTCACAATCAGACCTTGTAGTTCTTTCGGATGTGAGCATTCCCCGCTGTACGCGAACAAACGATGTGGAACAATTCGCTGAAAAGCGACTTCATCGAATGTTACAGTTTCCTCCCGAAGAAGCTAAGATCTTCAGTAAGATCATTGAATACATCGACTGTTAGTACATGATGTTTGATTCTAGGCCGTGTTGTCTGTAACTTCCTTGCTGGTCTACACGTATATCGTGCTGAACGGGCTAAGAAAGCAGAGAACGATCCTGACTTCCAATATGAAGAAACGATAGAGAAAGAATTTCATAGCGTTTCCAAAACAGTCTCTGAATTCTCTCATTCGTCAGCCAACTCCATACGTAGGATGGCACGGCAAGCGGAAGAAGATCAATCACAGCATAAGCCGAACATATTTGGTAACACCTATCTGTCTGGAACATATCATTTCATAAACAATATCATTTTAGATCCAAATTATTTTGATGCGGAGTTTTTTGACGGATTTTTCAATCAATATCTTCAACTCAACGGGCAGTGATTGTGATTTTCCTTGTTTTCTTTTTAAAAGGAATTAATCACAAACAACTTCATTTCAATCTCGTCATCCATCCAGTCTTCCAAATTCTAGTTTTTCATTTTAACTTAACCATCTCCTTAATAATTCCCGGGTCTTCATTACCTTGTTATCCTCTCACCGCGGGTGATCTGCTCTTACATACTGTTGGCATTTCCTTGTTTCTTTTTTTTCCGAAAATAGGCTTTTACAACATTGAACAGAGGTCATGAACTTTCGGAAAATGAAGAGAACTGCCGACGGACTCATTGTAATGCGGACGATTTTGACATTTTCTTTCTTTTTTTTCATGTTTGGTTGTCTCTCATAATTTATAGGAAGTTTTGAAGTTGTATACTCATGTTCTACAGGTCCTACCCTTCTTATCAACACCTTATCCGCCCTTCCCATCCTACTCCCTCTATTTATAATATCTCAATTCCTCTCCCTCTCTCTCTACTTCTGATGATATGGAATGACCTCGATAGTTTTCGAATGAGCTTCTCAGAAGCCTACATGGCTTCATCAACTTGAGCTTTAAGTTTCAATTGCGATGCACTTGTACATAAAATGTCTTCAAACCACATAATTATTTGGAGGTATTGTCCAATCCTACTCTTCTCTCCTCCACCATAGGACCTAGTCCGAAAGCTTCCCTGAGAAGAAAACGAAGAAGGGAAACTCATCTATCAAGTCATTTATGTTGTATCCTCATTGGCTTTGTTTCTCTCCAAGCTGGCAGAAGAAACTCCCAAGGTCATGAAAATCTGATGAATGTCCAGCTGCCCCGAATGATCTTTGTACAACATACTGTTTACTCTTCGTTTCTCCAGCATTGACTTTATTCTAATCATGCTAACCATATTTGGCCGATAAGTAGCTGCTGGTTCCAGCTTCATACTATATCTATTTCTAGCTCTAGTTGACAATAGAAGCATTTATTAGAGATTTATCCATATATAGAGGTCATGAACAGACAAAATGATTTGTCTGTTAATAATAATAATTGAGATCCAACAGTTTGAGAGACCTCTCCGTCTTCCTAATATGTCGTCCATGATCTCCTACCTGAACCCATGATGATTTCGTTTCTCCTCCTTATTTATATATGAAGTCATCTATCTTAACAATGTGCAAAAACCTTTAGTTCTCGAACAGCTGGTAGTATTAATGTATAACTTTATTCTTAATTAAAGAATTATTTATTTGTTTGTTCTTGTTTATTACACAACAGCATTATGTCCATGTGGTGGGCGGATTCCAGCCATACTTAGTCAAAACCTTGTTAGCCAACTTGATGTATGCTCGTTGACTGTCGGTTTTATTCATTCCAAGAAGCTTTTTCCATTCATCAACACATGGTTGTTTTTCAGACTCGACTGAAAATGAACGAATTAACTTAATGTTTCCTATGATTTTTGTTTCCGCGTCTACTGTCATCTAGATAATGTCGTCGCTCGCTTTTTTTCAAGGCTTCGACGTTTATCTGATTCAGAAGGTCAGCTTTCACGACATGACATACTTTCACCTCACATATTGATGCTATTAAAGGTAGTAGAGAAACAAAGAAATGCACTTTTGTTTTGATAACGGTCTAATATGGGTGAACGATTGACCTTCACAAGGTCTAACCTAGACACCCATTTCTAAGAAGTTTAACACTTTGGACCTTGATGAATCTTCATAGCACCGTGATGACTGGTTCAGATTTACTTTCAGCGTTCAATCAAATCTTATCTTCTGAATTTTCTCTCTCCTTTTTGCACTAACTGTGATCTCCGATTTCCGCTTGAAGCTTCAGCGCATCCAGTTTCATACGAACTTCCACTGGTACTTCGTACTCTCCGAACTTTCCACGATACCCGGCACGCCGTATTTTTTCAACAGCATCTTGGAAATCCTAAAGCTATGAATGTGAGAGGATATGATGATTCAGAATGTACCTTCTCTCTTTGAGCAGTTCGCTGATCTTCTTTCTTCTTCAGCCAGAAACGTCGAAGTTCGCTAGCTCGCTCTTTCGCCTTCTCCTGTTCTTCCTTCCATTTCATCCATCTGAAAAATCCATTGCGGACAAAACAGTTCTCTGATAAGTTGCATAACATAAAGAGAAAACTGTCTTATATAAGAAAATTTTGGGATTTCAAGATGTTTTGCTTGTGATGGCCTACTTTAATCCCGCATATTCAATTTTTCGTAAGAAATAATTAACTTCTAACCTAATTTCTTGAAATTCTATTTGTTCCTGCTTCCTTTGGCGAAATTCATTCATAGCCATGTTGAGATAATGCTGGAAAATGCTGAGAAACTAAATACAGAAAACAAGAAGAGGGAAAATGAAGACACAGCTCATGAGAACCATCACTCCTTGACCAAACGCTTTTGAATCGGGAAGACCACACCAAAATAACAAAATTGGCTGCCATTGAGATCATGGGAGAAGGAATAATACACTACATTGCGATTATTATGATCATCTTTGTTCGAAAATTGAAGACAATTTGCCTAATTGACACTCTCCATTCAATCCCATAGAAGTGAAAGGTACGGAAAAGCACAGAAATATCCTTCTTAAGTGGTCTGGGCATGACATCGTTTCATGACTCATTCGGTCTTACTAATTTCAAAGGAGACAGCAATAGCATCAGGCAACAGATCTCGTTTGATCTTTGCTTGGGAAACTCCTTCCGGAACTTCTCATACTATATGCGCAGTACTTTGACCGCTCAGGATATAACATACCTGGCCGTATTAACATCTTTGTTCACTCCTACAATCGAAGCGATGCTTGAACTTGGTCTTTGAAATATATCTTTCATGCCAAGGAAACGGGAAACGTTTATCTTTAAATGTGTGTGGGATTCCTCCACAGCTATCTCTACTCCGATATGCAGCAGAGCTGGGACGAGTTGAGGATAACAGCTGGATATATCATAATCAGTGTTTGTATTGCTCGGATAAAACCCAACTTATCTGTGATGAAATAAGTTTTTGAATTTGGTTTTTGCTTGAACTCCTGACAGTCAAGCAGGCTGCGAGATAATCTCCAGCCAAACGAAGGCATAACAATTCTTGTCTATCAGCTCAACGATGAAGCTTGTATTACCCACATCAAACAGAAACAGACGTACACAGTCTGAGACCTTATTAGCATTCTTCTGGGAAAACGGTATAATCCTGAACACTTATTGTGATAGAAATAGATATCAGCGATCTCAGGACTTGGATCACTTTCTCAGCTCGAACGAAACAAGATTCCTGAGACATTCGCTGGTCTCAGACGTGATTTTGATCACAAAAGTTCACATAAGAACTCAAGGGACCATCAAATCACCTTTGTATGCTTTGACTCAACAAACTTCAGTCTTCTTCGATCTTTCTGCTGTGGTGTATCAATCATCAACTGAATAATACTGTAGTTCATCAGAGTTGTGGAGGAGAGGAGAATGAGAATGCGCACTATAGCTGCCTCACATTGAGTACAACCTTATCTGAACTTTTATTAAATAATTAATAATTTGCAACATTGATACAGACTAAACAAAAACGGGAATGTCTGTTCCTCGAACGTTGATAACGGTGCCGTTCCACCGGCACATGCAAAAACAAAAACATTTACAAGTAATGTTGGTTTTCAAGATCATAAAAATTTAGCAGGCTTCTTCCATCTTTGGAGATGGAGGAGTCTTCTTTTGTACACCCTTTCTCCGATGAGCTCTCTGTGTCTTCCTTTGAACTTGCTTGGCGTGTTGGAATATCTCATCCTGAAGTAAACCATACCAAATCGAACTGAATGCTTTCAAACCGACTTTCAATTCAGGTTCTATATCCATATCTGATTTAACCAACATGATAAATACTCCACCTGGAGTTCTTCTTCGAGATCCATCTAACACCTATCACAAACAACCATGAGCTACGAAGAAAAGGAATCATGACAACCTTCATTCCTCCGGATGATTCTACTTGACGAGTTTCGTCAAAAATAGCCAATGCCTTCTCTGATCCAATCCCATTGACAATCTTCATAAGTGCCTCAGGATCATTCTCTCCCAAAGCCAGAGCCATCTCTTTACCCAGTTCATCGAGGGACAAACCATCAGTAAATTCTGTAGCCATTAAAGCTTCCAATGAATAATCATTGCTGAGAGTAGCATTCTTTGTCTGAATAGTACTTAGAAGAGTCAGAAGAATATGCTTACATTCGGTTGATAACGTCGTTTGTTGCCATTAGTTTGAGCACCATTTCCGCGTCCTCTCCCTCTGTTAAAGCCTAAATGACGTACTGAAGAAACAATTTCTGGAAGTTAGAGTTACCTCCTCTACCACGTCCTCCATTCCGCCGACCTCTTGAATCATTTCCTCTAACCTAAAAGAGTTTGTCATTTAGAGTTTCATGTTTACTTCATACTCCAAATCCTTCAACTGAAGACAAATCCACCGGGTCCGCAAAAGGATCATCGCTAGCTGGTGTTACAGCAACAATGGGGTTCTATTCTCGATTGCAATAGTATTACCAATCAACATACCTGGGCTAACAGCTCTAATTCAGGTTTCAATAAATTGGATGGGACATCGTATGTCTCTGCTCCTCTATTGATCATTTGAGTCTAGAGCAAAGGATACTGCTATGCTTAGAGGAAAAGAACAAACCGATGGATCGCTATTGAGATTGAAAGAACTACTCTTACTTTCCAAGGATTGCTCTATGAGAACGTCACTCCAAACATTATTTGCTCTCTTCTTCTTTGGTGAACTCTAAGTTATTAAACATTTCATGGAAAAAGAGAAGTTATAGAAACCATGCCATCATCATCAGAATCATGGCGATGGGGCATCCTTGAACATTCATCATCTGAATTGTCTTGATCATCATTCGATCTACCTCTGTACATTGCTGCAAACAGAATAATAAAGAGATCAAATGAATGAGGAGAACAGGTATTCAGATGACGGAAACAGCTCATCGTCTATCTCATTTATGTAAAACTTTATTCCAATTTGAAACAATTTAAACGTTCGTGCAATCAATTATTATCCTTTATTGTGAGTGTTACCCCACCCTCGTCTATGAGTATCTTTGTATTCATCCATATGTATTCTGCCTCTCCTCTTCTCTTCTTCAGCTTCTGAATCATCATCATCACTTCCGTCTTTACTAGAACTGAAAATAGGAAAATGTTCCGAATGTTCGTATATGGAAGCCCACCAATCATCATCCTTGTGATCGTGACTTTGGGGAGCATTGCTTGGCCCAGGAACAGTCCCGTGACTACCCGCGTTTTCAAATCTTTGAGAATACCATTCATCTACGGTCAACGTAGGTATTGAAGGATATCCTAGGCCGAACACCTATACTTCATCATTAGTAACGGAGACGGAAGTCACTCAACCTTCTTTTGCTGCTGATCTCGAGTTATTGTGAAAGTCTTGAGAGGTTTTCTCGGCTGTTGTTTCTTTTCATCTGAAATATATACAGTTCACATTCAAACATGTAAAGCCCTTACCATCGTTCTCATTAGCCTCTGGTCCTCGGAGCATCCGTTTCACTAGTGGTATTTCAGCTGAAATGATGATTTGATGAGAAAACTCGTGAATGCTCACCTTCGACTGAACACAATTCATCATATACTTTGTTCGCCCAGAATTTCAGTTGGGTCATATACAAATCTCTCTGTAACGAAGTAAACGCATGCCTTCATAATGCAAGGGACTCACTGTATCGGCATCGTTGTTCACTCCCTGACTGCATACGACACTTAAGGATTTCAGCTTGGCCTTAAGATAATACATTCACTTTTGTCAAGGAAAAGTGTAAACCACCTCCAGCTCTTTCTGCAGCTTAAATCGTTCGATTTTCTTCTCTCTGGACTGTTCAATGTTGCTGTTCTTAGGACAAACTTGAAGGAAATTCTGTTAAGACTGTAAGCATGGAAGGTTACCTTTGGAATCTTCTTCTCTCTCATCATCTTCAACACTCCACCATAACTCGAAGTCAATGACTCCGTAATCTTTTAATCGTTGTAAAAAATCTTTATAATAAATCTATGAAATCGAGTCATGTATACAAAGCTCAAAACATTACATACCTCAGCCTTCCTCAACTCATCTAATCTCTGCTGTATATCGGAGCATCCGTTGCCGTGTAGGAATCCCAGATACGCAGGGAGAAGCAGAAAAGGTAAAGATGATGGTGGAAGCTCATCAATCTGAGACAAATTTGATTGTGGCCATATCTTCTGCACCTACAGATTCGTTGTCAGAGAACAGGCTTAAAGCGGATACATCTCTTGTCAAGCTCTCCAATATTTCTCTGGCTTTATTGATCGATACCTGATTCAAATAATATGTACAGTTGAATACAAACGGATAGAACCTTTCCTGTCTTAGCACCTATTCTACCATCCTCTAAGGATCTGACTATACTCTCGGCGGATTCGAATTGTTTCTTCATAGACTCTTCATTCTCCTCTTCTGTTCTTGAATTTTTGTCACCAACATCATTAGACATATTCTAAACATTACTTATTTTTATTTAACCCAACATTACTTTTTTGAAAACAATTTTTACGAATTGGCGAAATAGACGTCGATTTTAAAATTGCTACGTATCTTCCGTAAACTAGCGTGACCGATGTATATCAAAGGGAATTGCAATTTGTTCCGTTTCATTCAGGTTCCCGCAGGCCCTAGAAGTCTTTCATTTCATTTTGAAACTGGATTCTCACTGTCTTAGCTAATATTCTTAAAACTAAACCTAAACTTTTTATAAAAAATTAATAAATTTAATAATATTTTTAAATAATGAGTAGAATAGCTGTGAGTTTCCACAGATAAAACTTATTTAAAGAAAGTTTTCAGAATGCGCGAGTACTTTGGGATGAACCTGGGGAGCTGCTTAAGGTAGATTTTAATCGAAAACTTGAAATATTGCTTATGATTTGAGTCTATGGTCGAAGTGCAAGATGTGAGACTTTCGACGAATAATGCCGTGACGGGTTTTCCTGTGTCGTATTGTAGGCGAATGAGTAAGGATCGATAAAATCCTTCACATTCATTAAAAATATTGTTTGCAGCAAGCAATATGGCGTTTTATCATTATAAAGGAACTTTCAATCCTTTGTTGAAGGGGAAAGACAAAGTCTTTCAGAAAAATCGGAAGAAGTGTAAGTATGACTTCTGTGCTACTCCTTAACCTCTTTCTAGCCAATCAGTCTAAACTGAGTCTAGGCGGAGGTGAAATATATAGTAAAGTGTTAGAAAGCAAAAAGAGAAGATTTCTGATTCATCAGTAAGCCATTCTCATTTTGCTTCCATTTTTTCTCCTTTTCAAGAGATTACTCACAAGGCAAAGAACTTTTCTCTATCGCGGTATATGATGACACTGGAACCAGATGTCCATTGCTACCTCAGCCGATCGGTATGAATTATAGTCTCAAGAATGATGTTTCGGTTGGACAGCATATCCGATCACCTCTTAACTTCTCTGATCAGACGTATATTGTGAGTTTTGATCTCCATACTTCTGAATTGAGAGTATTATTGAAGGTGTCTTGCGATTGTGTTGATGGATGTTCATCAAGCTGTATTTGTGCTCTAATGACAAATGACATGGATGATGTAGAAGCCCGGTCATCGGTAACTCACAAATTCTCAAACGTTAATATATGATCACTTAAAGTTGAAACAGAACAGAGGTCTATTGCTTCTGAGCAACGATTTTCTGAATAGAAAGCTCCTTGTGTGTTGTGGAGACTTGTGTAAATGCCCACCAACTTGTAAGAGACGCCTCGAGAACCTGATAAAACCAAAAAAGTTGGTTTCAGTTCGACAATTACAAATTTACCTATTTTTGTAGATTTGAGATATATAAGTACAACGATGACGTGGGTTATTGCCTAAGAACCATGAATAATATCACTTATGGAGAGCTTGTAATTGAGTTTGTCGGCAAGATCAAAGTTAATCCTGACCACGTGAGTGAGGATTATGCTATGCTCATTAGCAAGTATGACGATACTGATCTCATGAAAACGTTGATGGAAACTACTTATGAGTACATTGATGAGGTAGTCTTCTGTTCCCTCATATTGTGACAAAGATTCTTAAGGACGCATGGAGATCTTACCAATTCGAAGAAATCCATTTGGATCCTTATGACTTCGGCAATGCTTCCCGTTTTCTCAAACATGCTTGTATTCCAAATACATATCCAATAAGGTTTGAATTGAAATTTCATATCAGCTTATTAAATAGCTATAGAGTTATCGTAAACGACTTCCGCCCCTTTATGCATAGATTTGTGTTCGTGGCAACAGCACCAATTCCGGCTGGAGCCGAGGTGACAGATATCTAAATTGGTTTTATGAAACAGATTTTGCAGCTAACATTCGATTATGGACGGGACTATTGCAACCGCCTTGAAATGCACTGTAAATGCAATGCAATTTTTTGTGTTCAGCAAAAAGAACGTTACACGAAAATGTCGCCAACGGCAGTCTCAGGCGTGATAAATGCTTATACGGAATCACTGATAACTGCGGCCATTGAGATGGATCATATACGTGAACAGTTTCTAAAAGGTAATAGATAGACATGCAACAAGATACATGATTCTGTCATAGAGCAATCAGATGCAAGAAAGCGGAGGAATGGAAATCTGGTTAAAGATATTCTGGTTGAAGTAGTACAGGACGAAGAAGCAGAGGTAGAAGCTTGAAAAGCTGAATCTCTGTTCATATCAAAGCATAATTGGTGAATATATTTATATATTATAAGTTTTACAAGTGTTTTAACAAACTTTTATTGTTTTATATCAGTTTACTAATTTAAGTGCTGTCTTTCCGTTTAGAAAGATCTCGATTTGTATACCAATTCTTACTTTCCAAAAGGTTTTAGATTTTATATATATTTGTACTCTTACAAATCAAACTGTTTTATAAATCCTTCTATACTCACAGACACATACACACATACTCACATATTGCCCTTTACGTCTCCGTAATCGCTGAAGATCATGTAATGCTTCTGATAGATAGAAGTGTCTGACATGAGAAGAGATGTGCCCCACTATGTCTTCTCACCACATTTTCATAAAACTTCTTCAATTCACACAAATAAATGGATTTAGGCTTAACAGCGACAGACATTCGAAGACAATCATTGATATGAGATTAGACACTCAGCTTATCGCAAACAATGCCGGATGAGCTGTGTAGTTTGACAAATATGGATTGTCATTTTGGGAAACTTTCCATGCAGCCACTATCATATCTTTCCTGTCGAGCATTATGTTTTTCTAGATTACTATCTAACGTCTGCAATGCAGTACAGGGCATATGCTCTCCCCATGCTAACCACCAGAGATAACTTATGGGCTCTTGAGAATCCGATTAAATTAATATTGGAATTCTTTTTGAAGAATCACACCAATCATCTAATCTCAGTTGTGCTTCCAATCTGGCATCCAAATATAAACCTGGTACAATCCTCATTGATTCCAACTTCTCGAGATGCTACCCAACCATTATTCAAGTTAACTGATCCAGAGAACCTCAATCAGTGCACCCTTGTGTGTCCAAATAGAAACCATATTAAACTGAAAATCTAATTATGGTCAACATCATTGAAGTTTCATGGAAACTCTTGCGACTGCTCGTTCGTTCAGAACTTTTTATTGGAGAGAGAGTATATCGAATAAGAGAAAACCATTACTCAAGCAAGTTCTCTAAGACTTTTTCCTGTTATTGAGCATTGCGTCACTGGTATTAAACGTTGTCAATTTTTCATCCTTTCTCGATTATATTTTCCATGCGAGTTGAATATTTGGTAGTTCATTCCATTTATGGAGAAACCAATCATTCACGCGCATTATTGACATGGCCTTCTTGCTTGACAAGACTTCGAAAAAAATTTTTGTCTCAAACTATGAATTCAGTGAGTGGTCACTCTCTGCTGACATTGATTTCCTTATATTCCTTGACATATCTGCACTTGAGCCCCAAATAACCTTTGAAACCTAATTCTATTTAATTCAGCATTGCAAATTAAATGCGAAATTCAATCTAATTGCAATCTAGCCACATGTATAAAATAATAAAAAAGAAAAAATTCGATTGCCATTCTTTGTTGTAAACACATATCCATTGCCCTAAATGAATCTGCATCTCTGCTATTATTATTTTTCGCATTTGTCTAGAAATAAAAAAGATTAGGGGGCACGCGGAGTTGAACCACGGACCTCTCGATCTGCAGTCGAATGCTCTACCACTGAGCTATACCCCCACATGGTCAAAAGTTTAACATCGACAGTTGTCTTGGACAAGCTACAGGTCATTGTCAATGTTTACACTTTAGCGTCGAAATATTTAAGCAAATACATAACATATGAGGTCAATGAATAAATGATCCGAACGTTCCGAAAAAAACTTGAAAACAACAGAAGAATAGAAATGAACTTGCGAAGCATTAAACTTTGAGTGAAAAAAAGGTGTGAGGACTTAGTAAGCTGAACTAGAACCTGGCAGACAAGAAAGAAAGTGTGATAGAGACAGTGAGAGAGGAGGAAAGAAAGAGTATGGGACAGGCTGAGAAAGAAAGAGAAAAGGAGGAGGATGTAGAAGCTCTTTTCACATATCAGACTGGCTGCCTATTCAGAGGGAGAGTCTCTATAACTTCACGTCAGTCATCTGACTTCCGCATCAATTATACCAAATTCTCTTAATATTCTAACCTCTAATTCATTTGTAAAACGATGATGTTTTGACGTATTTGTTGAAGTCGTAAGTCAAGATTCCTTATTAAAATTTTTGTTGGTTTTGACGTCAACGAGAAAGACGACGATGGTCTCTGATCAATTCAAACGCTTCATCTTTTCCTTGCTCACAAATTTCCAATGGATATTCGAGTAAAATACTTGTTAGTGTCTCGTATTGCTTTCTTATCCGAATGTCAAGTGTGTTCCACATATTTCATTCGATTTTTACTTCAAGTGCATTGCGATTTCACAGCTCTTCATTGTTTTCAAAATATTTTTCTCATCACACACACACACACAGACTGATGTCCTGCCCTTGTTAGTTCTTTGCATGGGCTTCTCTCATCAGAAAAAGAAAAAATCGGTCATTTACTGAGCATAATATATTTTAGTACTTCTTCAGTATCTTCATCCTCTTCTGCTTCATCTATATACAGATTATCAACTTGCTTTCTACTATTCTATCTTTTCATTCTCATCATCTCCTCCTCCTTTCCCATCTCAATTCGAACAACGATGAGAATTGAAAAGAGGATGAAATATTTTGTTTTTCTTTCATCATAATAAATATATCTTAATCCATAATATTCATATCCGAAATCAATGTTTATTCAGTGCATTCTCTCTTTCAAGCTCAATTACAATTTCATTTCTGTCGAACATGACATAAGCAGATGGATTCAATATCGCTCTTAGGGCCAACTCCTCATACTCGAGTGGCTATAACACAGGTTTCATTTCATATTCGCTTCTCATATAATTTCTTCCATAATTAGGAGGATTTTGATGCTCGTTACAACTTTGTTCGAAGTCGACGGAAGACTCCTAACTGTGATATTCTGGAGAAGAAGCTAATTAAACAAAATTGGCAACAATATGAGTCAATACAGGATTTCCTGCCTTTTATAAAGTATGATTTACTTTTGTTCATGCCGCAAGGCATTCTTCTTCTAGACGGATTAGACGATATGAACTTAAACGAGATGGAGCGAGGGACTTATTTGGTTCATTATTGATAGCTGCTTTGATCATCCCTCAAGGTCGTCTCCTCACACTTAATTGCAATCTCATCGTTGTATTTTCAGCTTTGAGCGTTGGAGTTCTTATAGATGATGTATCAGCCGCTTTGCTTTCTTTGTTTATCCCTCAACTTATTTATTTCATATTTGGCTCTGCTCGACATAGTTCACTGGGTAATAACATCAACAAGCAATCATTTTCTCATTCACACCTTTAAGGATCATTATCACACACAGCTTTCTTACTATACTGCAGTCGCCACTATTCGAATGCTGATTATGGAACTCTCACATTCTATATTGGCATTATACAGGTGTGGCAGAACATCTACAAACTGGGAACTACAGTCATTTTCCAGATTATACTTTTCCTCTTTCCATCCGAATGGCTCTTTGCGGTATTTCCAATCCAATTGTTTGTTGGGTTCTCTTTGGGTATCTTCATCAGAATCGTAATTCATCTTCTCTCCTTTATTTTTGTATTCAATAATTGTTTTTCGTTTTCTGGTGATATGGTAAGATATGAGTCAAATTTCATTTTTGAATACAAAACCTTCTATTTACAGAAACTTGAACCTTTTCTGCATTGCTTGTCTTCTCTGAACGTTCAAATCTTCATCCTCTTCCTCCTCACGTTTTTCACTTCATTCCTATTTCGTTGGAAGATCAACGACTACTTATCACAGCTTCTTGCGTCCACCATTCCTCACGAATTGCTCTTGGTGACTAGTTCCTAATCCTCTTCTGTCTACTTTATATCTTACAGATTATCTTTTTCTCCATAATAGGATACTTCCTGCATATAGATGTGTCAGCGAAGATCCCTCACCTACCACATATAATGTATACAACTTTGTTGCCAAACTTTCAACTTAATATCTACTTTGAGATCTTCCATACAAGTCAGACCTCCATCAACTCCAACTTTCCTATTGCTAGTGGATGCCACAACAATTGCCATTTTCTCATTTTGTCAACATTTCCGAATTACAAGATCTATTGCAATCGAGAAAATGCACAAAGTTGAGAGGAAGCAGGTGTGCTCCTACTTAAACATGCAAAACAAGTTTCGCTTCAGGAAATACTAACCTTCTCATTAATAAGCGTTATATCAAGCATTTTCGGCTTCCTACCACCATCTAGTTCACCGGGAAATAGTCAAATCAATGTAGAAACAGCCAAGTACTCTCTGGTAAGGGTAGCGAACAAAGAAAAAATGAAAAAAAAAATTGCAGTTCTGCACGCTCATGTCTATTCCTTGGATTTTCTTAGCAATTCATTTCTTCGGCTATTATCTAAGTTTCATACCTAAAGTGAGTACTGAAGGGAAGGAAAAAGAGATGATTCCGGGCGGGCTCGAACCGCCGACCTTCTGTGTGTTAGACAGATGTGATAACCACTACACCACGGAACCTTACATACACCCAATTTACTTTTCTCACCAAGAAGCTATCCGCTTGACATAGGATTATCATTTATGAGTAAAAAAAACGACATTTTCCAGAGTGTTATTTGCGGATTAATTATCACGTCATTCAGTGGAATTACGACTGAAATCAGATCTTTGAGAAATGTGTTGAGCTCTCAACCGTGTGATGGGGTGCGAAGGAAATTTTTCAAATATGCTCATTTTCGTTGTTTTAGTTTATACGGGTGGCATCTTTAGCTTCAGCTGTTCTGTTCCCAAATTGTAATATTGGCTTCATATTTGCCTTGATAGTCTCGCTGTTCACTGTTATCTATAGAATACAAATGTAGTGTTGAGACGAAGAGCAATTTATTGAGTTTCGTTCACTTTCAGAACCCCATGTGAAGTTATGGTTAAAGTTGCTGACAACTTCTTCATCGAAGAAAACAGGTAACCACTTCCGATATCCTTGATGATTGTTTTGATTCTTTAGATACAATGATGGTGATTGTCTTGACACGCCTCTCAGGATTCTTAAGATCAACGGTCCACTATTGTTTTTGAATATAGAAGATATAAGGAAAGAAATTTACCGTCAAGTTGTCACGGTGAAAGGGTTAGTCAACTTGAATGATGAGATTGTCTTTACACATCTTATCGTCCATCAAAATTTCTAAATGCCACGGGAATGTACTTTGCTAAGTCCTCTGTAAGCACTATAGCGGCTGAGGATAGATGTCTAAAATTCCTTTCGAATCGGAATAGACTTGAACAGAAAGTAGAAAGAATTTTTAAGAAACAGATCTTTGTCTATCTATAGAATGCTACCAAGCAACAGTATAGCTACTATGGATCGTTCTCATTAGAATGATTTCCAAAGCACTTCCCTATAGAGTTATTTGGTTCCGGTATCATAGAACACAATATAGTATTATCCTGATTTTTCTGTCCTTGAAGTTGGCTTAACAAAATAAAAACATTTCAGTTTGATTGGAATAGGCATTGGCTCTCGTACTGTGAGCTTGCGAAGTACTAATGGCCCGACCATAATAGCCAATCGAGAAAGCATCGACAAGCGAAGCAACACGAATCTCACTAACATAGTGATCACACAAGATGTTGATATGAACCAAGTACTTCATGAAAGGGTTTCAAGAATAGTTTACAACGTTGCATTTTCAGAATGCCGGAGGAGAACAGAATATTCCAAGGTTTATTGTCCTAGATTGTTCAGGCTTGTCAGCAATTGATACGGAAGCGATGCAGATGTTGTCACAGGTCCGAGAAGAAGAATGAACCAAAAAAACAACGTTATACTTTAAGGTTTACTTCGATCTAAGTAATGATCACATCAGATTGATGTTCGCCGGTCTATCTGGTAAGTGACAAGCATTTCCTGGAAACAGACATTGATATGTCCCTAAAAACTAATTCGAATCGTTTGAAACATACTTTCATTGAGTTCGAATGACCGAATGGCCGTTTTCCGTTTTTAATTTCCAACTTCACATAGTCTATCAAACCTGGAAAACCATAAACAGTCAATGCGAAGCTGACCATTTATTGCAAAAATGGATACAAAACGGTTTCGCGCATTTTTATGTCATCCTATCCCATCAACAATAAATAACTTTTAACGATATTCCTGTATTTTCAGCTCGGTTACGAGATGATCTTGAGTGTAGCACATTCCATAACCGTGTTCCACTATCAGCTTTTTATCCAACAGTCACAGAAGCGATAATAGCTGCTAGAGGAATAGCTTTACCGTTTCATATGAGGTTTGCTTCGTAACACATAAATCAGATTTAATGACTGAATGTGCATTGTAGTGTATCCATGAATGGATATCGTGATGTTATAGCTCTCTCTACGGCTGCATCTAATCAGGACATCAGTGTATCTCATCCGTCACCAGAAGCCATCTAATAGGTTCAAGATAAGAGGGTGTGAAAATGGAGCAGCAAAACGAATATTTCCTTTTCCATCATACTGTAGACACACAGCCATCTGGTTATCTTTTGTCTTTTTTGTCTATTCGTCATCTGACACATCTGATTTAATTGAAAGGAACTGGAATTAATTTCATCCCATTCTGCTCTTTGAAATTGAGAAAAAAGATCTTGTTATCTCGACTTTACAGTTCGCAATCATGTGCCGTCATGCTATCTTCTCTGAGTTTTTGTTCGATTTTCAGCAAAATGACTGAAAAGTCAAGTCATTATCGAATTGTCTGTCCGTAAATGTCGAAAAATGTGTCAAATCTGTTGAACTGCACTGTTTGTCAAGAATTTTTCGTTTGGTCTTCTTGTTTTGACTCGGACCTCCTTCCTCTCCTCCTCCTCCTCCTCCGTTTACTTCTTCTTCTCCTCCCACTCATTCTACTCGTCTATGTATGGATGCATGTGTGTGCGTAGATGTGTGAATATGTTTGAAGTGAAAGTACAATGTCATCTAATAAAACTTTTATCACAATTAAGATATGATAATGGAAAGGATAAAACAGTTGAGGAGAGAGTAGACCCTCCGGTCAGGATACAATATAATATAACATTATGATGCATATAGTTAAGACAGTCTTTTCTTGGATAAAACAAAATTATAATCTTCCGGTTGTCTGAAACCCGCTTTTGCTGACTGGCAAAGGTGATGGTGGGGATACGTCGTGAACTTTATGTTTATTCTGAATTTCAGTGCCAATCCGAGCGATGTCGTCATAGCGATCATTCTCATAAGCTTTCTAATTTGAATAAGTAAGGAAAGAGAGGAAAGAAGGAAAACTTTAAAGGGATAGAGAGAGATGATAAGGAAACAAGAGCTTTGAAATCGTTAGGAGACTAGAATCGTATGGATTCTGCTCAACTCAACAGCTTGAAATGGACAAATGAATGAGATTTGATCTCAATTTTCATCTTTCCCGTCCACTGATCTCTGAATTTGTTCAGAAGTTCAAAGCTAATCGTCATTACAAAGCTTGAGCATCGTCAAAATCAAAATAGGTCGTCATACGACATTACTCATTTTGGCATAAAAGCTTACTAAGTTGGATAATGTAAATATTTAAAATAATAATTAGAATAAGTCATTTTGAGGTGTTTGGGAGATTAAGATGCGACGTGAACATCAAGGTTTAGGAGACAAGCATAGCTAACTAGATAAAGCTCAGGAGAGATTCTCAATCTAATACAGCCTATAAATGACTCCTAAAACTTAAGCTTGAGGATCATTAGGCGGATAATTTAGTCGATTTTAAGTTATATAAGAGCATTCTCATCGTTTTCGGTTGATGAGAAGTCTGATACGGGCACTGTTGTTGTAGTTTGAGATGCCGCATTTTCAGGGTTATAGTTTGTAGGCATATAGCAAAGGCCTTGATGACAAGCTGGAGCTGATGATGGGCAGTCCGAGCATCGAGCCTTATTTCCGGTAGCCCAAGTGAAGGCTGGTACCTGCAACACGACAAATAAATTCAGAATTTCGGACAAAAAACAATTTATGTGTCAGATTTGGCGTGTGTGATAGAATGAAGAAATGGTTTGTTAAACAATTTGTAAAATGAGATGATAACTGAAATTTTGCAGGAGAAATGCTGTCTCATAAAATTCTCTTTCGGTCACCAAAACCTTCCAATCGTTTCTTCTTCTCTTTCACTCATCTTCTCTCGCACTCTCGCACTCTCTCTCTCGTCTCAATCTCTTGCGAACAACAAATTTTGACGTCATCAATGTGAGAAACAGACTGAATGACGCTGTCATCAAATAGAAACAGACAATTTATCTCTTGCGGTCAAACTTTCCAAACAGGAACGAAATAGGAAATGTTATTGTTAATAGAAGCTTTAAGTTAAGGAGAAGCAGCAAAGCGATTTTTCTCTTCCAAAAGAGGGAAATGATGGTTATGAGAATTTGGATTGAATTTTCTGTGTGTTTGTGATCTCTCGAAACAGTACCCAAACGAGTGTGTTAGAATTTGAAGCTTTCTTTCGAGGCAAGCCGAACTGAGGAACGAAAAGAAGTTTTTTTTCTTTTTTTTTTTGGTTGTTATCATTACGAACCGCATAAAGCTGTCCAGATCCCGTCACGAATACCGTATTTCCCTGAGGATTGTAATGGCACACGAAGACATTACGATGTCCTCTTCCCATTATTCCTTGAACATCGCGACATCTACTGAATCCACATCCAACCAAGTTTGTTTTGGCCCACACAACCTAGAAATAAACAGTTTGCTGAATCACGTGAACAAAGTGTGAAAAAGAAAGGTCAAGGAACGATGCTCATGCAGCCACAACTCAACTGTCACGTGATTTTCACGATTTCGGATTTTTCGAGATATTTTCGAAACACAGTTATGATAATGACGTCATCAAATCCAACTACGTCCCCCCACCTCTCTCCACCAATTATGGAAAAAAGACGAATGAATGACCAAAGGACAAGACTTGCTACGGTACTGTGATAGATTCAGCCGTGAAACAACCTTGATAATATCCGATCATTTCATAGCATCGAAATACCAAATACTCCAAGAATGTCATAAATACAGTCATATATATCAATAACTTCTCAACACATCATTTTTTGTGTGCTGGGGGTTGTTGGGGCATGGGAGGGGGACAGAGATAATTAATTTTCCATTTTCGGTTTTTATGAAAAACAAGCTGATGTTTGAACGGCTAGCTGATCCAAATGAGTCAAGTCGTAAATTCATCTGAATTGAATGAGATACAATCCAATCTGATCAATTGCGCTACTATGGCTAGCTGCTTCAGCTCTGATCAGTCCTAATTCGAACTGTCAACACATGTATATCTCATTTGGCGGCGGTAGAGTTCACATGCAACTACATGGACCTACAGTTTGAAATGAAATTTTTATGTGAAATTGTGCAGTGTGAGACACTATTTCTTCTTTTTATTTTCCTCGCCGAAAAAATAAGAAGACGATTCGTCTCCATTCTGTCTACATGGTCGGAGGGGTGGGGGGATTCGCCGGAAGTTCTGATATCTCTTACGCTATCAATGCTTTAGAGTTCTGTCTCACTAGGTACTTCTACTAACTGATTGTGTTAGGGACTTCACACAAGAGACTGAGAACACAGAGAGACATTCCCAACCAAAGTCAAGGTCAGAGGATAAGGCAAACTTTTAGCGAAATGGACCAAAAAAGTGCTTGGCAGAATTTTTGAAGATTTTAATTGGGAGAATAAAAAATAAGAAAAGTGGATTGTAGAGTTGTTCATCTCTTGTCCCTCCTCATCGCTTGAATGTCTTTCTCTTCATTGAAACTTATTGAGAGAATGAAACACGTCACTTCCGGAAATGGAAAGACGAGGTGAAATAATCGTAATTTGACGATTTGCACTGATGGTCATTCAGGTGATTCACAAGCTCATTTTCGATTCCCGTCAGCACCTCTGGACGAGTTTTAGTCGTTCCCAGGACGTTTGAGAACTGTCCTGTTCGACGGGGCTGACCGTACCAAACATTTTAATTCTGAACAATCATTCTATCTTTCAATGGCTACATCTTATTTCGAAAGAGTGTAGGCACAGATAGACATTGAGGGCTTCTCTATCTGACTAATCGAAAAGGTATTACTTACTTGAACGTAGTGGCCACAGCAATGTTTGTAAGCATGGTTGCATCCACAGCGGGGATTGTGAACCTAAAAAGAAAAAAGTACTGTTTAACCACAAACTGAGAGAGAAAGAGAGAGCGTGTGAGAGAGAGAGAGTAGTAAAGAGGGAAAAGTAAAGAAAAAAAGAGAATTTGCCCATATTTGGAACACCTGTCAGATGAAATATTACCTTTTAACATCTGATGTAAAAAAAGTTTTAAGAAGGGGGTAAAACTTAACAACTTAAAAGACATTAAGATTGGTCAAAATGATAAAAATTATGTCAAAAAGGAATTTCATCTCTCAACAAGCGCATAATCAAAATCTCTTTTGACATTCATTTACCTCATTAAACCAGATCGAAATAGAATCTGAATAGTTGGAATATGGAGCTGCCCAGATATTTTCTCCGACATTCATACGTCCACGAGAATGACGGAAATCGCAAGTGTCGGCATGCCTTTGGGCAGATGCTGCAAGCTCATCAGACCAATAGAGCATATGCATATCACTAGCTGGCACCTGAAAGAAAACAATCAACCTCATAAGGGCATTCACACTTCATCGTCTCTCTCCCGTTTTTTTGCAAAACAAAGGGTATATAAATAAATATAAACTTTTAGGAAATTTTACACTAAAGGACAGCGCTCAAAGTTCAACTCACTATTCTTCGGTACTTGTTGTGCTCGTACACAATCCATTTCTTCAAATACTCATTGGGTGATTGAGAGGAAATCAACAGGTTGTTCGAGTATTGGTGGCTGGGAAAGTAGAATCCTCTTTTTTCTCTGAGGTGATGATCAGATTCGTCTAGAAGCTCATCGGCACTGGATGGGCCACTGTGACTCGTCTCAGCCTTTCCTGTCAAGTAGGGCACGTTGTAAGCCGAAACGAACACGTAAAGGCACGAGAGGACAAGCAGAGATTGCATTCTGTAAAAAAAATATTTAAAATAAGAGCCAGAATGACAATTAAGGACAACAAGTTTCAAAATATCCGATAAATTCAATTACAGAAGACGAGAAATTTGGAAAATACGAGTCTCATTCAGGTTGATAGCAAGTCGGGGCGCAACTTACCACCTGATAGGGCAACTTCTATTCAAACCTAAAGACGGACAGCAGTCAGCCTACCCCCAGATGGCCAGAGTGGACATCCGCCGCCCACGCGAAGGTCGTTCTCTTACCTCCTAGCCTATTACATGCTGACGACAGTCAAATGTTGCAGAATAGAAGGAGATTCTCATTTGAGAAGCCCTCATATGGCAAGAATGATGACGAAACTTCGTGAGAGAGAGACGCCATTCGCGAAAAGTTTGGAAATAAGAGAAGAATTTTGAAAAAAAATTAAAGAGTGCATGGGATGAACAGATGCCGGAAAGGAACTGAAGAGAGAGAGATGAAGATAAAAATGGAGAAGAAGAGAAAAAGAAAGAAGAGAGAAGAAGAGATACCCGCCTAGGTGGAACAGATGATCGCTGAGACTTCAGAAGACGCTGTTCAGGTTGGATTCAGATGATGGCTTTAGACCTCATTCTCCTCAAAGCTTCCGCAGCCATAGGACATCTCATTTACTTTGTAAACTATGAGAATATTTGAAAAATCAAAAAGCAGAACAAATGGAATAGGAATCGAAGGAGACCTATATCTGGGAAAGAGAATGTGAAGAAGTGTGATTCAGAAGAGTTTGATAGTCTTCAACGCAGTTTGTTTTCAGATCTTCTCTACTGAAATAGAGAGGATGAGATGCTGAATTAATCTGACCTAGATTAGAAGGATCGCTTGTTTGTTGGAGAAATAGGGGAAGTACAGTCGAAAGCTCAAAATCTTGAACACGAAAGTACTTGAATGAACATGATCGAACATCTAAGGAACCAATGGGTTGCTTTGATAAGAATTTCTTCTCAAAATCATGTTTCATCAAATGATCAAACAGCTCTGAAATTGGAGAGAAAAAACAAAAAATGAATGAAAATCTTGAATTTTTGGAAGAAGATTTTGGTTTTTGCGAAATATCATTGGGAGAGAATGGTCTTATCTCTCTTTATCTCTTTTTCATACTCTCTATCCCTCATAGTTCGTTCACTTCTTCAATCTCTTTCTCTCTATCTCCCTCTCTCTCTCTCCCTCTCTACCTTGCAGTCACTACTATAGAGGTGCAAGCTAATAGAATGACAGAGAGCAGTTCTTCACAAGTAGTTTTCTGCCAGCAGCATATGAATTCAGAAGATCTTGAAATATCAGAAGACGGCGCAATGACACGACGTGACGACAACTCGTAAGAAAAATGAACAGGGAGAAGAAGGAAATTCATTGCGCCGGAAGGGGTTGTTACGATACGACGCGAGAGAGAAGATCGAAAGCTGGTAAATTGGAATCTTTATCCAGTACTTCGTCAACTGTGATAGGAAGCTTCTCCTTCCTGTTCTCTCATGCTTCATAAGAAGCATTGAGTTTGAATAGGCAACATTGAGAAACGCCAGATAAAACTTCATATCTTGGAACGTGAGAAAGATAGGGTGGGGCATATTGGAGAAAAAGAGAGAGAGAGAAAAAAAGAAAAAGAAAAAGGTAAAATGAAACATATAGACGAACGCGATGAGATGATCCACCAACTATCATGAAGCAAAAGATATTTCTCTGCTTCATCAGTCCTAGTCGGGAGATCCCATCGTGGGCGGAGTGAAACATCTTAAAACAGTTAGTTATCATCTTCTTCTGTCTTAATGACGTAAGCAAGCATGATGATAATTGTCTGACGTTGACCGAAGACGTCAATTTCTGCATGTCGTCGCTTCGACGTTATGCAGGGCTGGCAAGGGTTGAAGAATCCCTTTATAAAGGCCTACTTCCTAAAAGAGGAGAAATGTCCCGCCCCTTGTCTTCATCCGTGTGTTCACGTTCAAATACCAATACTATTTGAATAATCAGAAGACGAACTATGATCGTAACTCTTCGATTGAAATCATAAATTTGGAAGACGTTCCGTCCCATCATCAGATGCACTTTTACTTTGTAGGCGCCTTTTCATCTACAGAAGTCGTCAGTTGTACACCTACCTTCTCGATTTTTTCTTGCTATTTTTCTCAACAGAACATCAGTCGTTTTCTAAGATACGAACATTGACCAAACATATGTACTTTCATGCCAATCGTTTTCAAAATCATCTTCGTCTTCAGTAGAAGTTGTGCATAGAAGTTGACCACAGAAGAAATGGCACAAATGAAATGAGACAGACAGGAGACTTTGACTTCCCATCAGCAGACATTAGAACATAGATCTTGCAACCGTAGACTTGCAAATCTATTTTAATATCACCGTATAAGGCAATCCATGGCAGAATGAATAGCCATTATTCTTCTTCTTTGGATAACCTCTTCAAAGCATTTCCGTTTTTTTTCTCAAGTACACGCATATTTTTCTTCTCACATCTCATTTCAAGTGATTCTCTACGTACGTCGGGGCTCGTTTGGACACTTGAAGGTGACGAAATGCGCGATATCTTCCAGTGGTTGAGAAGAATGTTTTACGCAATGACAACACAAAAAGTTGCTGATGGGAGACGGCTTTTGACCGATTAATCCCATTGCAAAACTGACACCGTGGATTGACCAGGGCTCTTCTCTCTCTCTCTCATATCATCTCTCTATCTCTCTCTTTCCAAACCGTACAGATAGCTTTTCAGACAGAAATGTTGCAAAGTGAATTAGACCATTGTTTCCGTCTCCGTTATCGTTCAACTTTTCAGTTGTTTTTGTAAGCAAACGGAAACTTTGGTTATTGGTCATTACGAATAGAGAAAGCCATCATATCACAAGGTTCTCTTCAGCCCAATCTACTTCATTAGCCACATCACTTTCATCAGTCCCATTAATGTTTTTTGGTTCCTGTCTCGTTGCCCTCCAGTTTGAGTTGATTTGATTGTTCAGAGCCATAGTCCATCGATTGATGCTCTGGGCACAGTGCCAACCATTCTCTACTTCCTCAATATAGTATGATCAATCATACTAGCGCGTGAAACGGATAAAAAACAACTTCCGGTAAATGGAAAATAAATTATTTTGACAAGTTTTTCTCTGATCGAGTTCTAAGGTTCCAATTCCGAGAAAAGTAAACGAACAGAAGTAATTTTAGCAACCGGATATTAATAGTTTTTTCCTAAAACTATATGCGGCTGGAGGACCATCTATCATCCATTTCCATTTATGGTGTTCTTTTTTTTTGCATTTTTCACACAAAAGTTGCAAAACCTGTAAAGGGGAACGAAAATTTGAATTCAGATTTGATCCAACTCATACTTAATCAAATTATTCTGCACGTGATGTTCGCCATCGCCCCCGCTACCTTAAATGGTAAGAAAGGTGATGAGGCGCGATAGCCTCGTTCAACTTGATTTGCACAAAAAAGAAAAAGGAAAATGGGTGTGTGCGTGTGATGTGTGGGATGAGAGTAGTAAAATAGAAGAGAGAATCCATTAAGCAGCAGAATATTAAAAGTTCTTCTACAGGTTGACCAACAGTCTCAGAAACAAAAAAGACTTGTGTATTATCATCAAACTAGCAATTTGTCTATCAGATTGTCAGATCAAAACGTACCGCTGACACGATTGTCATTTAAATTCTCATCAAAGCGTCTCAGAGATCCGACAACGAAGACACGCGTGGTATGCAGGACGAGATACGTTCTTTTCGGTTTCGTTCGCAGGGCTCTGATGTTGTTTTTATCTGCAAAGCTTCTATAATAGCAGATATATAGCTTTACGATCTCACTCACAGCTCCTTAATAGCATTTAAGACTGAAATACAGCCTGTCCAGCTTCACCTATCCCTCATTAAGCTGTCACCGGAAGTCCTTATCACATCGTCATCGTATCCAATGACCATAAATTAAGTTCCAAATGACTTTGTTGATCAGAATCTACCTTACAGCCTCAACTACTACCGAATTCCCAATCGGATAGGCTTAAACAAAGCAAGTTGCTTGCAAACCAAATCTTTTTGAAAATGAAAGTTTCTTTTTTGAATAGATTTAACAAGATATGACAGCTTCTTATCATCCAACCATCGGAAACATCAAGGTTTTTACACGATCCTGCATATGTAGTAGCATGTAAGTTGTGTAAAGCTCCACCAAGCCTTCAATGTCAGAGAACATCTTTCTGGAATCCCAGCTTCCAACTTCCATTACCGAAACATCTTCGATGTAATTATGAAACGGGAATACCAAGGATATGCATGAAGATTCTACAAAAACTTGAAGAACTTTCAAATTACGAACTGTGCCATGTGACACACAGCTTACAGCCACCCCCCCCCCCCTTTCTCTCTCTGAATTCCCGTCTTTGGCGGTACATCAGAAGCCAATTAGTCGAGAACTTTTCAACTTCCAACCTGAAATTAGAAATATGATCATAAATGTGTTCATTGCTCATGTTCGCTACTGTTTTTAAAATCATCGAGGTCATTTAAAAAAAAGGATTGAATTTGGTAGGGCAATGACGTGCCCTGGGCCCAAGTGCAATCGGAAATTGGGAAATATTTGAATGGTTCACGGACTTGTTCAAACAGGCTGAAAAACACTTGAAAAGATTTGTTTATGGACGACAATCAGGAACATCATTTCATCTTTCAGAAAAAAGGGAATAAAGTGTCTGAATTTTCAAAAAAACATGTGAAGCCATGTTTGATGAAAAGAAGATGAAACGCTGCTGATCGCGACTGAATATTTCTGTTTTTCTATCTCCCAACGCTTTTTCAGAGATTTGCACTAACTTCTCCATCCTGAACTTTCTCCTTGGCACACTCCAGACCTGCGAGTAGGGGTGTGTGTATCGATAATCGATTATATCCCCCCTCCCCTTCCCAACCCAAAACAAAAACAAGAGTAAAGTAAATTGAATGATTTATCATAGGAGAGTGAAATAAAGAGGACAATCCTATTAGAACTTTAGACATAACATGAGGAATCATTAGTCATCATTTGCTGGTCTTCAAGGCAAGTAGCACCGGATATACATAAATTAGACAACATGCGAATTTTATGACTCAAGAATAGCCAGCGAGAACATTAAAAAAGTGAAAAACTTCATCGTGATCGTAAACAGCTACCTTCGTACCACATTTACAGCATTTTACCGCATGGAAGATATCATGAGGAGTACCCTGAAAAGGACACGCTGCTTAGAAAAAACTTTCTCGTACACATGACTCACAGCCGAACTCTCCATTGCTAATCCCATTTTCTTCATTTGTTGCTTTTGACGCTTCTTTTCTTTACCAGTTTTTTCTACTTTCAAATCTTCAGTCTTGTCAATCTCGCAGTTTTCAACAAACATCGCCCTACATGGAAGTTCATAGTACCAGAAAAACTTAATTCCAACGATACCTGTATTGATCTTTATAAATTTCATGGCGTTGACAATCTCTAGAGAGCAGAATCATACAACCTGGACAGGATAGAACGGCATCTGAGCCATTATCGATTTTGGCCCTTTGAAATAATCAGTAAGTACGTGGGTACTTTAGCAACTTACGAAGGTTTTTTCCTTGTTTGACTACTAGGAGCTGCAGAAGTTGTCGCTCCCCGTCTTTCAGAATTCTTTTTTTGGACCCATCGTTCATTATCATCGTCTTCATCAGTGTCGTAAAATTCAGGAGGTTCCTAAAGAGCATGCATTTGCAGGGGGGACCAACGAAACAAGAACTTACTTCATCCATTACTTTCTTACGCTGCTTCACCATTTTTTTGATTGGATTATCTTCCTCGCTGTTATCACTAGATAAATCATTATCTTCTTCGGGTTTCGGTGATTTTTTCTTCTGAGGAGATTTCCTTTTCAAACAAGACTTAAATCATTTTTGAATGACAGACATAAGATATGAAAAAACCTTGAGGGGTGAAGTTGGTAAAGATGTCGACGCCTTACTTTCTTCACATTCTTAAAAAAATTATAAATTAAAACTGAAACATCACGCTATGTACCCATATCTTCATCGTTAGCAGGTTCTAAGTCCGGAATTTCTTCTTCCACTTTAGGAAGTTCAATTTGGGGATTTTTCTGCACATAATCATTCAAACATTCAGTAGCGTATTCACACATACTACGATCTAGCTCATCCTCCATATCACTTTCAAAGTCAGACTGTCTTCCTAAAATTGTATAAGAAACGTGAAAACCTTATAAATCATACTCTGTCTCTTTCCCTTCTTCTGACATTCATTGCTTATCCCGGCGATTTTCTTCAGCTCCTGCTGCAGTTCATCGTCAGAACTGAAATCAGGTCATTTCGCTCAAATCGAAACTTTGTATTTGTTATTTTATCAATCATATCTTTAAGAACAACATTCATTACGTCTTTATCAAAAACTTCCTTCCAAATATTAACCGGTTTCTCAGACGAGGCTAGACGATCTGGCGCCCCTTCGAATCTCTCATTTCTCTGATTTTATTTTGTCTTCTCAACCTCGATAATGTAACACCGGAAATGAATGATCAATAGAATATCTCAAGCTTATTTCGCTCACATCTCGTTGGTCTTTTCGTTAAAGGGACACCTCAATTAACTTCCAAAAAAAGATAAACTGGAATGAACCTCATCTCCTCGTCGCTATCAGGTCCAACATCCCGTACAGCTTCGCCCAGATAATAGTCGGATTCTAGAGTCTGAAGAGGTTCCAAGCGTTCCATCTGAAACGTTTTCACGATGTAAACAGTTCAAGAAAGGCTTATGACGAGTGTCCGAAACAGAAGATACGAAGATAGAGAGCACGAAACCGTGGGAATAAGACTCGGTCATGATTGTGTTAATACATGCAAAAAAGATTATCGTTAAACAAGCAGTAGTAAGATGGAAACACAACAGAAACCACAGTTGGGAATTCTGAACAGTGCCATTAACAACAAACATCATTGATTCAAAGAACACAATATACTATATGCTGAAAAGTTGTCGAAGAATTAAATTGGAAAGAAGTACGCAATTTACTTCTGTACATTAGGCGAGTACGCATCATGTAAGCAGGAGAGTTTGAGTAGAACAGGAGTATTATAGGTTTTAGAGGAATAACCGTTGAAAATGTGATCAACAATGAAAAATTTTGTTTGTAGTTAGTCGGTCTGTATAGACACAATAGAATGAGTTTTGCTTCATGCAACATATAGTTTGTATTGAATAAGTCTCTTCTCTCTACTTTATATTTTTTAAATTTGTTTCGAATATCAAATAAGTGGAGCTTCTTCAATGACATTACGGTTTTGTTCAATTCACTATGACTGGTAATAGCTTGCGTAACGTCATTGCTATCATGTCGCGGACGAGAGACCTAATTAGCATACGAGTAAGCACTACGCGCCTAGTTGCCGGTCAGAAGCTCATTTCGAATAGTTGCTACGCGCTGAACGGTTGCTTTTACCTTTGGAAATCGTCAATTGCAATCGGGTCATGCCAAAATTATTTTTTCGAATAAATACTTTACGTTTCTGTGTAGAGGCTTCCCATACATGAAGAGCATAAAAATTTACGCAGTTTCATTCATAATAAAAAGGATCAGAGTGCACGAGGTCAAAGCTAGAATGGATGATCGATAGAAATCTTTTAAAGCCCTATTTGACTGTGGTTCTTCCTAATTTGCACTAGAGCGCAGAAGTAACGCGCCGACTTTTCATTTCTTGAAATAGTCTTAAGAATGTGTTTTTCAAGCTAATGCTTATCATCTAAGTACCAGTGATGTTGAGGAACGAGTAACTGAACTCAGCAACACTCATCATCCTGAACGGAATAATCCATTGTGAAAAGGCTGTTTTGAACAGTATTATTCGTTCGATCGATCGTTCAATTTGTAGCATTCATTCATTTTCACTCACTTTTATATATAAAAAACTTCTACAAATACAAATTAAAATGAGGCGATTCCATTATCATCTCTGCTTATACTCCATTTTCGTTGTTTATTCTTCAGTTATCATTTTCAAACGATTTCTTCAGACCTGACATGCTTATGAAGAAGTAAGAAATGAAATATTTGATATTATTTGTCTTCCTTAAAGTTTCCCTATGTAATTATAATATAAAAGAAGTGAGGTGAGTTAGGATTAGGTTATTCGATTGATATGAATCCCTGTTTACAGAAATACATTTTATGAAGTTAGTTTGAATAATGAAGTTTACGAGTTGGATTCTTCTGTTTCATTAGAGAAATTGAATGAAGAAGATTTGAAAAACGTTGCTCAAAGTATATGGAAGAAGAATGTGAGTTCATACTACTGTCTAACTCATTCAGCTATATGATCAGGTTGAGCAGAGTAATACTCAAAGAATAATTAGTAAAACTGGTCAAAGTTTCACCTGCTCAATCCCAAAGGTATGTCTCTCGGTTGAATTTCTCTATGCGATCATTTGTTTTACAGATTATTTATGAAACAGATGAGCCTGGAGCTGCAGAAAGTTATAACCCAAAATATTTATCAGAAGTTGTATCAGCTAGTTTTTATGTTGGCCGATGTATAATATTGGTATGTCTTTTCTGTTTGTCTGTTTCAATTCTGTTCCTAGGACTTAGGATGGTGGAAGTACGAAGTGTGTCATGGTAAAAGCATCAAGCAAGAGCATGGAACTCGTGAGTTACCGTATAAATACTATAATCCTTGCTTGTTTCCAGGAGGTGATGCAGAATACGCTTCCAACTCATTAGGATATTTCAGTGGACGATATGAAATGCCGGATTTTGTTGTAAGCAAAGGAGATTTTGAGTAGCTGACTAATGTGTTTCTAGCAATCGTCAAAAGAACGTTTGCTGTATTTTGAAGAAATTTATGACGGAGGAACTCCTTGTGATTTGGCTGACAACAATGTTATGAGAAAGACTGCCTTACGGGTGTGCTTCTACAATCATGGAACAAAGATCATGCTCTATTTTTAGTTTGAGTGCGACCCTAAACTTGATACAAGCGCAGCTTATATTTCCGACGTCCAAGAGTTATCGTCATGTAATTATAGAATTGTAGTGAAAGTAGGAAGTTTGTGTAAATTGAAGCCTTTCATCATTCCGAAGAAGGTAAGAGCTGATTCCTTTACATGCATATCTTGTTTAAGAGCAACGCTCAATCCATCAAATGCACCCCTACGGTAACGGAAGAGGACCTTGTACTATACTTGAGAGACAAAGTAACAGAAATCAAGAATAAGGTGAACATATTGATTGTGATCAATATGACTTCTTCTTAAATGTTTAGAAAAAAGGAGAAAAACTACTTCAAGATGTTAGCCTGGAGCTTATGAGCATCAAGAGGAGAAAAAGTGCGGCAGAGCGAACATCCATTTCCAGACTTCCAAAGTTTCAAACGGAGAGAATGATTGAAATAAATACTCGAATGGATGACATATTCGAAAGATATTTCAATTATAGTTATTATGGTAATTCAATTACATGCTTTGCTCTGATTAAGTCGCTGTTTCAGTCCAAAATGGGAAAATGCCTGATGAAGATGCCATGAAGAGTCTACGAACACTGGCGACCATTATGGGTGGTGTGGAGATTGCTTACAGTATATAGTTATTCTAGCGTTCGAAAAATTATGAATCTTCTTTTCAGCCGATTTCCTGAGCGAGAGTGATCAGAACCAAGCATACTTATGGCATTTCTTCCATGATCCTTATTGGCCAAAGTATGATTACCCATTCTCGCTGGAGTATGTAGATGTGAGTGATCGATGTGAATACCTTCGATCAGTTTTACTTTGCAGATAGCAAATGAGTATTATAACCATGTATTGAAAGAGTATGATGAACCGTATCACAAGCCACACCTGTATGTAGATCCAGCAGATCTGGAAAAAAATATTTTAATCAGGAATGCTAAGGTAGGAATCACTCCAAAGTTCATTATTTCATGAGTCATTTCAGTCCCGTCATGATATTATTCAAACATTGCGTTCATTCAGTAACTTGTTTGATGACGTCACTGATGCTTCTGAAAAACTCCGAAACGCAATTTTAGAAGAAGTAGATAATGCACTCTTCGATTCCTTAGTATTGTGAGTCATATTTACCAGCCACATTTTTGTAATCAAGGGGGACGTTTTCAGCAGCTTTGCAACCACTGCTCGAAGGGATGATCCGAAAATATTTTCGGATGAGGAGCAGTATAAGCGTAGAGCTTTTGCATATATATTAGCCTTGTATAATCATGTTCGAGTATGTTTCTCTATGATGTCATTGACTGATATCACGTTGTTACAGATGAAAATCTATTCACCGAGAGATAGCTTGAAAGAGAAAGGAGTAGTGTCGAACGTTGGTGCCTTGCTTGATTATCTCATGGAAGTCCGGGTGTTCATGAAGCAGAGGTGAGATCGATAAGGCTTGTCGTTCAAATTAAAAGTATTTAAGCTTGGCAAAACCTACTGGCTCAATAAGACAAGAAAACTTATCAAGGTATCGGTCTCACATTATTTCTCATGTACTGTTTGCTATAGATTCTATGGAACAGTAGTGGAGAAAAGAAAACAAGATACCCATTTGATGTTAATCAATGATTATGGAAAACAAGTGATGAGCTATGTGAGAATGCATAGAAGAAGTCTACTGGAAAAGCTCTGGAAGCCAATAGTAGAATCTTTGTTGCAACTTAAGAAAGAAAGAGTGAGTTCAAACGTCTTGTTCACTCATCTCTGTCTTCTAGGACGTCGAGAAGGTTTTGTTAGCTGAGAGAATTCGAAAAAATATAGACTCGGGGAAGATTGTGACCACAGTCTCATACGAAGCTTTGAAAGAGCTGTTTGATTCTACCGATTTCGATAAGTCAGGTATATATTGTTGTAGTATTGTGTCGTGTTGTGCAGGATTCGTTTAGCTTTGAAAATTGAAATTCTTGATGTTAGTGGCGCAGAAGACATTGGTTTAAAAACAGCTTTAGAAGAAGAAATGGAGGAGCGACGTAATGCCAGGAAGTTGCAAGAAGCATTCGACGTTTATGGACAAGACTTTGGAAAGACCAACAAAAAAACGGAACCAATTTTGTAAAACTTGTACTTATGAAACATATCATTTGTATTGAGCTAGTCTTCACTTCAATCTATTCCTGATTATAAATATTTATTTCATTTATTCAATGATTGAAACCTTGTGAGTGACAATTCTACTTGACTCTGACTCACAATATGTGGTGATTGTGCAGTTTGCAAGATATAAGCGCTCATTAGCATACGTGTTAATGTGAGGCGTGAATATCTGGCTCCAAAGCTCATTTTTGAATAGTTGCTACGCGCTGAACGGTTGCTTTGCCTTTCTTCTCTTATCTGCAATCGTACACACACACACGATTCATGCCAAAATATTTTTTTGCTTTCTCTGTATAGCATTACGAACTAATTGAAATGGTAGTCTGGAAATAGAAGAAAACGTGATGAAAAGAGAATCAGCTGGACAGGATTAGGATCAGAATGTTGATCTCAAAGTTGTGTGAAAGTATAAAAGTCCTTTTATGAAAAGTTGTCGAGTGCTATTTGAAGTAAAGTGTGAGGTTTGTGAAGAAAAGCTTTTAATAGTATTTATTCAATTTTCAATAAGAAGCCAATTTTAAAGGTTTGACGATGTTCTTTAACAAATATATCCAAAAAGATCTCAAATTACTTCGCACTTATCTCTCACAAAATACATTTATAATTAAAAATTAATTCCTCTCATCCTCTATTTATAGGGAAAAGATTGTTTTGAAGAATAATTGAAATCCAGTTATAGTTTCCGAAACAACTGATTAGGAACGATTGAGAAATTGCATCATTTCTGGAACATTGGCGAGAAAAAGACTCCAACCAACCCATTTGTTGACAATAATTAATAGACGAATCTGGTTGGATGTTTATCAAATATTGACTGATGATTTTCAAAATTTCAATTTTTCCCGAAAAAAAAAAGATTTTTCAATGATCAACAGCATCAACAGCAGCAACATAGCAACATTTGCAATTATTGGGCATGATTGGCTGAGGTTTGCAATGAGCACATTCCCGTCGGGTAATCATAGGATGAGGCATGATCGCCTGCTCTGTTCTGCTGATAGATGAGAGTTAGAGTATACACGAGAGAATTAGCTTCCAAGAACTTTCAACAGACGATTTGTCGCAAAGTTTTGCAGAATCAACTTTATTTTTGCTGTTTTTTCAAATTTAAAAATAAACAGAAATGCAAAAAGTTATTTCTGATCTCTTTGGATGATCACGATCTTCATCCGTTTCTTCAACTGGGGTGACTGTCGCAGTCTTTCTGATGTCTTGTCATTAGAGATGATTATTAGTTTGTTTTCATTGTGGTTTTTCTTAATTTCGACCTGAATCCCGTCTGACAGGTCCACCTGTCAATTTCTGGACTTGGGGCTTTTGGCTTATATGACGAGTTGCTTGCTCCGCCTCTCTAGAGCTGGACTTCTGTCTACAGTATATAAAGGACTGACCTCCTCGTTTCGTCCATCGCTTTTGTCATTCAGACAAGAACAATCAATTCAATGAAACAGAGGTTCGTTCCTTTTTACTACTTTTCTATGCATTTTTTCGCTCACCCTTGAATCATTTTCTTTTCTTTTGCAAATATTTTTTACGATCTTTTTTTGTCTAAGCCGCTCGCAGCTTACAGCTTGATGCTTTTATGCACCAAAAATCTCTTGAGATACAGAAATTCAAATTGGCTGCTTCCGGCCGTGACAAAACCGTTTTGAGAAAATGTTTGTGTTGGTCGAGTATCTTTTGAGCCTCTTATTTATTCTCCGTGCTTCATCTGTATTTTGTCAATCCATCTCTTCAAGGCTTCACACCTTTCATTTGTTTGTCATGAAGAAGATAGAAATGACAGGCTACTCATTCATTTCATAATTTAATTTTATGACATTCAGAACGGTTCTTATAATTGCCTTGTTTGGCACAGCAGTATTTGCTGCTCCAGCTAAATCTTCTGAGAAGAATTCTGAAAATGAAGCTGCACCATCTATTCCCGAAGAAGCTATCGTTGGTCCACAAGCTGATGATGCAACTGCCTTAAAGGGACATGTTGCTAAAGACATGAGAGGACGCAAAAGAAGTATTTCTATCGAGCCTCATCCTTTTTCTTATTTCTCAGTGCGTTCAGATCCTTTCCAATCCTTCAATGGTGGATATGGCTCATATGGAGGAGGATTCGGAGGTGGACGTCCTTTCAATAACTTCAACGGTGGATACGGTACATCTTATTTGGTAACATTTTAATGATGTTATTCTTTTGCAGGAATGGGTGGTGGATACGGCGGAGGAGACGGCGGAGATTTCGGAGGTTATGGCGGCGGAGGAGATTACGGAATGGGCGGCGGAGGAGGCTATGGAAATGGCGGCTTCGGAGGAATGGGTGGCGGCGGAGGCGGCTACGGTATGCTTCCCTTTTAGCTTCTTTTATCTTACAGCTTACTTTGCAGGAATGGGTGGAGGATATGGCCCAGATAACTACGGAGGCGGCGGCGGCTTCGGAGGAATGGGCGGCGGATATGGCCCAGATAACTACGGAGGTGGTGGATACGGCGGAGGCTACGGAGGAATGGGAGGAGGAATGGGCGGAGGTAAATGATTCACTTATTGAAAACACTTTTTACCTGCAAAATTCAGACAACTTTGGAAACGGAGGCTTCGGCGGCGGATACGGAGGCGGATATGGCAATGGCGGCGGTATGGGAGGATACGGAGGAAATGGAGGAGGAATGGGAGGTAAAACAATACTTCATGAAAGAAAAAGAGAATAAACCTACAAATGCAGGTGGCGGAGGAGATTTCGGAGGATATGGAAGTCCATACGGAGGAGGATATGGCCCAATGGGAGGCGGAGGAGGTGGATGCCCCAACGGAGAATGCCGCGGTCGCAAGTAAACAGAACAACGAACGGAATAGAAAGCATCTTTCAAATAATTTATTTTTCTTTTTGTTGAGAATGAGAAAAGGAGAAGAAATAATTAATAACTTAACGAATAAATTGTGTTTTGCATATCCTTTTGTGATTCTTTATTTATATAATAATCAATCAATAAATAGTTAAACAAGCTTCTCAATGATAAGTGTAGTTGAACGAACGAACGAAGGAACGAACGATCGAACAGACGAAGAGGCGAAGAAGGTAGGAGAGCAAGAAGCAGAAGAGCGAAGAAGAAGAAAAAAAGCGAAGAAGAAAATGATTATAAAAGGCTCAAATGAAACTTTTCAACTTCACTCATATATGTAATGCTTGACAGGAGATTTTACGATGAAATTTGCATACGTGACGTCACTATTCTTCATGAATTTTCGAAATTTGAAGGCAATTCGTCGTCTGATCGAATCCATCGAATTATGAAACGAGCCTTTTTCACCAAATTATAAATTGGATTACTGAGAGTAACCTGAGCGAGAGAGCAATCTATATTTACGCAAATTGAATGCTGACTTACCGGTGCTTCGAAGAATGTTAATGTAGGCTTGTCAGAGTCTGGCGTCTTTTCCTTGTAAACGTAGTTTTCGACGATCGGAAAATCTTTGGTATCGTCCAGATCATCGAAAACCTGAGCTTGTCCTAACAGGTTGAAAGGCTGCAAATGAAAAGAAATTATGAATAATATAGAAGATGATGTCATTTGATACCAAGGCTGTTGTTAAGACAACCAAATAGATAATTGAAATGATTAAACTGTAGATAATCCTCAAATTCATTCTATAATGAAAGTTGATTAGATGATAGTATAGTAATAACATAACGAGAGATACAATATAGAGAGTAGAGAGAGAGAGAGAGAGAGAGAGAGAAGGAGAGAGAGAGAGAGACAATGAGATGAATGGCAACACAACCGCTCTGTACGACATCAATGGTTAAAAATGATATTTTGACGTGCATGAGAAGCCACGTCAATGCTTATGCAAATCAAAAATTTACGTGATGGCAGACGTGAAGATGAAAATGAAACAGCTGAGAGACGAAAAACTTTTTGAATTTTAATGGAAAATTAGTGAGAAAGGGGGGGGGAGAGAATCTCTCTTTCTTACGATCTCTCCAACGCTCTCTCTCTCTCTCTCTCTCTCAAACATCAAATACGATTCCGTAACTTTATAGATCAAATTCAGAAGGATTATGATGTAAATGACAAAAGAAGCTTCTTCCACCCACCAACTGCGATCTTTAAAGCGGAAAACTGAAAATTTTTTGTTTTCATAGAAATCTTTAGTTAACAGTTGTCTGTACGACGTTTTGTTATTATATTCTGATTAAAAATAAAGAAGAACCTTTTTATTTGAAAGTTGAGCTAGCAAACGATGAACGAGGGGGACGAGGTGAGAGAGAGGGGGGGGGGGGGGGGGAAGGCCAAGGAACATTCGTATGTGTTCATTGAATATTGAAACATAAAAAAGAAAGGTTTTTACTTCAGCTGATAGTTTGGAACACAGAAATGAGTTGGAACTGGGTAATGCTGCTTTGGCTCAGAGCTACATCGTAACATACATGTACACATATGGGATATGCATATACATACTCACACATACTCACTCACTACACTTTAACAAGGTAAAGCTGTCGTCTGACATACAATAACAAGATGTGAAGAGAGTGGAGAGAAAGACAACCATTCACTTGTCGACTAAAAGACTAAAGTTTCATGGTGTTTGCGGAAAATTCAATGAAAAAATGGCTTTGATCTTCATTTTCTCTTTTAGCCATTTGATACCCAAATTAGGTGGTCGTCCACTTTGATGACGTAATATTACCGGAAACGCCTTGAAGGGACATGATGATGACCAGCACACACACATAGCGTCATGAAAATGTCCGTTTCAGGGGGATGCTCAAACCAATCCTCTTCTTCATAGCCTCTATCACGTTCTCCCTCCCCCTTTTTAATTTGTATTTTCCTCTCTCTCTATTTCTCCTTACGGCTTATCTCATCTCCATTACTATGTAGTTGTCTGTTTCTCTCTATAGCAAACAATTAGAAAAAGAGAGAGAGAGAGAGAGAGAGAGAGAGTGGGAAAAGAAATTGAAGAGGGTGGGGGAAGACGGTCGTCGTTCTGCAAGGAGCTCATGGTATGCTTCAGAGTCATTTTCGTATAATTAGTTTAATCTCTACTTCCTTTTCAAGTTATTTTTTCCCATGAAAGACTTCCCTCGTTCGTACCTCATATTCCTCTCTATTCAATTCTCAAATTGAATATGGAACGAAAGAAAAGAAAATTATTTTTTTCACACAACAACAGCTATCAAATGATAATTCACAGCTTAATTCATTCAAAAACTTTTTGAGAATTCAAATCAAAAATTTCAAAAAAGAAAATGTTTCAAATGCACATTGAGAGACGTCAAACATGGCAAAAACATTTGAGAAATATGTTAATTTGAACAAAATTATTTATTAATTATGAAAGATGTATTATTTTGAGAGGTGGAATTTGTTATTTCTCTAGAAACAACTGATAGGAGGGAATGGCATAAGAGAGAGAGAGAGGAGGGGACAGTGGGATGAAAAGACCATGTGGATACAGCAAGGGTAAGAGAGAAGATGATGAGATGGAGGTGTGATTATATGACAACTTTGAGAGAGCGAAAAAGAAACAGAAAGTGAGAGAGGTATTACCTTCTGATGGAATGAAGAGATAGCTGGGGAGAACAAGTCTTCTGGACTTGGTATTCTGAACATCTTCTGTGAAAAGTTCAAAAAGCGATTCCTACGAATGTTTAAGACAATAATGAGCTGTGAGAAGATCTTTAGTCTATTTCAAAGTTTTATTTTTATAACTTGAATGACAAAAGCATAAGAAGAAGAAGAAAAAAAAGAGAGAAGAAACACATCAGCTCTGAAATTGACGAGTGAAGTTTGCTCATTAGACGATCATAAATGGTCTTGAACGGAATTGTATATCAACTTTTGAAAAGGAAAAGCTTCAGATGATGCGAAAGGCCAAGATAATCAGGATTTTGTTGTCAAAAAGTTCTTCAAATGACGTGATCTATTTTGGAAGATAATTGCCTCTTAGCTTCTTCTAGGCCCAAACTGTTTATGCCAAATTTGAATAAACAAAGTTGAAACTTTCTTTTCTCTTTTTTAGCTTCCGCTTGTCTATTTGACGACATCTTTACTCTCTTTAAATCATTTCCAATTCAAAGAGAGAGAGAGAGATAGAGAGAGCGCGAAGGAGAGGAAGAAAGAGGGAGAAGAGGTGAAGACGACAAGAAAAAAAATGTCAAAAAGTGCAGGATGGCACGTGAATATCACGTATTTTGACGTAAAAGGTCAATGGCTTCACGTGAAAAGGTCATGACTTAGCTTAAGGGCATTTGACTCACAGGAAGCCATTTGATTAATTAAAAGATATGACAGAGAGCAATTAGCGAGTACTTCTGAAGGCAACATAGATAATGGCAAATTATGAGAAATATGAATTATTTTTTGAAAATGAGCTCGAAGGGGCTTTTTCCCTCTTTCTTCACCCCACCCCTTTCAGTAACTTTCTCTCTCTCTTTTTCTCTCTCTCTTTCTCTCTTTGTCTCTTCCACTCCCTCTCTCTCTCTTCTCATTCTCACATTTAAATGTATATATACACATATAGACATATATATATATATATATATTAATTAATGGTAAACAATATTGAAGATGTAACTCCATTAATGGCATCATCACAAGCGGTCACGTGTCCCTACCTCATTCCGATGCTGATGGAAGTTTTTTAAAAGTGGAAACTGCCATATGCGAAGATTAATTATCTTCAAGTAGAGCATCGAATGTCATAAACTTGTTGTTTTGCCATTCGACGAATGAAATTAAAAACTTTTGAAAGAAAACAATATTTCTTTCAAAAAGAAAGGCCGAGAAGAGTGAAGAAGAAGAAAACATCTGTAAATGTCTGTGATAGCTGTGGATGTCTTGGGTGTGGCGGAGGGAAGATATTGGCAACTGAAGATAATTCCGTAATGAGAGCGATATTGGTCTTAACGGGAAAAATCTTTGATCCAATAACTTGAGTTCAATGAGCCATTTGTTTTCTTAGCACTAACAAAATATTCAGAATTCAAGATATGAAATCAAATATTCTTTTTTTTTGTTAAGAAAAACGAGGGCAGGAAGCGACGAAATGGACGACGGATGGTGGGTGTCAAGCAGAGCTTAGAACTTCTAATTAAAAGATAAAAAGAAGGAAAAGAACTTTTTTCCATCAAAATAAAGTCTTGATGCAGATCTGGGGAAGAAGCCGGAAATACTTTTGAAATCTTTATCGTTTTCCACTTTTTTTCTCCTTCGAACATTTCTCATCGGCCATCTGAATCTATTTCTGAATTTTCAATTTCCATTTAGAATCCTTGGAATGACTCTTAAAGGAATGGACGGAAGAATGTTTTTTTCTTTCGGAAAATCATGTCTTCTTTTCCGGCGGAAAAGTTAGTGGCAGATAGTTCTTAGTACCCACTGCCCCAGGTTATCTCCGACGTGCCAATGTGACATGACATCATTCATTATAATGTGGCTACCGTAGTAGTTTGGAAAAATTAACAAGAAAGTAAAATTCATTTGGGCTGATAAGAAGTATCTTTCAATTTTTTTTCTCCAACTCTATCTTTCATACAACCAAATAAGCCCAGATTATTCATCGGTTAAATATTTGGGGATGGTATCGTGGGTGTTGAAAGGAGAAAAAACAGATTTCACCTCGTCAATCATGCCAAGAAGGTAGAGCCATGTTTGGAAAAGCAATGAATCATGTAAACTAAGTTGGTCTTTTCTCGATGGAATAGATAAAATGATAAAAAAACTGATAAACGAGTCAAATCGTGTTGGCATAAAAGGCTGTGACAATCATTTGATAGCAATCCAACCTCTCAGAACAATGATCGGATCCGGAGCTGGAATCGCATTCGGAAGCGAATTCTTCAATCGCGTAAGTTTTCATTAAAATTTTCATTGCAAAAAGCATCCTTTGTTGGAATATAGCAAATAGAAAAAATAATTTTGTTCAACTGACTACGTTATAGGAAACTCCAGTTCATATCCCTCTCGATGGATTCCGCAATAGCCGACGTGTTCGTTTGGTTGTCGTCCCTAATCATAACGGAGACCGTTTCGCCGTAGATCTCCGTACCGGAGATGACATTGCTCTCCACTTCAATCCTCGTTTCAATGTAACAATGCTCATTCATAATTTTCTATTCAACCTCATCAATTTAAGGAGGGAGCTATCATCACCAACCATACCGTGAGCGAACACTGGCAACACGAGGGTAAAAGTGATTCACTCCCATTCGAACACGGAAAGGCCTACACCTTGGAGTTCGTTTCAGCTGACACAGAAATTCACGTATGCCCATTCATCTTTTGAGAACGAAGAAGAATATTTTTATTTTCCAGGTCTACCTCAACGGAAACTCATTGCTCTCCTACTCTACCCCTTACGCATTAGAGGACGTCAGATCACTCGATGTAAACTGCCCATACCATTTTAATTTTTGTAAATATCAATGTTGCAGGTCTCCGGAAATGTTCATGTTCACTCCGTTCATGTCATCTACTAAGAATTCTTCTTGAAAATATAAATAAACTTTTTAAATTTTAAAATGCATCTTCCATCTTTGCAATGCAACCATCGGTCACTCTCACTGCTGACAAAAATAAAAAATGAATAAGTTTTGTGTCCTTAAAGGTCTGTATGTCACCGATCTTACCAAGAAAAATCAATATATTGGGGTCGTTAGACGTTCTTTGAAATTGAACAGCATGTCAAATGAAGAGAGGGAAAAGAAAAAAGCAAAACAGACAACTAATAGTTCAACAGATGTTTAACCGAACTCACCTTTCATTAACTATTTGCATATAGGTAATTGATTATTTGTGTTTTTGCTTTCTTATTTCCTCATTACGCAACTTCTTCAAGTCCACTCAATGTTTCATAAGTCGCCAATCGATAAACAAATAAATTCATCTTTTTCATTCAAAATCCGTTTGAACAACTCATTCACCACGTTGCATATCCACCAGCCATTGTCTTTTGTGCTAATATTTGGTAATAATTTGTGGAAATCACATTCGCACATCACTTCTCATGCTCACTCATTTCCTATTTTGCCTTTGATGAAGCCGACGTCTTGCTGCTTCATACGGCTTCTTCAGTTGTCTTTTGCTTAATCTTTTCATTTCCGTTTATAGACTTTATCGTTCCTTCAATCTCGCTTACTTTCCCTCTCTCTCACTCACTCTTTCGCACTCTCACTCTCTCTTTCGTTCTCGAACACTGAGCTTCCCCAGAGACTTCTCTCTCCTTAAGTAACCTCTGTATATTTTTTACTCCATTCTCGTATACAACGTGTGGATATAGATGTATACAAATGTGTTAAGCTACAAGCCTTACTATTTTTTTTCTTGAATGACTGTAATGTGGGAACGCAATTGCCTTCCATTTCCATTTGAGCTTTAAGCCTTTCCCTAAACGATTCAAAATTGAACGAATTCTCAGTCAATTTGTCGTTTTTTTTCTTCTACTTCGTTTAACTGAAAACAGTCGGTTGGCATTTCTCAAATCTCTTATTCAGTTTTTATTTTTTCATATTCGCTTCTAAGACGTAGTATATATTTCAGTGATGGCCAAAGGAGCATCGAAAAGCTCAAAAGTAGCAGAGAAGAAGGTTGTGGAGGACGAGGAGAAACGATCGAAGCTCTGGATCGCATTCGTAGTAGTAATAGGTGCGCTCTCCTTTTTATTTCATAAAAAATTGCTCTGCGAAATGAGAGTGTGTAGTAGTAAGACGGATGGATGATTGCGAGAGATAGTAATGGTGAATGAGAGAGAGAGAGAAAGTGGGTGATGGGGATAGCTATATATACATAGTTAACGAAATTCGTTGTTCTCTTTGTTTGACCAGTTTTTTTAATCGGACTTGTCTTTCTTTGAAATTTGATAATTTCTCATTAATTTTGTTTATTTGTCTCTCACTATATATATATAAATATATAGTTAACGGAGACTTGGCAAGATCCTGAGTGGGCAAAATAATATGTAAAGTGGAGGGATTGGTTATGAATGAATGATTTGCGGATGTACTGGGGATTCTCCTCTGCCCAGTACATTTGCTATCCAACAATCAATTGTACTCGTATTGACCACGTACGGGATTGTAACAACCGGCGAAGCTGTTGTTCATTTTCTCAAAAAATTCACGTAATTCCTTAAAAGAGCAGTTGAGGATGTTAAGAAAGGAAATCGACTACTCACTAGTTGCTCGTGATGTGGACGAGATTCAATCATTGCCCTATAATAATCTTTGAGAGAATGGATGAGATCATGCTTTCTAAGCCTTTCTAAAGATCTGAAAAAGGAAATATAAGCTTCGCCCCGCATACACTCAATCACTTCTGCTCTCTCTCTGTCTCTCTTTCATTTCTCTCTTAATTTGTAATTCTCACGTTTTTTCAACATCCGAAACGTTGTTGAGAATGTGTTGGAGGGCTAATGGTGGTTGATTCGCCGCTCTCCAATTATCAAACTCATGGCGATCTGAGGCCGAGAAGCTGCTAAGCTGAAACTGTTAGAGTTCTTCATTGAATGACTAAGTATATCACTTGGCTTGTTATGATATTATCAACTAGTTGGCAATTGTCTTCTCTGGCTGCTCGATCCAACTCGATTCGAGTTTCCATCGACATATTTTCGACTGCTCTCCGAACACAACCGGGACGATCAGCGTAGCAGTCTATTCCACCTGAATCTTTGATTATAATAAATATGTGAGGAGCCTCATACCTCCGTTCAAGTCACGTTTTCCGCTTAGCCATGCTCTGAGAGCAGCCCACAGCTTCGCCCAAAAGGACATTTCAAGCGCTTCTGATGATTTCCTAGATAAACGACCTCCGTATCAGATGCAATTATGATAATATGAGGTTTACCTCTCAGCGAAATACTCCAAGATAGCCACTTGGTCAATTACAGGTAGAATCGGAGTTAATTGTGAATTCCAAATACCACGAATAACACTGTAAATGCTGGCATTCTGAAAATCAAGTTGTTGATCTTTCTAAAAATGGAATGTTTGTGCTCTTGTGTGCGTGAAGAGATGTAGAAACGATTTACATGATAAGCCTCGACTAAGGTTACATATAGCTTGTTATCTTCTGTTTGGATGAAGCCCAGCAGATCTGTGTTGTTCGCTTCGAATTCGGAAATCACCTCAGCAATACTGTTTTCCTGTAAATATGGGATTGATGAAAATCTCTGAACGGTTTTCTTGCACAAACTTTTTGTTTCTCGTCGATCATCGTTTTCAATTGAGCGTAACCCTTCTGGTTCATATACTCAGCCAGATTCTCGGTGTCATTTTGAGGTAGAGCCACCAATAGATAGAATAAAGGAAAATAGTTTTCTAGCAGACGGTACGGTTCGAAGTTTTGTATGCCGTCATCATCATTATCCTCCAGAAGCGATTGAAAAAATGTTGTTTCGTTTAATTCTTCTGATGATGATTGAAGATCGTTCGAAGCCAAAATGACTGGCGGCAGAAATAAAAAAATGAGAATAAGCATCTTCTGAAACGAAAAAAAGAAAGGAAACGAATGAAAAGCTTGTTAAGAAAGGGGGAGTTGTGAAGAGACGAGGTGATTAAGAAACGAATGCAATCGTTCTGATCATCGGGAACAACCGGTCGACAACTATTCGAAATTGAAAATGCACGTTCACGTGTTTTTTTCACGCGAATAATAATAGAGTGCGTCACTTTTCTTCTACGTCGTCATTTCCTTCAAAATAGAGCCAAAAAAAGAATTTCTTCTCTCTCTCTCTTCAATACTTTTCATGGGAGAAAAAAGAAATTTGAATATGGTTTGGTGAAGCCCGGTTTATTATTTCTCGACAAAAGAGGAAAGAAAGTGACAATTTGCAATTGTAAAGGAGATTTTATTCTTCGACCCCGAATAGTTTCGGACTTGAGTGGCCAATCGTCAGAAGGAAACAAGAAATGGAGAAGATGGACAAGGAAACGATTGAAGAGTACGAAATTACGATGGAAAAAGAAAAAACCTTTGAGAAAACGAGAAAATTGACAAGTTAAGAGATACGAGAGACAATCACCATATGAAGAGAATGGACGAGATACAGAGAAGAAGAGCGAACTGTCAAATTTCAACGAACAAAAAAAGCTGAAGAGGAGGACATTTTGTTTTGTCGTTCAGACGTCTTGACAATATGGAATCAAAAACGCCAGAATTGAGAGTCAGAAGTTGGTTTGATTCATGAACAGTGGTGACGTCAGTTTGATTTTTGCCTCGTTTTCCCTCAATTCCCTCTTCCTTCTACATTCTCTTTCTCACTCTTTCTCTCTTCCTCAACATATCCATCTGTCTTTTTCTCATTATGAACCTCTAGTGAGTTGCAAAGATTGAAAAAAGCCTTTCTCAGCTCAATCACTAATGTGCAGGTGTTGAGGGTTGTTGTGGAATGGCATTTTTCATGAAAATTATGGGAAATTCAATAAGATTATAGACGATGTGGTGGAGAGAGTTTGAATTTTTTGATGAAAAACGAGTTTTCTGGAACATAAAGGGATTGCAGAAGTCAATTTTTTGAAAAATCATAATCGAATGTTTAGAGGTTTTGGAGAAGGTTGTGTGGCAGGCGAAGGAAGGTGAGGGAGTTGAATGGTCTGCAAGAGAGTGAGGGAGAGGCAAAGGCAATGGCATGTAAAAAGGAATGATTGAAAAGGAAAAAGCTGTTTCTAACATATGAAAAGAGGAAATTATTGAAGAAGGAAAGAAATAAATTATAAGTTTCTTCATTTGCTTACAATGCATTCGAGAGACTTCCTGCCTTCTGGAGGTGAAGTGAGAAAGAGAGCTGCAATGAATGAGCAAGGAAAAATAATTTTCTGAACGATTAGGTTAAAGAAAGTTCTGAGAGCAAAGGTTGACATATAGGGATGCAGGTGCAGGAGCTATACACATAGAGAGAGAGAGAGAGATCGGATATGAATTGTATAATCACATAGTTAACAGCTTTGGGTAATTATGATTTTTGTTGTCTCTTGGATAGAAATCGGACTATCAGTTGATAGGATCGATCAATACCAATTTAAGGAAACGGATAAATAAGATGATTCAATTGATAATTGTCGTTGTTTTGATGGCAAATAAGGAAAAAAAGAAGTTTTCTGTCCATCGAAGAACATAAAAGGAGATGACGAACACATACAAGGAGAGAGAGAGAATGAATAAGAGGGAGTGATAGAGAGAAAGAGAGTAAATGTGAATGATTATGGAGGGAAAATTGATATGAATTATCAAAAATAGCTCTTTGAGATGAAAGTAGAGAGGACCAGCTGATCGAATTAGATGTTTGAAACGATGCTACACAATGTCGTTTTCCAGTCTCTCTGAAGTTCATTTGAAAGAGCATGGCAATCATTCAGAAGGTTTTTTTCTGACAATCTAATTATTTTAGAAAAAAAAAGAGGTTAAAAGAGGAATAGAGTGTATGAATTTGAATTAGAGAGGAGTCACATGACTGTTGGAAGTTCTCTCGTGGTGTTGCATATATTCCCGAATTCTCTCTGTCTCTCTCTTCATTTCGAATACGAAGAGAGATGGAGAGGTTATAAGTATGATGAAGAGAGAGTAAGAGAGAAAGATAAAATGAACTTTTTAATGATATCGAAGATGAAAATGGATATCAATCTTTCCTATTTCTCAGCCAGTTTCAATCTACCTCTCTCCTTTAACGGAAAATAAACAGCGAGAACACAAAAAATGGCTTATCAATAATAAGCTGAAGGGCTCATAAGGAGATAGAAGTCCTTTTATGGAATACAAAATTTATTTTTTTCGCTTCGTTTCTTCTATTTTTTTCCGAGAATTTTCGTTGAAATGGAAACGAAAGGGAAGGGGAAGAAGCATTCGAATGGAAAGGGAGAGGAGAACAAAGGTAGGGCAGAAAATTGTGAAGAAGTTTATAAAGAGAAAAGGAGATATAATTCTATTTGTATTATGATGTACTTGTTTTTCTTATTTACAAAAGATTCCTCTGCCCTACCCCTCTCTCTCTCTCTCTCTTTCTCTCTTCTCCTCTTTTAACTAGTTTTTCTCCATATATGTCCATAAAGAGATAAATGTAGATGTGGAGGCCGAGAAAGAGACTGTCATTCCAAGCATCGTTTGAGATTCCCAAAAAAAAGTTTTTCCAAATATTCTGGATTCAAATATAACTTTTCCATTCTATTTTGGTAAGAGCTTTGCTCCAATGACGTTGTGGTCTTTTAATTGCTGGAAAAGGATAAATGAGTGAACTTGACGATGATCGACCCAAATCTACAAGGGATTGTCCGATTACAAGAACCAAATTCAACTCGTATGTTATATACTCATACACGACCGCTCAGTTTTTGGGAAAAAATGAAATTTGCACGAATCGGAGTAATTTATGCAAATGAGAGTAAATAGTACAGTAATGGATAGTTTTGAAAGAATACAAAGGAGAGAGGAGAAACAACAGAAACTTGTTTGCAGTCGAAATGCCATGAGTTGCCTCAGGCGATATTCCTTAATAGTATAATGAAATGGTTTTTTTACCTGCAAAAACAAGAGATTTTAGTTTCGGAAAAAGCGAGTTTAGCCTGTTTGAAGCGGATGAAATGAGTTGAAATCACAGCTGGAGAATTACTAACTGGACGAGTTGATGAAAAGGATAAATTGAAATTTGGTTATTGCTTTTCACACTTCATAACAATAGAAGAGAGATGATCCGCTCATCTCTTTTTTTTGATGCTTTGAAGCTTGAAAGGGAATCAGAGAGAGAGAAAGAGACAGACAGAAAGGGAGAGATCAAAAGATGAGTAGATGAAGTAGCGGTAACAACAGAAGGACAGGTGATGGAAAAAGGTACGTACAGAATGAAGAGATTTTTTGAAGCCAAAGAAATGACAACGGCAAACCGGAAGCCATGTTGTCGTGCCTGCTTCTGGATCTCTTCGTTGAATGAACGGCGAGGACGGTTGTCGGAGCTACACAACCGGAACGAAATAGAGGGGAAACGAGACAGCCATAAGAAAGAATGTGCCCTGAGGGCAAATAATTGTTTTCGACAGCTGAGGAGCTCCTCTACAGTCATTCACAAGAAGAGAAAAAAGGTTTTTTTATTTAAAATTAAAAAAAGGAATATATTGAACGCATTGTGTATGCGTGGAGAAGCTCAATTTACAAACAAAAATTGATGGAGAGAAACCAGATTGAGGAGTATTTTAGGGAATAGCAAGTTGTCCTAATTGGTCCTAAAAGAGAATTATGATGAGAAACAAGCAAATGTAGAAGAAAAACTTATTTTCAAACTTTTCTCGTACTTCTCTTTCAACAAAATGTTTTTCAGCATTCGTCGTTTCTTTCTTAAACAGTCATCATCTGGACAAATTGTTTGAGAATGATCGTCACTTCTCACATTTGGCCGATTTCGAGAGGGAGATGGCCTTTCGAACAGAAATGGTAATTGAAATGATTCTATTTGAATATAATATATATGATTAAGGGATTATATTTCTCATACTATAAAACAATAGTTAATGCTGATAGTTTCTCCAATGGACTCTATGAAGTCACAAATGATAATATGACTGAATATGGGCATACAATCAATACATTGAAGCGATTCAACTTGTACCCTGAGGTACTACTAATCCCTTTCATTCGCTTTCTCTCTTCTAAGATCATCGTTTAAGGTTATCCTCTCTTTTTTATTCCGAAATTTCAAACGAATCGCAGAGACTTACGATTGGAAGGTCGAAAATTGCTGGCAAGTTAATCGTGGGCCGGAATTGCCTCCCGTACAAGGATGTGAAGGTAAATCCCCTCGTTATACTTATTTCCTGCATAACTCTTCGTAGGAATCGGAAACTTACATTACTTCTACATCGATAACGTATTCATCTTAGCCGGTACCGTTGCTGGATGTCTTTTCTTACTCGGAGTCATTGTTAGGTACGACTGAGTATATGAACTATTTCAAGCTGAAGCTTTTAGTGATTCCATTTTTGGTGGTCTCATTAGCGTAGCCGCTTTCTTCTTCAATCACGGTGAGGCTACTCGTGTGCAATGGACTCCTCCATTACGAGAGTCTTTCGGCTTTCCTATGATTATTGCCCAGATCACTGTGTTATCCTACATCCTCAGGTAACCTGGATTATAACTTTCTCTTTCATCAAGTAGAGGCTTTGCAGAAACAACCGAGTGAATATCCTTTGGCCGATCGCTTTGGGTTTCTTCACGGTCGGTTCCATGTTATTCTGGCAGTTCTCACAGTTTGCCTTCTTCACACAAATCGGATCTCTTTTCATAGTTTACGTGTTTGACTTCATCCAGCTCAACACAATCAAAACCATTCTTAAATCTCATTTGGTAATTGAACAACTTTCCTTTCCTCGCTAAAATTATACTTTTAGGTTTCCTTCATCTGTTCCTTCTTCCTTCTGTTCGGTAACGAAATGCTTCTGACAGCCTTCTATTTCCCAAGCATTTTGGCTCTTATTGTGAGTTCATCTACGCCTTATAGGCCATTCGAAAATATTTTTACAGTTGATCATCTGTCTTGAGCCACTTCTCAATCGACTGACATTCCGTCCTTTATATGTTTTACTTTCTACTTCTATTTTCGTCGGAACAGCAATAGGCCTCAAGATTATGATAGCCTCAAGTCTTCAAGTCGAAGATGATGTAAGTACATCCAGACTTTGATATAGTACAATCTTCTTTTAAGGCTCATATCATCGATATTCTCAGGTCGAAGTTCAGCTCATTCAGTAATTTCCACACTCGTCTATACACATGCTCAGCTGAATTCGACTTCATGAAGATGGAAGTGAGTGAAATTGAACAGAAACAATAACTTCTCTTCTTTCTTTACAGACTGTTCAGAAACTGTTCATGTCAGTTCTAATTCCTTCAGCCATATTAGGATGTTTTGTTTTCATTCTCTATTTCCTGCTGACAGAATTCAAACATATACTGTGGAGAGACATCAATAGCAAAGGAAAACCCTATGCTGAGGTGAGAGACAGAGAAATACTCCATAGACTATAACGTTTCAGATTTTTTATAACTTGATTCAATTAGCTTGTTACTCAGTAATGGCTCTTCTTATCATGAGATTGAAGCTGTTCTTCACTCCTCATCTGTGTGTTTTGGGTGCAGTCCTAGCCAATCAGAAACTCATACAGAAATACATTTTCTCGAAATTCAGCAGAATGTATTCAACAGCTTTTGTCATTTTGCTCATCTCTGCCATGGCATTTGAAGGTAAGTATATGAAGGAAGACGAATTGAAGATTCAAAATGTGTAGGACGAACTAACTTGGAGAAACAATTAGCTATTCGAGGAGAGTTCAGCAATCCCGATCAAGAGCTATTGTTCAATTGGATCATCAAGAACACGAAAAAAGGTTAGACTCTTTTGATGCTTCATATCTCATGAATCCTGTTCAGATGCCGTCTTTGCGGGAACTATGCCAGTCATGGCAAATGTAAAATTATCAACTGGCAGGCCGATTGTGAATCATCCTCATTATGAAGATGTAGGAATAAGGTATACACTGCACTCTGCTCAAGTCACTCAGAATATGTGTTCAGGAATCGGACGCTCAATGTTTATTCAGTTTTTAGTAAAAAGCCTTTAAAGGAAGTGCATAATACACTCAAAGATATGGGTGTCAACTATTTTGTTTTTCAATTGTTCAACTGCGCACCAGACGCGAACAGGTAGATATCTTCGCAACGAGAGTTTATATAAGGAAGTTCTTCAGACCTTATTGTGCATACAGAGGAATGTGGGATGAACATGATCCTCAAAACGTAGCTAGAAAATCAAACTGTGATTTATACCATCAGGCTGTTCATTCACGAGATGATTCAATCATTAAGCCTTTCTCAATAGCCTACACTCACCGAGGAAATTACATTGTGCTGAAGGTTTAGATGGGAATGCCAATAGTTTTAATTTATATATTTATCATATTTTTACAATTTCTGAAGAATCAAAAAGGTTTTTTCTTCGTGAACGTGCGTCTTCCGTAAGTTCTGATTTACAAAATCATTTCAAGTTTTATTTGAAAAAAAAAATTTCATAAAATAAAAAAGTTCAACATTTTAAATTTATTTTTCCTGGTTCTGATTCGATTCTATTGAATTGAGGCCCGGAAGAGCTATGAACCCCAAACATAGCGGCCCGAGGGCCTCTACTGTTTAACGTGAAAGGGGGACGTTTACTGACCCATAATCACGCCACTTGCTGGGAAGGAGCCCAAAAGAGCTATGAACCTCAAACATAGCGGCCCGAGAGTTGCAGCGTTCACTTGTACTCTCGTACTTTTCACTCTATCCGAAAATGCCTCTCGCATTTCCTGGACTTCGACGTTCACCTTATCTTTCAATAATTCATAAGGCTCGCTCGACCTGAGATAGTCAGCAGAAGCTCTCTTTTTATTCTTTGCTAACTCCTCTAGCTCATGAACATGTACTAACATATTACTCTCCAAAATATTCATCAAATTTTGGAAAACGTCTTTTACCTCCTCTCCGTTCTGTACGGTATCTTCCATTAGACTTCTTTCGTGGTCCATGGCTTCTCTTTTGTTGTTTGTTTAACTGAAAAATTTGGCAAAAATTATAATTCGGCCCCCATATAAGGTATCTCGAATGCTTAGGGATGAAAAAGGGTCCTCAAAACTAATATTGTGAGATACAAAAAGTTTTATTTTTAACTTCCAAATTTCCTCAGAAAAACTAGTAACAAAAACTACAGAAAATCTAAGAAAAATAAACAACTCTAACTATCTTAGAAACAACAATTAAAAACCTCAAAAACTCAGAAATTCCCTAGAGCAACAATAACATCTTAATTTCCTAAAAAAAAACATCTTATTCTAAATTTCAATCTTATCTTCTTTTCCTTGATACGGTATTCCACCGTCCTTTAGGCATATTATTATTCTCCTTCTTGCTAATACCCTTTACTCCACGTGGAAAGTCCACGTGGATTCCTCGGTTGTATCCTACTTTACAACTTCGTGCACTAAACGTGCTCAAATGAGAAAATACCTTTTAATGAGATACGTAAACTCTCGTAGGTTACGGTAGCTTCTCTCTCTTCGGAAC